TTTTTTTTTTTTTTTTTTTTTTTTTTTTTTTTTTTTGCTTTTAATGTGCAGTTATACATTCATTATTTTGTATTTTTTAAAAGCTGGTCCTATAGCTTATATTGTCATTATCAAAGTTCCTGGTTTTCAATATCTTGTATGATTAAAAGAATTGCAGGAAAAAGTTCATTTAAGTAAGCAGATAAGGCAGAACTTACAGGCAAGGTAAAGAAATTCATTGGCTTTCCCAGCTATAGCTCCTATGCCAGGTACAAGAGGTAAGGCAGTAATATATTACTCTATTTCCATCATGTCAACTAAGTTACAGTTGGACACTGGAATAGGCTGCCTGGGGAGGTGGTGGAGTCAAAGTCCCTGGAGGTGTTCAAGGCACGTGTAAATACGGCAACAAGGAACATGTTTTAATGCACAGTATTGGTGGTAGGTGAATATTTGAACTAGATGATCGTAGAGATCTTTTCCAATCTTAATGGCTCTAAGATTATTATAAGCTACCTAAAAACAGCGATGGGTCAGGAACATTCAAGTGCTTGTATCTGAATATGTGTTTGGGTGCTGCTTGCTTTACAGCTTGACTTTTGTTTTTGTGCCATTATACTTTTTAGGGCCCAGACATGCAAAAGAGGTACGTTTGCTGGAGAAAATGCAAAAGCATAAAACATGCTCTTAACCAAGATATTCCACACAGAGTGCTTCCTTGCAGTTGTATCGTCAGCTTTCTCTGTCCAAACAGTTGACAAGAAGACTGGCATTGCTCAGGCAGGATCAGGTACAAAGTCCATCCTACTATCTGTGGTGTCTGAGCGGCAGCATTCAGGCAAGGCAGAACTTCTGTGTGGATCATTATGTAGTTATCTAAATGGCTGCAGCTCTGTGGAGTACTCCCAAATGCTGTCAGCTGCGGCTTGGCTCATGGGCTGGAGCTCCCCACACTTTCTGCAGGGTATGGCTATGCCCTCGCAGCAGTGCAAAGGATTTGGTTTATCTCTGACACCTCCCATAACTGTGAGAAAATTTCTCTTCTCTCTTCTGCCAGCTTCTTTGATCATTGCTGCCACCTGCTATTTGCTATTCAATCTAGGAGCTATTTTGATGCTTTGGTGGTGGGAAGAAGTCTTTACAGAGGACTTACAAGCCTCAAAGTTAGTACTGTTCTCCTTCTGGAGCTCATCACAGAGTCTAAAGGCTAAGTTCTTCTTCGGTTTATTGCAAATGTATGAAGTAATGTTACCTCCTTTCCTTTTTCCACCTTTTACTTGATGTATGGTAAAGAGACAGTCTCTCTAAGATTCTAAACACTTCCAGTTCACTGGGGAGACTGTTTCTCAGACTTACTGATAAAGAGAACTTTCTGTTGAGGAGTGAAGCTACCACAAACCCTTGTACTTAATGATAAAGACCACTGAGTGTAACTCTTACACCTACACAATGCTATGGTGACTCACATACCATAACGACCTTGACCAGCCCCACCTGAGGCTTCATCAACCCTACCAGTGCCCCAGGAACCCTATTTCAGGAACCCAGCCCAGGGGTCTACTGGCCTCTGTGCTGATCTAACAGAGCGAAAACTTTGAGTTTTTCGTTACTTACTGTGGGTAAAAGAAGTTAGTGTCAAAACACATTTCAGGTTGTGAGACTCCTAAGTGGAACAAGCTCCCTTCTTTCAAAGTTGCTGCTGTGTTGGAGGTGAGCAGTTGTTTGGGCTTGTGAGGTCTCTAGCGTGTTTGTACTGGGCTGAGGTTTGAGATCAAGCAGTGGAGGAGCTTTTCCCCTGTCTGTGCAGATTCCTGCTAGTATGTTTGTTTAATAGCTGCTCTTATCCAGAATTGATTTTACTTTCCCTTTTTTTTTTTTTCAAGGTGAAGTGGATGCAAGGCCTATCTCCAATGTATTTCCTTTAGAAATACTGAATTTCAGTCATAAGACAATAAAAAGCCCTTTGAATGATAAGTTAGACTGCCTGGAATATCAGGGGTGTGAGTGAATTGTTTAAGCATTTTAAGATATTTACTCAAGCAGTTGCCCTTCTGAGTCTCCTATTCTTTATGCAGAAGCTTTACTTGGGTGTCAACAGGCTCATAAGAGGACAGAGAGCATTTCCAGTGCTATGGCTGAGTGGGCTGTTCTGCAGAGGTCAGATCTTAATGTTGTAATTGAGATACAGCAAGAGTCTTACTTGGGAGCATAATATTGTCATCTAGCAGTCTAGATCTAGCAGTCACTTGTGTGTGTCCTTCAAATCTGCAAAAGTGAATGGTCTACCATGGTAGCATTCTAGCTAGGCTTATTTGCTCAAACACTTGATACTTGTGTTGACTGCCTATACACAATGATCCAGTCTTACTGTCTTCTTAGATATACACTTGTTATGTGAGTATACAGTAATTTCTCTGCACTGCTGGAGTGCCTACGGTGCTCTATAATCTTGGTATATCCTGAGCTGGACATATTGAGCTTTAGCTGTTAGGTCATGGTTCTTGTTCAAACTGGGAAAACTATTGCATGAATCTGGTCAGCCTGGGCCTTAGGATCACACCTGTTTGTGGTAAACTTGGTGTGAAATTCTGTTTGTTGAGTTAGTTATTCCACTTCTCAGAAGTGCTCTGTCTTGCCAGATGCCTGTGATGAAGACTACGTTAATGGAAAATTCTCCAGAAGAATGGCTTATATTCCACAAGCTAAGTTGTAGAGGTTTTCTTTAAAGTGCTTACTGCCAGAAGTGATGGTACAGTACTGGCTTTGCATTACTTCCCTTACCATCTCTGCTTATTCTCCTCACTATTGCTATTCTCTCCCTAATCAGATTGTAGTCCACTTGTTCTCTGCTGTGGTGCCCTTTCATGTTCTTCATAATCTTCTTGGACTCAATTTAACTTAGGTTTTTGGAGTATCAGTGAGTTTAATCATCTTTTAGAAATATGTGGTGGTTACGAAGCTAGTGGAAGAGAGACAGATGCAGTACAAGGCTGTCTGAAGGCTATGAAGGAGCAGAGGCAGGGGAGAAGAGTACAACCACCTGCATTCTACTTAGAATTTAGCTGCTCTGTAAGACCCAGGAGCTGAGCCTTCTTCCACATGTAGTAGAGACAGACTGATAGTGAATTATTGTGCTGTGTAGAAGACCCTTGACTTGACTGGAAGTTGACCCACATGACTTATGTGCTGATACTTGCTGAGGTGGCTGCCCTGCAAAGTGGCCAGCTGCCCCTGAACACAGGGAGAAGCCTTAATGGAACATTTGATTTCATTATTTTCTGTGAGAAAATTTGCTTGACTTGCACCATGTGACCCTAATAAGCTTTTAAAGCATTTTGAAAGTAACGTGAAGGCGATATCTATGCTGTATGATAACTATGGAAGTCTTTATGGAGAGTTCGTTCAATACAAGATATCTAGTAGCCATGTGATGTTCTACATATTCCTTTTATCATTGGCAGAAACCCAAAAAGAACCGTTGCTCTCAGCTGCCATCTTCTCTGCTAAATCATGTGGTAATTCCTCATGAATAGAAAAGATGAGCAACATGGGGGGGAAAGAGAAACTGGAACTGCTGTGCCACTTCTTTCCTTTTTTGACCTGTGGATAGGGCTATTCATAAACTGAGGTTGCAGAGCTCTTTGAAATAAGAAATGCAAATGTTATCATTGTGGCTTTGCTTTCCAAAGGTAAATAGGCTAATAAATTTTATGGCTGCTGAGTTATCAGCTTGGTAGAATATAAAGGAGGAAAAAGAAGAGAATTTGTTTTCTAGCAGCCATAAAGTGTAACCCACAGCACTCCATTTTACCTGCTCATAGAAGCACTTATGAAGCTATTGTTAGGCCTGTGTTTTCTTTGGTGTTTTTCCTCAGAAGGTAAGAATTGAAAAGTGCTTTGAAAATTTTTGTTATGCAGTATTTAGGAACCTATGTTTTTAGTTGTTGCAAGGTGGGTATAAAGCAGAAATCCTTAAGCAGGATGAAGAAAATAGGAAAGTAAAACTGTGGTCTTGCATGTGATTTGGGGATACGTTTGATCATTTTAGATAGAGATACGTGCATTGTTTCGCACTGCTCTGGGGAGTGATTTCATCTTAGGTAGACGCTGAAGTTTTCTTATGAGAAAAGCACCAATGATTAACTAATGGTGAGATCTGTTCCAAAACTGTGCAGAAGTTTGAGCAAGAGACTGAGGTTTTTCTTTGAATTTGTACCTGTGATCATTTTCTTTTCAGTGGCATTGAATTGTTTGGATGGGTAGGCAATCTTCTGACACCCAGGGCATCACTGTTCAGATTTCTGTTTCCTCCAGACTTTCTGTATAATCTGAGCAAAATACTGTAACAAAACAAAACAAAAAAAAAGAGTCAGTGAGAAGGGGGTGGAAAGGCTGGAGTTGGAGAAAGCATTGTACCCTTACTGGTTATGTGAAATTCATACATGGTACTGGGTACCTGAATTTTGTAGGTGATCTAGGACTACAAATATTGTGCCTGTCTTGGCTTCTCGCTTGAGCTTCCTGCCAGTAAGAAGGCTGTGATAAATAACAGTAGTGCTCTACCTTAACAGTATGCTGTGAGGATAAATATCTTTGGAGGACCGTCAGGTTCTCTGATTTTAAAAAAAAAAAAAATCACCCAGCTATTTGGAGGCTTTGGTTCCTATTATTATAAATGGAAGAAATGATCATGCTTTGGCTTTTTAATTTGGAAAAAAAGTTGCACTGTGACTGAAATTCCTGAGAAAACTTTGGGATTTGGGAGTAAATGTGGATTGATAGAGCCTGTAAGAATTAGCAGAAACAGGTTAACTATGAAATCAAGGGAAGAAAGAATAGAGCTTTTCTCCCAGATTTTGGAAAAAAAAAACTCAGAAAAACACTTATTTTGAGGAAGGCAGAGGGAGAGGATTTGGAAAAAATTTAAAATACAAACTAGAATTATTAAATGATAGAGTCATAGAATAGCTATAATGCTGGGAGAAGCAGGGTCAAAAAAACATCCTATAGAAAGCATAAATCCAAAACAAACAAAGAAAACTAAATGTATGCTCTGGTTGGTTAAAGTATAGTCAGGCAAGCCAAAAATGAATCTGAGGGGATTCAAGGAATCATGTCTAAAGGAAAAAAAAAATAAGAGATTCTCTTTCAAAATACATCTGAAACAGGGAATCTGAAGTCCTGGTACATACGAAAAATAAGGTCTGAAGCTCAACAGAAAATACTTATTATTATTATTATTATTATTACTATTATTATTATTTATTCCCTCCCCCGTGATGTGTTTAAGCACAAGAGCTTAAAAAAGACCTTGCACTAAGATCCTTTCTGGGGAGGGGACAAGCTGGAGGAGCTAGTAAATCCCCAAACGAATTGATAATGAATAGCAACAAACTGCCAGAAGTAGATGATATTCACACAAGGGAGTGAGCTAAACAAATGTGAATGTGTGTACATGTTAACAGTGTTGTTATCAATCAGCATTTCTTCAGTCAGCATTGATGTCAGGAATTAAAAAAGGCAAATGTGAATCTAGATTTTAGAATAGATTCTCTGCTAGAAGGATCTGGGGACCTGCAGTGGTAAGTGCAGTTGGATTTCTGAAAATCTTTTGACCAAGTACACTCCTGAAGAAGCTAAATAATTACAAGGACAAAAGCACTTTTGTGGACTCTCATTAAAAGCCATGGAATAAAGAAATGAATTATAAATATTCAGACAGAAAAGAAAGGAGATGGAACCTGCTGGAAAAGGCTGTTGCCTGTGCTGGAAAAGGTGCTTTCAGCTTATTTCAGCATCAGATCAGGGCATAGGCTAGCTGATGGAAAATACTCGGGATGCTCAAACTGAAAATAATGTATGGCAGGCAAATCTTGTGCTAGCTATACGTAGATTATGGTGAAACTCTAAGTTAGGTACTGCTTCATGGTACATAGCTCTCTGAGGACATCAACACAGTGTTACCAGCAATCAAGGAGATAATGTCAGGAATCAGAGAGAGAACAAAAAATGCATTCCTAGAGCTGTGTGTAAGTCTAGTTCACTCACCTCTTGAGGGCTGTCTAGCCTTTTCAAGTTGAAAGTAAAATGAGAAACACTAGGAGGAGGATAAATGAGAAGAGAGTTCAGACTTATGAAGCAACGTCCACGTGAGAGGAGATCAAACAGTCTAAGCCTGGATATCTCCCCTGCTGGGCTGAGTTGGCTCTCCATTTACTTTTTGATGTGGAAAGAAGGAGGACGTATAAGCAGAAGCATGCAGCAGAACAACTAAATATTCTCAAGTTAGCTTCTGGAGAAAAGACAGCAGGACTTTGGTGGCTTTGGTGTGGCAAGCAGGGACAGCTCTCAGCACACTTTGAAGTTCAGCTGAAAATCTCCTTTTGTGGAGATCTTAGGATAACCTCAAATTGATGATTACAAATCCAAGTATATACTCAAGGAAAGAGAATGGTGTTTGCTGAAATAGCTGCAGTCCTGACTTCTGGCTCTAACAGGCTACATTATCTGTCAGCATTCTAGGACAAGAATCTAGTTTCTCTATCACTATGGCAATCACATAACAGTGTGATGTTGCTCTGTGGCTGTGGAAGATGTAGATTAATGTGAATTGCTCCTTTCTGAAGGAGTTTCAGCTTGCACATGCTAATGTAAGTCTAGGCTGCGCTTCTAAGGCATAAAAACTAGGGACTGACTCACACGTGAATTTCTTGGTGTTTGCAAAATCTCCTTTTGTTAATGGGAATTACATGTTTACTAGTTGCCCTAGGTATTTTGTACCTCTCACAGTGAAAGCAGATAGGCCCCTCCTTTTTTGAGAAACAAAATTAAAATCCACCATAATACAGGAGAAATAACACTCCCTCTTTTTTTCTGCCCTTCTGAGGCCCCATCTGGAGTACTGCTTCCAGGCCTGGGGCCCCCAGCACAAGAAAGATATAGCGCTGCTGGAGCAGCTTCAGAGGAGCTGGAGCACCTTTCCTATGAAGAAAGGCTGAGGGAGTCGGGCTTGTTCAGTCTGCAGAAGAGAGTGCTCTGGGGATACCTCACTGAAGCCTTCCTGTTCTTGAGGGGAGCTTATAAGCTGGAGGGAGACTGACTTTTCACATGGACAGATAGTGACAGGATAAGGGGGAATGATCTTAAACTAGAAGAGGGGAGATTTAAATTAGATATTAGGAGGAAATTCTTTACTCAGAGGTTGGTGAGGCAGTGGCACAGGCTGACCAGAGAGGCTGTGGATGCCCCATCCCTGGAGGAGTCAAGGCCAGGTTGGATGGGGCCCTGGGCATCCTGACCTGGTGGGGGGCAGCCCTGACCTCGACAGGGTGTTGGAACTGATGGGCTTTATGGTCTCTTCCAACCCAAACCATTCCATGATGGCTGAAGAGGAAATCTGGAAAAACTAGGTTTTAAGGCTTGTGGAAGATGAAGTTAATCACCTGTGTATATGACTTATTTGTAATCTGCTAATTTCAACAAATCTCATCTGACTATAATAACTAAAATCTTACATTAGTATACACAAAACTAAGAGAATATACTTGGTGTTGGAGCAAGCTTCACCTTTGGAAAACAGGAAAGAGGAGAAAAGTTACTCCTCATAGGGATTGTGTGGTTTTAGTTTTATTGTTTTCTGAAGGCTGGTTCTAAGTTTAAAAATTGTGCAATTCCTTATTCTTTCTTTTACTTTATTTTAAAGGAAAGACAGAAGATCTCCTGGAAGAACAGGGGAAACTAAAGGTAAATTATGAGAACAGATTTCTTTCTTTTTTTTTTTTTTCCTTCTCCTTTTTTCGATATCTGTCTTCATCATTTTGGCTGTCACTTCCTCTGAGGCAGGTGGAAGAAGAGCTTAGTGTGCTAAACTGTTGAATTCTGCAAAGAATAAATGCAAAGAAATGACTCAATGGTGTGATACTGCAGTTGCAAGATTACGATACCTCACCAGGAAATAAGTTTCTCTGAGCACCTCTTGTTATTAGGTTGCACATCCTGTACATAGGCTGACTGTGGTTAGCACTTGTTCCAAGATGCTCTGTTGCTCTTTTAGAAGCAGGTTGTTGTCTTTAGTCTTTCTGTAAGGTCTTAGAGATGGACCGTGCCTATTGTCAGTATGCGGGAGGGCATGAAATAATTGTTCCTACTGATAGTCATCTGTCTCTCGTGCTGAGTTTATTCATATCACTCATGTCCTTGCCATAAATACAGGTCTTTCTTTCATTATTTTCCTCTTTATTATTTTCTGTGTTCACATGGAAATTCTGCCTGTTGCCAGGGGCCCAGAATATTGGTGATATATTTGGTTCGTGTTTCCTTTCCTGCTTCATGCTTGAGCTGTGGCTTTTTGTTTTGTACACTGTGTACCTTGTGGCACACAAAGATGCATGCAGAAGCTCATTTTTTGGGATCTCCTAGATTAAGCATTTTCTGTTCACAACAGTGAAGGTTATAGGTTGTGTTCCGCACGTTTTATTGTTTGCTAAGTAGGAATTTGGTAAGAAAGCTGAGTAACAAGTGTAGAGTTTGGAAAGAGTGGATTTGAAGAGCTGTCCAGAGCTGTGTTCCCATGTATTTCTAGCAGAGGTGCAATTGTTCTTCAAAATTTCTGCTACATCAGTAAGAGCTTGTTGTTGTTGGAAAATAGAGCCTCTATGTCCTCTCATTCTGACAATTTCTTTTTGGAAATAAGACCATATTTATTCATGTCAAAGGCTCTAGGAGGCTTCCAGTTTTCATGCGAGCATGTGACATCACCTGAGAGTCCTTCATCTTCAGGTTTGTGTCTAATATTATCCTTTCCACAATTATTCCACACTTATTTCAGAATGGATATGGAGCGAAGGAAATGAGCTGGTCTGAGAGGCTTTATTTGTGTGTGATGTCTCTAAAGTGATGGAGAGAGGCTCTGTGACATCTATAGGGTTTTTATTATGATCATAAAAATACTTTTGTTTCTTCAGCTGCTGAGGATTCTGGTATTGCTTAAATCATTCACCACTGTCTTTGTGGTCTCTTCTTGCTTGATGGTTGAATGTTTCAGTGCAGCTGAAGCATTTACTGAATGTCTAAGTGAAGTTTCTCATTCTCTCTGCCTGATTTAAAGCTACTAGTCCAAAAGATCAGTATGGACTTCTTCCTGCATGCTTTTAATCAGTTTTGCCATGTTTTAATATACTAGCGAATGTAACTTTCTTTTAAATTTACTTCTTTTTTCTCACCCAATTTTCAACATTTTTGCAGTTCATACTCTGAGGCCAGCTGACATTAAAGTAGTCACTGCAATAGGAAGTTTGCAAACAGTAAGTACATGCATGAACTGTGCTGAACGTGACCCATTTCCTCTGTTCTGACTCTGAGCTGATGGTAAAATTTGGGGTCCCAGCGAGGGCATTTAGGACTTAAAACTTTCCATGAGCATTACAGTTTTCTGCTGAAAAATGGCTGGAAATAACTTCTGAATGTTCAATATTTCAGTATACTCTGAATCTAAAAATAGCCAGCTGACTTCATGCAGGAGAAATTTGATCACGGTGTTCTTACACAGAACCATGCTATCTGATTAGTGTGCTTGGATTTTCCTAACAATGAGCTGAAGAGATCAAATTACTGGAAGAAGCGTTTAGGAAAACTCAAACTGAAAAAATGTACAGTTTTTGTGATGACTGCCATTAGGACAAATTATCAAGAGATGCAGTAGACTTTTGATCCTGTTGAAGCGTTTCTGTCCTGCAGGAAAAAGCTTTGGATGAATCATAAATATATAACTTTGATGTATAAATCAGTAAGTAAGGTTATCCTACCTCTTCTGGTAGTTAGATTTGGGTAATTTTAACTTGCCTTAATAACAGAAGTAAATATCTGAAATAGTTTTAAGGCCCAATTTAAAACATTTAACTACGATTTCCAACCTTTGAGAAAGCATAGAAGTGTATTTATTGGGCAAAAATGGGAGTTGGTCTAGAGATATAACTTTCAAGAAATGGGGAAGGTTCTCCCTTATCACAAAACAACTTTGTAATTTGAATTGGTGTTCATTAAGATGTCATACTTTTCCTTGTCTTAAAGCTTTCCATTAAAGATCAGCTTTCTTGGACTCTCTGCAAGTACCTCCCTCTTTAGGAGAAAAGATTTTCTTAAATTTGACAATTCTTTGCCCATATTGGACGTGTGGCACTTCAGAGCATGTCTTTTTTTTTTTGTGGTGATGATTTTTTTATTGCCTGTGGGTGGTGCCATATAATGAATGTATAAATGATATTCTGCTAATGAATGTATACTTTTTTAGAGCAAACATTTCACTGTCTCCTCCTGGACTCCTTGAAATCGATGAAATTCCTCTGTCTAAGGAGGTTTTTTTTCATCAGGTACCATATTGGCAGAGTGCCATCCGTGTAAATTATCTTAGTGACTTCAGGTCACATCCCTTGTTGAAAAGGAATAGATTGAGAGCAATTCAATATGGTTTAGAACAGCATTTCATTTGACTGAATTTGAGTTAAGTTAGTCATGTTTTATTTTAAGCCACATGCAATAAATTCATCAATGAAAGCAAAAAAAATAGAAGTAAGAAAAAAGACTAGACTATGAGAACACATTGTAAGAAGGAAATGCTGAAAATGACAGCCCTGGAAAATAAACTAAATCTGTGACAAACTGAAGCATAATGGAAATGAGTATATAGAAAACGTATAAGAAAAGAGAAGAGTACAATAGGAAGCAAAGTGTAACCTTGCTTAATGACATGCTTATTGCCTGCTTATTCATAGCCACTGGGATCCAGCATTCATCATGAAGATTTGCTCCAAAGGTAAAAATGAGTTGCTACAATTGATTCATTTCATTATACTGATTTATACAGTGTTAGGCACAATAAAATTTTTGCTGTTATCTAGGAAGGAAAAGAAAGCCTATTTAAATAGATAAGATTTTGAGACATTGGATCTTCCCCATTCCTTAGTTAACAGAAATTCTTTGTTCAAGATCTGCAACTACTTTAGGATTGCAATAACCTTAAAGACTCGTTACTCTAAGATTACTCCTATGTAGTAAATGTCCTCCACTAACTAGAGACCAGAACGTGGAGATTTATCAAAGCAAAAATAGAACCCAAGAGCTCTGATACCCTGTCTGTCCTCTGCCTGAATGATTCCCAATGTTCATGGACAAGTTCTACACCGCCTTCTTCTTTCTTGCCCTCTTAGCATATATAAATCAGAAGCATCTGGTTAAGCCTCAGAGATGCAAATCTGTGTAACTCTTTTGAGGCATTCCAGGCGAGGATTTGACCCTGCAAAGACAAATTTTAAAGGACTGCTGTTTTTCAATAGTTGTATGTACATCCGTGTCTGCTTGTGCATACACAAAGAGAGGTCCTGGCTCTGCCTGTGTATATGCATAAGGACAATTATTGCAACATGTAGAGTGAATAGAGAGAATGGAGATCTGAGACTCAGCAGAAGCTGATGATGTTATGATTTTAGGAAGAGAAAGGCCCCATTCTTAATTTCAGCAGCTGCTATGAATACATGCTCCAAGCTGTAGACTAGCTAGCAATATGTTGAGGTTGTGCTGTAATGTAACTTTTCTTTGAGAAATGGGATAACAGCAACTTCCTGTTTTCTCTTCCCTTTCTACAGCACAGGAAAGAGCCTCCCTGAAGTGAGTGTGGAAGTCTTGGCAGGTGTGTCTTGCTGTCACACAAACTTAAGCAAATTAACTGAATGGAGTGCTGGCTGACCGTCAGGGGCTTGGCTGGGATGTGGTGCGTGTGCAACAAAAGTGCAGCATGGGACTGTGAGGGGAACCTGAGGAAAGGTGCATTGAGTGAGTGTGAGTGCAACATAGGGTGAGTTACTGTGCTGGCTTTGAACAGGATGTGTGGATAGCCCCAGTCCCTGCTGGTGTTTCTCCACTGTGCATACTGCCAATGCTAGCCAAGTGAGATCTTGTGTGAATTTGCTTGTCCAGTGCTCTTTCTGCTGCCATATGCTCAGGGGCTTACACTGAGGCTGCCTTAGGTGCACCACGTGTGAATTCATCATCCATAAGCTGGCTGTTGTGAAGGGAGTCTTGACTTGCCTCCCATTCTCAGTAGGTTGATTTCTATACCTGCTTGTATTTAAATCTGCCTGTACTTGTGGCTGACGTAAGAGGTGGGGTGAGTGTTTCTCACCTGAGTCTGGAGGCAAACTCAGATGTCAGAGCTGCAGTTCTTAGGAGCTGCACCAGCAAAACAGCTGCAGAGCAGCTTGGGTGAGCCTCTAATGCCTGCCAACAGATCCCTCAGATCCTACATTTTCTGGCCTGGTTCAGCTTTGTTTATAATGCAATTGCAGAGTAGCACACCTGACCTGTGTATGTCATTCAGCTCTTATTAGCAGTTTTAATCCTTCGGTCCTGCACCAGTCTCCTCTGCCTGTCACAATGGGAGCAGCATCAGACGGTCAAACAATGTAAGTCTGGGGGGTTTTTGGCTGGGTTCACTTATATCTGGAAAAGTGGAGGGTAGATGCGTTTCATGCTGGAGAATTTCACTGAACACAGAATATGCTCAGTGCCAGGCTGTACAGGTTTCCCGGGGTCAGACCCTGTCATGGCTTAGAAGTATGTCTGCTCTTTTCATCTCTCCAAATGCACATCCGAAAGTGAGATGTCTCAATGTGAGCTAATCACCACAGGCTTTCTGTATAACTCAGACAAGTATCTAATTTTTACACATTTAGGAGTGAAAAGATGAATCCCACCTGATGTTTCAAATGTTGACTTCATAGTAAAAATCTGCCAAAGCTTTACCCTTGCTGATGCCTTGATAGTTTCTATTTTTCTGCTTTTCAGAGGCCTCTTGGATCAAGCTGGAGAAATAGTGAAGCTCATGAAAGAGAACCAGGTGTGTTTAAAGAACAGGACTGTTATGAGAGTTTTGGTCTCCAATCTGGAAAAGGAAGAAATGTGATGAAATACCTTAAACACCACCTAAACATTCCCTTAAAATAGGACATATTGTTTCTTGAGCTTAACAGACTGTGGTCTATCTGTAAATAGAATCAGTTCTGTACTCTTTTGAGGTATGGAGTTTTGTTCTTGAAAATATCTCACCTGCTTTATGTTTGCCAGAAGAGGCTGATGAGGTTGGCATGGAAGCCAACATTTTTGTTTTTGTATTGCTTAAGGATGTGAGACCTCTATCTACGCTCTGTAACTGTGCCAGTGTTTCTGAGAAGCCAACCCAAAATTGTAATTCTTGATATTTATCTCTTCCTCCTGCTATCTTAGGATCGTATTTTCAAAAAGCTTGAGATATGCTTTGGTTGATATCAGTGGTTGATGCTGGTGAGAACTGTACTATCACTCATGGCTGAATGCTTTGAAAATCCCACCCTGGAGTTTTAAGTACTCATTTTTCTTCTGTTCTCAACCCTCAGGCATGTTATTTTGTAAAATGATATTTACATAACTTGCATATATAACTGCCAAAGTGATTCTGCTGTTACCTACTCCCTGTGCAGGGAGCTCGCAAGACTGTATGTGTATGAGCTTAGCATGAGTTTTTATGGAACTGAAGGCTTCTAACCAACACTCTTTGTGTTTGGCAGATGTTGCCTAACGAGCTCAGGACAGCTGGGCAGAGCTCTAGTCCTTAGATTTTTGCTCAAGTCTGCATCCCACCAGGATGAACCGGTCTCAGCAGCTCAAGAATGTTAATCTGTCAGTAAACTTCATCAGGGTTAGAAAGAAGCAGCATACAGCTTTGTGCTCAGCAGTGTGTGCCCATTTCCAGTGAACTTCAATGGCAGCTGCAATTTCTGGTTTTATCCTTGGATTTTTGTTGGTGTGCATTCATCTTTAATGGCAGGATTTGGTTGATAACCATCTATTTGCTGCCTACTGTAGAGAGAAGCTGATGAGTCAGACAGAATGGATCAAAGCATCTGGGGTTGGGCAGTGGACTACTGTTTTGTCTTGCTGATTTAAATCATGCATGAAAGAAAGGATGGCAAATAGGACTCTTACCATCATACTCCTTTTAATTTGTTTGTTTATTTTTCTTCCAGATGCTGGACTTCCAAAATGATTGGAAACTGATCACAGTTTTCTTTAGTGCTGAAAACCCATGCTCTTCTTGTGCCTTCACACAACCGGTAGTGTTTTCATGGGGTGGTTTAGCCATCAAAGTGTGTGATTCAATCACTTTTGCAAGCTCTATCCTTTGCCATAGTGGACCAAAGCAGTAGCTGGTTCTAGAAGATTGGAGTGATGCTATTCAGTAACATGAGCTTCTGCTCCACGAAGTCTTTTGTATTTAGAAACATGTACTTGATTTGGAATCCCAAATCTAAGATGCAGTAGTAGAACAGTTCTCCTATTCATTTTTTTTAAAGCTGTTTCTCATTCCATTTACAGAAGAATTGCATATTGGACAACCTGGAAAAACTTCAAGAACTCTTAGACTTTTTATATAAAGAAGTAAGATGTATTCATCAGTTTTCAATACCTGAATCCTCTGGCGAATTTTTTTTTTCTATCTTTCTGAACTTTGGCTTGTATCAGTGTTCAAGTGATTCACAACACAAATCTCATTGACTTTAATCCTCTCGCTCTATTCATTGCCAGTAAGTGTTTTATTTGTGCTTTAAAAATTTGATGCATGCAAAGAGAAAGGACAGATAGTTAACAGCTTAGCTTTGTTAATCAGACTGATGTGCTACTTAGTCTGCACCTTGTATTTTTAAAGTGATTTGCATGAAAAATGGACTAGATCAGTCTAGATCTGGAAGTTTTCCTTCCTAATAGTGGTCTTTATGAAAATATATGTAATTATTGGATATGTGAAGCAATCTATGCAGTGTACCAGCTGCTAAATGCTAAGTGGAGACTTGTTTATACCAGGAAAAAAAAAAATAATAAATTAAAGATCTGTATAATATCTATTGGGTCTTTTTTTCTGCCGTTGTGTCCATTTTAAGACCTCAGTATTTCTAGCTGGCTGAATGAAAGCTGATCGATTTCTCTAGGATGAATTCTGGGAAGTGTTCTGTCCTGAGTACTAGTCTACTAATGAGCAGTAAGCTAGATAAAGATGCATAGACACTACAACAGACTATTTATCTGAAGTATTTCAGTAGCTATTTCCAAGAATCTTATGTTATTGGATTGACAGCCTGATGGGTATTCTACATGTGCTCCAGTTTGATTACATCAGGACACAGACATTCATTCTTTCCAGACTGACTGACAAATATTGCGTATGGGTGAAGTTCTACCCATATATCTGCTTCAGATTCCCTCCTCTATTATTTGCAGAATCTGTATACGTGCACTCACAAAAGTGAAATATCAGTATGGAAATGGAAATCTGCTTTATCCTTTATGGGAGAAGTGAGGTGAGATATGTGAGTGCTTGTGCTATTACACAGGATATTTCATCCTCAAGCATTGCACTGACATATTGACACAAAAATAGTAGCTCTTTGCTCATCTGAGTTCAGTTTAGTTGGTTAGTGGCCATCTGGTTCATGTAAAAATGAGCTTCTAGGTATCAGTCAAGAAATCATTGTCATGAGTATTTCACAAATGATGACTCAGGTTATACTAGATGGCAGGCATAGGAGTAGGATTCAGGAAGGAACTGGCAAAGACTCAGATCACTGATTTTATGAAGACAGAATCCTAGCTCTGAGGTAACACAAGTTGTAGATTCTAGCAAGTGGCAGAAATAGTAACTTATGATTTCCTACAGCAGATGTTAATGTCATTAATTTTTACTTTATCACTGCAGGTTCCCAAAGCCTTTGTAAATTTGGTAGATTCCACTGAGATCACAACTTCCTTTCTCATGTGCCAAGATCCTCAAAATGCCAGGTAACAGAGGCTCCTCTTAAATTCTTAACACTGTCTCCTACTTTTGTTTATTGTTCAGTGTGTGTACTGTCTCTATACCAATCAGGTAGACTTCTGAATAGTTTTCTGCCCTTGATGCCAAAGTATGTCACAGATTTTTAGATTTCAACTTTTGCTTCTGATGCACTCTCTCTGAAGGCATGGATTTACAAGAAGTAAGGGCTTTAACTTAATCAGTTTGGATACTATGTTTAAAGAGTGCATACTGCAGTAGGGGTGAGTTGACCCCAAGAAACCACGCAGCCTCTCTGTTGTTTCCCCTTTTACCATGCTATAGAAGGATGAGAGAGAAAAGGAAGAATAAAAGCAAAATCATGTGGCTTAAGATAAAACCAGGTTAAAGGTGAAAGTTTAACACATTAGGAGAGAGGGGGAAAGATGTGAGGAACTAAATGATTCAAAGGTAATAATTCTACTTCGAATAAGTGGACTAATATCCTTCTGTCTCCAAGCAACAGTGACCTCAGAATCCAAAATGTCCCTTTTCTTCCTCTACATCAAATTTTATTTCCGAGCGTGACCTTACATTTTGTGGAATATCCCTTTGGTCAGCTCATGTAATCTGTGCTGGCTGTGTTCTCTCCCACCCTTCTTCCATCTCCCCCCTACTCACTGGGTGGGATAGTAGGAAAAGATAGAAATATTTGGCACTGCAAGCACTGTTCAACAGCATTTTAGTTGCAAGTCCTAAAGGCAGTGCTGTATGAGAGTTTTGAGGGAGCTGGCTGATGTAGTTACCAAGCCATTCTCAACTGAAAAGTCATGACAAGGTGAAGGGGACTGGAAAGAAGGCAATGTCACATCCTCTTTTAAGAAGAATAGAAATGATGATTCAGGGAACTACAGACCTATCCAGCCTCACCTCTGTGCCAGGAAAGATCATGGAACAGATCTTCCTGGAAGCTACACTAAGGCACATGGAAGAGAGAGAGATGTTACGAGACAACTAGCGTGGCTTCACCAAGGGCAAGTCCTCTGTCTGATCAATTTAGTGTCATTCTGTGGTGGTGTAGCTGCATTGGTGGACAGGGAGGAGCCACCGATTTCATGTCTGTTGTTCTTGAGGTGGGTGGACTGCTTAACAGACAAGGAACAGGATGCGAGATCATATCCAGAGAGTGATGGTCAGTGGCTGAATGTCTGAATGGAAATCAGCAAAAAGTGATGTCTCTCATGGGTCGGTACTGGGATAGATGCTGTTCAATATCTTCATCAAATGACATAAACAGTGGGATTGAGTGCACCTTCAGCAAGATTGTGGGTGACACCAAGGTGTGTGGTCAGCACACCTGAGGGACAAGGTTCTATCCAGATAGACCTAGACTGGATGAGCAGTGGGTTCAGGAGAACCTCATGAGGTTCAACAACTCCAAGTGCAAGGTCTTGCACCTGGGTCACTGCAACCCTCACTATCCATATAAGTTGGGGGCTGAAAGGATTGAACACAGCCCAGCTGAAAAGGACTGGGAATATGCTGCTGAATGGCAAGCTGAACATGAGGGGGCCTATAAGAAATAAGAAGTCAGACTCGTTAGCAGGATCTGTTGTGATAGGACAAGGAAAAATCGTTTCAAACTCAAAGAGGGGAGTTTTTCACGATAAGAGTAGTGGGGCACTGAAACAGGCTGCCCAGAAAGGTGGTGGATACTGCATTCTTGGAGGCATTCAAGATCAGACTGGATGGGGCTCTGAGCAAACTGATGTAGTGGTATGTGTCCCTGTTCACTGCAGGGGAGTTGGACTAGTTGACCTTTAAAAGTCCCTTCCAACTCATACTGTTCTATGATTTTATGGGCTGCTGTGAAGAAAATTAACTCCACCTCAACTACATTCATGATCACAAAACTGTAAGGTCCATTCACCCCCTGTTCTTTAGTCAGAGTTGCTTCTGCTCTGAAACTCTTGAATTGAAAACTCTGGAGGTTCTTTAAAAGTACAAGTTCCTAGGTATCCAATGCTCACAATATTCACAAAAGGAATTAACTGGTTTTAAAAACAATTATGAAGCTATAAGAAAGCTACTGCTTGGGCTTGGGTGGTGTAATGGAGATCTTCCAACTTGCTAATTCCTCTATGGTAATGACTTGCATAGATGCTTTCAGCCATCTCCCTCTCTCAGTACCTTTAAAGAAAAGTGCGAGTAGCTTACGTCCCAATTTAGCAGGGAGTAGGAGTTTGCACAAGGACTGTTATGATAGAGTAGTTTACAGCTGATGAGATTACACTGTTTCACTTTGGTAATCTTTTCCATGCCTATGACATGAGACACAGTATGTACTAATATATTCATTTTGATGTTCTTCACAAGCTTTGTGAAGGGGGAGTCAAGGAGGGGGTCTGGCTGCTGTGTAACCATGTTCTTAACAACAAACATAAGCAGAGAAGAAGCTTTCTTTGTCAAAAGCAATTGTGTGGAGAATTCTGGCAAGATTACTTATCAATGTGATCTTGAAGCTATGTTTATCTGTTTCAGCAGTTCCACCAGTCTGTATGCTTTGTGCTCAAGTATAAAACTCCTGGGTTCATCTCAACCTCAGGCTCAGATCGTCTCCCAGATTAAGGCTTCAGTATTTGGTTAGCACATCCTCATCTCTGGATTATGCTTTCAAAGAAAAAAAATGAGCTCTGGCCAAAAGAAGAAACTTAAGTTATCTAAGAACATAAAAACAGTTTATGAACTCCACTTTCAGGAAACTGCACAACTCTATCTGTGTATTGTATGAGGTTCTTAAATGGCCCCTGTGTACTTGTCTATTAGGCTGTGATAGGATGCTGGTACTGAGTTCATATTTCTTTCACTCACCAGCTATAATAAAAAAGCATTTTAACAGGAATACTGACACTCTACAGGTTTTGCTAGAATTTTGTGAAAAGGAGAGAGAGTCTGACCCTGACTGGTGCTTTCTGTTTACACCTGCAAGTCTCACTACAGGTTTTTCAGATTCCTATCAGTCCAGGAATTTTCAGCTGAGTGTATCTGTACTGGAACCAAATAAACCTCAAATATCTAATACCGTTCCTGTCTGCTGCCTTGGAGGAGAGTCTGAGTTTTCCTGTGAGCTGCAGAAATATGCAGTGTGGAGATCTCATCTTGTAGATCAGAGATTTGACTGAGATTAGCTAGCTACTTGGTAATGTCTGGCCACTGTTTAGCACAATTAAGAATTTTTAGCAGTGAGCTTCCATTCACATTTCTAAATGGTGGTCTTCTTGCCAAAAACTGAGGCAAAAGTCCTTCTGTTTTGAATGTGTTCAATTTTCTTATGTGATGATAGAAAAGAAAGTGTTTGAAAACTAGTGCAGCAGTTTTAAGCCTGAACAGACTGCTGGCTTGTGAAACCCTGTGCTAATCCAAGTCTAGCATATTTGCCAGCTGAATAGGCTTTCAAGCAAAGTAGCAGGTCAAGGCTCTGGACATGGAAATATTTATCACTCTACATTTAAAATAACAAAACATCTAAATGGAGTTTTGTCAGTGTATACAGTAATTTAGGCTTCAATATATGCTTGCCAGTACCTTAATAGTTTGTGCTTTCTGTCTACTTTATCAGAAGTTCATAACATCTGTTTTTCATCTTCTCTGCAGCAACTCAACTGGGAATCAGTGCAATTGTGTTCACGAACACTCTATGCTAAACTGTAACATTCTGAGGTGGTCCTATCAGGTAAGGCATTTTTTGTCGCTTGGTGTTGCTAGATATGTCTGTCTATTCATTTTCCAGATTAAACAGAAGTGAGAAGCTATGGGAGGGATAGTAGTGAGGAAGATTAGAAACTGGTTTTTTTTTTTTTTTTTTTTTTTTTTTTTTTTTTTTTTTGCCTACATCAGCAGCAATCCTGACTCCAATTCTCACATCAGGAACAATGAAGATGAGTTCTCTGCATGTCTGAGTGACCTTAGCATCTCTTCCAGTTTCTAATGACTGTCTAGCTTTTTGAACCTAGGGTTTGTTATAACCTATGAAGGAAATGGTTTATTGTCCAGTAACCTTGGCTGTTGATGCTAAGTTAGAAGAGGGAAATTTTCAGTAAGACAAAGGCAGCTGTGCAGGAATTTCTTTAAGAATGATGGGGAGGCAAGTAAGTACAATACTAAAATTACTGTCCTTTCAAAGAAAATAATGCCAATTCAGTGTATCTTTCTCACAGCCACAAGGATTTTCTAACTATTGCATAGGATGGCTTCATTCAATTACAGTCTCTGTTCTGAATTACAGAATTTGATTATTATGGTTTATTAGGGATGGGGATAATCCAAGTTCACTTTAAGAACCAGTGAATTGCACATGTATTACACTCTTTACATGATAATGCTTATCTCATTAAATGGTTGTCCATTTAGGATGCTTGGGAAAAACTTCTCAAGTCTAAGAGGTACGATCAAAAGGATGATTTCACTGTTGTTCTTCAGCCTTCTCTCCAAGAAACAAATCTTTTGCTCAGTCTGGTGAGTAAATGCGTGTTGCTCCGTTCTTTCTGAAGCATGTCTTATGAGATAGAGCACAGTGCTCAGCTGGCTCCTTCCTATCTAAAAGACAAAGTTAGTTAGGCATGTAGAACACACCTTGAGATCTGGAGAAGGGGAAGATATGATTTTGTAGATAATGGATCATTCAATAAAGTATTAAAATCCAATATAAAACACTTGGTGGCTATTGGTATATTAGGTTGGTGGTGGGTAACAGTCCAGTTCACAAGCACTGTAACAACTTTTTGATCGTGTCTTAATTTCATTGCTTCCCTTTGCTCAAAGTGGACTGGGAGAAGGAAATTTGTCTTCCAGGCAGTTTAGGTTTGCTGTGTTGCAAAACCTTCCTTTGCTGTCTTATGGCAAGCTTATTTTGTTAACTGCTGGTCCATATACAAATGCCAGACTTAATTTCCATGACACGACTTTTCTTCTTTGTAAATTGCTCTGTTATTTTCTCCTGTGCCATCTTATGTCTCTGTTGGATTCTCTGTTTCCTCCAATTTGTAGTATCAAGCCACCTGACCAACAGGCCACTGCGCGCAATCTTCCAAACTCTTAAATCACTTTCATTTAAAAGTAAACATGCTCTACTAAGACAAATTATTCATGCTTCCTCTTTTTTTTTTTTTTTTTAAGCCTGTAAAAGCTAGCTAAGGCAAGTGTTGTTTATTCCAAATTATTCATGTGATCGCATCTGCATATTTCCCTGATCTCTTATATTGTCACCGTTGTGTTTATGTTTTGTTGTTGCTCTGTTTTGTCATGCTCTCTACGATTTCTCAGAGCAGGGATGGTTTCTTCAGCACATCAAAGACACAAGTGGAAACTCGGGAAGAAGATTATATTTTCATGGCTTTGAGCCTCTGGAAGAACATGGTGAGCAGTGCTACAGATTTTGTTGTTTAGACTTAGTACAGATACTTCGTAGCAGTTCCACACTAGCCAGACTTTGAGTAGCCTGGAAGACAGGAAGGAGGAATGTAGGAAAGAAACATCCCATGATCAATTTTCAGTGTGAAGAATCCTCTCTGTAATAATCCTAAATGCCCTGTGGCTGCTACTTTCTACCAAGAACATTTCAGAAATGTTTCTGAAGTAGTCCTATTGCCAAGGAGTAGAAGAGCTGCGGCAAACCCTTTTGCTACCCTCAGTTGTGTGGCAGAGTGACACAGTAACAACTGAGGCTTTTCATAACCCGAGATTGAAGTGGTTTTACAGCTCACTCATCCCACTCATAATGTCAATTTTTCTTCATTCTGCTTCTCTTGCTCAGAGTAAAAAGTTGACAGGCAGGCTTGGGGAATTCCTATTGCTTCCTCTAGAGCTGGGCGTTCTATCCAGCTAAGAAAATCCAAACAGTGTGTTACCTTTAGATGAGAGAGAAAGCATGTTAGAAAGAAATATGGCCTGTTGACCCACTCAAGTTTTAAAACAATGTCCAATTCTGTACCAGGCTGTTTCCTTCTGCAGACTTGAGACAGTAACACACAGCATTTTTATGTGTAACTGGGTGCTTGCTCATACAGCTGGAGGAGTTGGCATTTCATTGATGAAGGGGACAAGTAAAAGAACAGGAGTTGTTTTCCAGTGAGACAAAACAAAAGCAAACAGCTGCATTTATGCTCACTAGAGCAGGGTAGGATGTTACTGCTTAGTGCATGCCATGTTTAGATATGCCCTAATAGCAGTAGTTTTGAGTAAAATGCTGATTTTGCTGTTCATTCTGGATTAGAATCTCTGTTTTCGGCTTTTCTTTCCTAATAAACTTCTTATAAGACACAGCGTAAGGTACACACATGATCTTATTTTAATTAAAAGGAATCTTCAATGGCCAATTAAAGTTAAAGATATAAAAAAACAACTTATTTTGCACCACTCTTAAAATAAATCCATGCAAATAGATGTGTTCTTGTTTCATTTCATGCTATTTTTGGCAGTAGTAATACTGCTGTGGTGCTGACCATTTAAAGAAGTAGGATTTGCAGGAAGGAACTCTCTCTTATTCAACCTGGTGACATAGCTAGAAATAATAGTTGTTCCAATAAAAGATATCTTTCTGTGTACATCTGGCACTTTAAATAGATAGTGTGAAGCTTAGAGTTTAAAGTTGATCAAGCACTGAAGCTTTAACCTTGACCAAATGTGCTGCATCCAGTTATCCATTTTGCTGTTATCTGTGACACTCCTTACCATGATGTTAAAGTTCCCATCTTGATTCTTCTATTGCAAAGCAGATGCAGTGATAAGATTCATGTTGGCCTCTATGTCATTTTGTCTCAGTCTCATGAAGTAACCAGATTCACTAATTGAATGAGCACAGCAGACAGTGAAAGTCAGATTCCTGATATCTGAATTAAATTTTGTCTCAGTTCCCTATTAAAAAAATGGGTTGAGTTATTTAGACTGTCCGTGTCTCAGTGTCCCCATCAGTAGTGGCAGTATTTACTTATTTCATGCAGTTCCCACTGTCACTTAAATTTGATTGGTAAGAAAGTAGGAAGAGGTGGAACCTCCACAGGTATTAACCATTATAAATATTAAACCTAGACAGGAGTAAGCCACATGAACATCCAATTTTCTGAGAAAAATGGTCCTTTTCATCTGTTTAACACTACATATACATTTTCAATTTTTTGAAATGAAATCCTGAATTAATATTCCAACTAGTGCAGAAAATAAAAATTTCTGATAAGAGGGACCAGACTGCTACCTGTTAGCTTGCCCATTTTTGAGCCCCTTGTTTGGGGCCAACTGAACCAAGTTTATCAGAATTTGAGCCATCTAGGTACAGATCTAGTCTGATCTATTATGTTTTCCAGGGTTTATCAGTCAGAAGGTGACCTCTAGATTTGAGTTATATCTATCTCTTACAAGGCTGTAACATTATCAGAGATCATGTGCTTCTAATGGGCTTCACATCTTTTAATTTTTTTTTTTTTTTTCCTATTTCCCTGATATCCTATGGTGTAGATTTGTCTTTCTATTGCTTCTTACTGCTCAGCTTTTCTGATTTCACTTTATGTAGAATGTCAATATTGGGCATCTTGCTTGTTCTTTACAAGGAGTTCTGATAGTATTAGCCACACTCAGTAACACCTATTCTGCTTCTTCAAAATCCAGGCCCTGTAGAAAAGAAGAGGGACAGAACTTCTGAAGTTTTATAACTACTGCAAACATACTCAGTTAACCCAACACTGATTTCTCTTTTGTGCCCTTTCAAATTCTTATGCTCAGCTAGTAACAAATTCCTTCTGCCCCTCCAGATACATTTTTTTTCTTTTCAGTTTCTGCCTTGTAAAGAGCCTTTCTCTCTGCTTCATTTTTCTCTGCACATTTCCCTATTTTTCAACTACCAACTTTCCTATATTTCAGTGTATTTCCTCAGTGTGAGAGATATCCCCTAAAGAGGGGAGAGCCTAGATGATCTGGATGAAGATCAAGATGTGCCAAAACTACACGTTGCTTGTGGTTTGTAAGGAGACTGCAGGAATTGTAGTGTCCCTTGATAACTTCTTTCTCCTTTGATTTCCCTGCCTCCCCTTTCATTCAGGAGCAATTTTCTTAACACAAATGGTGATTATCAGAAAGGCACCTCCCTGGGTAGGTTCCTTATCTGCCTGTGATAGTATTCTGGCATTGTGTGAAAGGGGATGATATGAAAGATGCTTTCAGTGTAAAAAGCACTGGGTAAGTAACCTTATCGGATAAGGTTCACTCTAGCTGTCCTCTTCAGTAAAGTTAAAGGTTTATACTGACAACACACAATGCATATCAGGAACTGATAGGAAATCATGGTCATGATTGAGCAGCAAACAGCAGAATGAGGAGGTGATGAGGAAATGTGCTCAGTGTGTTTCCCTTCTGCCATCAGCCCGGCTGTTCTTATGCTGGCAATGCTTGTTTTGAGGCTTGATACTAGCTTTTTTCTTGGACTGATTAGCTGCCTGTTGGCCAAAGGGCAAAACCTTGAAAGTCCAGTGGCAGTTGGTAGTGGTGCTGGACTTCAGTCTGACTGAGAAACTGAGCTAGCATGTATTCTAGGCATAGCTGAGTATTTTTCTGTACCATTCCTATTATGTAGGAGCAGTGCGATTCAAGTGGTATGCACGCCAGCTGAATGACATGAAGTAGTGAGAAAAGCTGAGAGGCTGTTTGCTTACTTGAATGGTTTTGATGTTTACCACAGAGAGTCTGATTAATTTTGTCAAATGCCCACAACTTTATCTCTGTAAATATATCCGAGGGCAAAGCTCCTTTCATGTGCGTAACGAACTTAGATAAGAAGCTCTTGTGTTTAGTGTGCAACAGAGAAGGTTCCCAAAAAAATATCCTGCAACTCAGAGAGAAACAAACCAAAACTAGGTAAGAACTTAAATGAGAACAGCACCCACATGAGGCTGTACCTGCCTCTCTCCTGCTCTCAGTGCTCTACACTGAATTAAAAACCTCTGCAGTCACGAAGCAGACCAGTCCACTAACCTGTCTATATGTTAGGATTCAGAGTAGGTTCTGGCTGACCACAGCGCAGACTCAGTGCATGGCTTCCTATATCGCCTGCATGGAAGCTGCCCATTTTTCCTGGGAGAAGTGTTTCTGAGCAGTCTGGAATGAATCTCCTGGAGGAATTTGCTCTCATTATCCAACAGCATGCAAATGTCTAATACTTATTTCTAATTCATTTGTAGCTGAAAAATGTCACTTTTGTACTTTTGTCTCGGGATCTGTAGCATGATTCCGTGCTGGAAGAATATATCCTTTTAGGAATGTTCTTAAACAGCTGTGTTTTATTTTGTCCTATGGGATGGAAAATTACCACCCATATCTTCTCTCTGAGCTTTATTTTGAGCATTTCATGGACATTCCTTTTACTACTCTTTCAAAAAAGCACAAGCTTAGTTTCTTCAAGTCCTTCTTTGAAAGAATGTCTAACTGAAAGCCTCTTCTCTTTTCTGCTTCTGTTTTTTTTTTTTTATTCTTTTTTTCTTTTTATTTTCTCCACCTTATCTTCATTGACAGAACAATCAAAATATAATACAATATTCCTGCCCAGCATTTATCAGTGACATTAAGCCTGTTACTGCCTTATTTCTCAACACCTTCAGTCCTGTTTCTTAAGATCCTGGCAGCTGCCATTGCTGATGCAAACTGAGCAGAGGTTCACTGAGGATTTTAAAACAGTCACCAACTCCTTTGGGTGTGCCTGCCATTTAATTAACTCCCAGCAAGGTGTATGAATAGATGAAGTGATTCTTCATGATATTTACCTCTTTGTGCTGCCAGTACTGAGTTTTGGGTTACACAATAATTTCTTACCTATCTGTCTTGTTGGAAGGCAAATAAAGGCCTGCAAATATAAATATTATCAAGCCTCCATGCAGAGGTGGAGTGCACCTTTTGATGCTGTGTAGCATGTATCAAAATGTAGATAAATAGTTATGAAAATAGAGTACATTAGCAGGGATTTAGCTGAGTAAGCTACAGCCACCACAGAATTGATGCATGATTTTTCTTTATATTCCCTGTTTCTGACTATTGCAAAATGAGTTTGCAGTACGAGGAGCATTAAAGCGTAACATTCGCAAGACAGAAGAAAGGGGTGGATGCAACCTAAATATGTTGCCTAACAGACAACTTCTAGTTTTCCATTTACATTAGGAATTTTTTATTTTCTCCTTCTGAAGTAAAGCAGTGTGGTCTTCAACAAACCCTCTGTATAATCTGACTCAGAGCAGAGTTTTCTCAAGAGGTTCAGTAGCATAATTTTTACTGTGGTAACAACCCTTTTGTTTTTTCATACCTGGCCCAACTGGGAAGTGAAAGTGACTTCTTAATTGAAGCCAAGCATAAGCTATGTAAGAGGAGGGAATGAATCACAAATATGATTGAAGCTATGCTCTTCTAGAGCATGTCCTTAGTTGCTGTTGTTGAGCTAATAAATAACGTCTCGATTACAAGTAGTCAAATGCTGTGGTGCGAGATCCACGCCTTGCAGCCAGCATTCCCAAAGACAGAGTTAATGTGTGGAAGGTTCTTCTAATGATGATAATGATGATAAAATCACTCACAAGCAAAACAAGTTTTTAATATGTATTAACCTGATGGATAACTCAAGGCTCTAGAGCCTCTGAGTTACTGCTGCTCTCCCATCCTGCCCCCGCACAGCGCATGTATAAGTCCTGTATTGTGTCCCTTTCCAGATGGAACCAGTTGGGCAGAAGAAACCATACAATTTCACAACACTGCATCAGGTCCAGTGTCCATCTCAGGTAAAAGTACTTCCTTATTACTGAGAGTTTTTACTTACTCTTTGCAGAGTATCCGAGTTTTCAAATATTGTCATCTTCTGTGGTTCTTAGAAACATATGCTTTCCTAAGATACTGCACTACAAAAAGTGCAGCATTCCTAAAGCTAACTGACACGGTTTTTGTTGTATATAGATGAAACTCAGAGAACAAGAACTTCTGATAAATTAAGTCATCTTACTGTCAATTTTTTATCTAAAAACCATCTAATCTGAATTGTTAAGTTGTGAATAATGAATACAGCATTATCAGTATCTTTCATCAATAAAATCGAATGTATGCATTTTATATAATTTGACTTTTCAGTTATTTGATTCTGTCTTTGTCAGATTGAACTATTTTCATCTGTGAAGTTCTCAGTAACTCAGTAGTATCTTCAGGGTCTGAATATTTCTGAGGTTCAAAGAACAGATTCTAGAATGTCTTTGCATTTAAGCATTGACTTCAATAATTTAATAGTGATGAAACACTACTGGCATCACAACGCTTCACTAAACAGCAATTAAAGCATCAAAGAAATTAAATCATCTATTTTGTTTGATGTTAGGTTTGAGGCAAGAGGTAGTGTTGTGCCTATGGCATTCAAAGTCTTAATTTTCAGGTCTAACCTGGTTTACTTCACCCATTCGATGTTCGTTCAAAGATTAACGTCTATATTTTCTTCTTATGGAAATCCTGTTCAGAATAATGTAATATCAGCTGTTTGAGTTTCCAGTATTGTTTTGTTTGTTTGTTTGTTTTGCTTTTTTTTTTTTTTTTTTTAAACAAACTTCTCTTGCTTCTGCAGAAAAATCCATATTTGTTCACATACAGAAATAGTAACTACTCACTTTCCCAAGAGATATCAAACACTAAAGAAATACTGCAGGTAAGGTAGAACTGTTTACAACGTATGGACTAAGTATATTCCAGGGAGTGGGACAAGTGGGTGGAATTGTATTGGAGCCTAATTAAACAATGTTACTGAATAAAAAGCTCAAACATTATTTCCGTGCTTGATTAAACAGTCAAATAGCATGTTTTCTTTTTGATGGATTTTGTAGAGTGTAACTCATGGTAGATGTTTTCAACCAGGGGAAAGTCTTGTGTTCACTGTTAAGAGTGTTTTTTAAACTTCTAGATCAGTGTTAAGTTCTCTGTGATAAGGAAATAGTGAAAACACAGGCCCTTTAGTTTTACTGTGGAGGAAACTAGATGAAATCAGCATGTGTGGGTCTGATTTCATGTGGTGCACCCCATAGCAAAACTGATGAAACAACACTTGTTTCGTTTTTTGTTGTTGTTTTGTAAGTTGAATATTAGCTGCGTAGGGATAAGTAGCTATGCTTTTTTAGTCATGGTTCTCTGATTCTGAGCAGAATTTGATGCTCCCAAACAGTTACAGAAGGAAAGCATAAAGCTCATCTTTGTGCCCCAAAATGCAATGTCTAGTCTATATCTGCACTCAAAATGGACTGCATGTTTTTTGAATAGTAATGCATGTTTATCCTCTCATTTTAATGTACCTCGAACTGTTTTGCTAGTTAGTAATGGTGTGTAGACCTCTGTATGAAGCAAACAGTACCTGCCAATCTGATTTTAGAAATAGTGTTCCTTCTTATCCCCTCCACTGTAACTGTGTTGTGTTTAAAGAAAACAGTATAAGGGAATAATAGGGTGAGATTAAAAAAAAAAAAAAAAAAAGCCTTTTCTTTAGACAGGTTAGTTTCCTGGAGGAGTGCTCTAGAGAGACCTGGAGCAAGTGCTCGTCCTTGGGCAACGTGCTATGGTCCACTCTAGCATACAGTCAGCTTTTGCTATGGTAAACCTTGGGGATGTTTCTGTCAGTGGGCTGCAACTCAAAGGTACTGGGAGGATGGAAGCATTGTCACCCTTCTGGATGGGTACCACAGTCCTGGTAGTGCCTGGATGTAGCATTCACTTTACGCCTACAGTCTAACCATTGTACTGAAGGGGCTGCACATTGAGAGGACAGGCTTGTGGCCTCTTAGCACTAAACTGTACCTTTGCCAGGATATTCCAGGGGTGTTCAAGCACAATAGGGTGTGAGCTCACTTAGCTCAGAATACAGAAACATTAAAAATTGCTTAGCTGAATTAAGCATGGCACAGAGTCTGAAATAAGTGGCCCTACAAGTAGGCAGAAGTAGTGTTGTGCTATTGTAGATATGTAATTTCTGAGAGGTCTGAATTTCTGTCTGTGTTCAGAGGGTTGGTTTTAGCACGGCCTGGGGAAAGGCTGAGGTGATAGCAGTGCACAAACTATGTGGGGAAGTATGTTGACGTAATGTTCTGAGATATGAATGGTTAATCATGACAAGTACGAGGAGTCTGATTAAGAGTTGCGCTTTCTACTTTTCCAGGAGAGAAGTTATGGAACAAATGTTCCTTGTTTCAACCAGGGTCCCTCTGATAAAGTTCCAGATTCAGGTACAGAATTATGCAATTTTTTTTTTTTTTTTTTGTAGATCCACTTCATTCGATAGTTGAAGAGGAACAAGAACTGGTTTTAGTTAGGAAATGTGCACTTTTGGGTGAAGCAGTATATTCTATTGACTGTGATTTAAAAGTCCTTTGAAACAACATAAATAGTTGTATAGCAAGACACAAGTTTTCCCTGAGGGATAGTGAAAATTTACTCAAATACACCTTCCAGATACAAGCAAAGAAGTGGCAGTAGAAAACCCCGTAGGTTGTCATTGCAAAGAGCCATGTGGAGTCCTGTCCCAGATGGATTTCATCGTCTCTCAGAAGCTATGACAAGCCTTAAATTTTCACCTTACGCTGGCACTGGAGCTGTGCCTGCCTTTCAGCAGGTTCCACCAGTTAGAACAGATTGGAGAGTACAGATGTAAAACTGTTATCTTACTGCTTCCCTTGTCAGTGCAGCTAATGTCAAATTAAGGTACCATGTTTTTTTTTGTTTTTGTTTTTGTTTTTGTTTTTTTTTTTTTTTGATGATGATGACTTGGTATCTGTCATTCTGAGCTGTTGCCATCATGATTATTAAAATTATGTCTTTGCAGTACTTCGTGTTTATACTAAACAAAAGTTCTGATAACCATCACTATTTTAAGTTTTCTTTATTTTCTCCCTCCTGTTGCTTTTTTTTTATTAGTTCATAAGTTGAGACCAGCAGATATTCGAGTGATTGCTGCCCTGGGAGATTCAATCACAGTAAGTAAAAATTGCTGGTTAACCACCATTAAAGCAAGCAATGAAAGACATTTCTGAATTTTAATTTGAGAGCGCATACAGATATGTGAAAACTGCATTTGACTCAATAAGGCATATTTGTTTCAATACTCCACCTTGACTGACTGGTAAGCAGATAATGAGTCAAATGTGTGCATGGTTCCCATTTCAAGTTGATGAGAGTGCTGAACAAGGAGTAACTGCAAGATTGGGCTGCATAGCAGCACAAATACTCTGCTAGAGTGGACTTGTAACTTGCTTTTCTTTATTCAATCACGGTGTTGTCCTTCAAAGCTATTAGTAAGCAGAGTAAGCAGAAGATTCTGCCTCTAACATGAATACATAAAATAAAACTAAAGTCTAGAAAGCCATGTTCATTTAAAGTGACTAAATATTTGAGAAAAATTACAATTTATGATCAGGTGTATCAAGTATGGGGGTTGGAGCTTGATGATCCTTGAGGTCCCTTCCCAACCCTGGCTATTCTGTGATTCTGTGAAGTAACTTGTGTAAAAAATCTTTTAGCACTGCTCCTGGAGGTACATAAAAGAGTTACACACAGATTGGCTGTGATTCTCCAATCAGCGATGACTATTTCATTGCTCATATCATAATTCGTATTTCTTATTTCTGTAATAACTACTGAATTTAATCTTTGCAACTCTCTTTCTTGGGGAAAATGGGAGAAGGAAGATGGAAAATCACTGTACCGTGTTTTAATGCAATGAACATAAAAATGAATTATTCATTCAAGGCCATTGCTATTTTATTTATTCCTTATGCAAATTTAGAATTATACGAACATCTTGAACACACTCAACCACCTTTCCCTCACTTGATCTAATCAAGAAGTTGATAGAAGTGGGTAATTTACTGGAGCAGAGTTGAAATACCCTCAGCCCTTGATCCTCTTGAGAAAAAAGATCTGTTGTATTTTGGGAAGATGATACAGCTTGCCTTGTTAACATTCTCCTGAATTATTTTCACTAGGATAAATCAGGGAACTAGTTATTGTAGCAATTCTTATTTTTTGAAGGTGATCTCTGTTTCTCCTCTGCTTCCAGGCAGGTAATGGGGCAGCATCCAATCCCCATGATGTTCTGGATGTCCTGACTCAGTACCGAGGTATTTCTTGGAGGTGAGTACCAAAAATTCCCACCAATAGTAGGGAATTAATTTTCTTGGAGTTAAGTATATACACTTGTTTTTAGATAACAAGTGGAGATTTTGTGGAGAGTGATTTTGACTGTGTTTTTTGTAAAACTGGTTGTGGTTTTGTTATGATAAATAAAATACTCACACCAGTGACTATCTGAAGTATGATGTAGTGTGGCTGGTCTAAGCCTGCATGTGCAAATGAAATGAAGTCATCATCATCAAGATGACCCCTTTCTTCTTTCACAGTTGCAGCTGTTGCAAATCCCAGATCTCAGTTCAAATGCACCACTTAGGCATTCTGTATTTCTGTCCCTGCTATTTCAATTGCCTGTCTGTTCTTTCCCACTGTAGCCTATGTCATTCATTTCTCTCATTTAGAACTAATGGTCTACAGAAAGTCAGGATGAGGTCCTTTTTCTTCCTGCTCTTTCATCTGCAGTCAGTATTTCCTCAGCCCATTCCCAGTACTACTTATGTTATGCAAAACACATGTCAGTTATTAGTATAGACTTGTACATACGCAGCATTTTAATAGACAGGTCAAAAAGTAATTCTGAAGAAAGGTCATTGAGCTCACTTAGTACTTTGAAAGTGTTTCACTTAACACCAAACCTGGCAGGTTGATTTTCTGCTCGTCAAGTTATTACTCACCTGAGAAGCTGCAGATTTATAGAGATTTAAACAAGTACTAGAGCACTTCAAAATATTATATACCAAAGTAAAGGGATGCTAGAGTGTTGTAGGTCCCTATTTTAATATTTTGATCTGTAATAATATTCTACTGATTTTCTGGGGGAAAAAAAAAAGAAGTATGCTAGCATACAGATGATGAATGTCACCAGTCTGGTAGCAGTCTTCCAATTGAATGAGGTTGGGGAGTAGAAAAGAAGTTGAGTCTATTTATCACTCTGAAATATCTACTTTAGGAACCTGTTATAGGTAAAAAAGAATTGTTAACTAGAAATTGAAGTAATAAATATTTTAACAGAGATAACAATAGTGAAATAGTAGCTTTTTAACATTTTTATTTCTGTCAGCAGTGTTTTAACATCTCTCACAAGATGTGAGGGATTGGAAGAGCAGTTAGTATACAGGGCTGCTACTATAATTACAATTATAATGGTCTCTCTGATTTTTTTTGATCCCTTTGGTATGCATGCAAAGGATGTACTTTGAATTGATACTAACAATCGGAAGGGAATGAATTGTGTTCATATACAAAAAGTGCATGAGAGGAGCTTTCTTACTTAGTACACTGCCTGAAGAAATCCACTGTATTTTAGAACATCTCTTGTATTTTTTTTTAAAGTGTTGGAGGAAATGAAAACATCAGCACGGTCACAACACTAGCAAGTAAGTGCATTTTTCCATAAATCTGATAAATATCTGGAACTGTTTGATAAAGCACCCTTTATTATTAATCAAATAAAAACTTTTTTGAAGGAGGACTTAATATTTGTATCATGACAAGACCAATCGCTTTGTATTCAATGTCCAGTGCTGAGTAGAATTTGCTTAACAGCTGGAATGTAATTTGTGCGTGACATAACCACGTATTTATCATTCTACGGTTTGGTTGTTTCTGTATTCTTCTGTTAGTTATAATTCTATCCCAAATGTGTTGGGGTTAGATGAATCAAAGACACTAGATCATAACCTAAAGTAACTGGCTTGACTGTATGGTAAAGTTGTTTTAGGCAGGTGTGGAATCATTTTACAAGATCGGATTTTATATGCACTGGAGATCAGAGCATTTTAGTTCTGTGGTGTTTGTAAGGTTGCTCTGCAACCCAAGATCTGGAGGGTCTTTGGGTTTAAGGCATCTGGAGAGATGAGGCCGAAGGATTTGTTTCCTACCCATCTCCATTTAGCAAGACAGAATGAGTCTCTTGCCTGAGCATAGGGTTACATAGCCTGAATTACCAAGCAAAAAGATACTTTCGGCCCTGCACGTTTCTTCAGGGTTAATTTTTGACAGATATCTCTTAAAGCTTTTAAGTGTTCTTGTAATAAGATCTCATCTTTATGACTCCAGTTGTTATTGCTGAAGTAAGCAACGTTTCATGGTGTTCTCTTTTTCTGCAGACATTCTTCGTGAGTTCAACCCATCCCTGATAGGATATTCCACTGGCACTGGAATGCAAACTACAGAAAATGCTGCACTCAACCAAGCAGTTGCAGGGGCTCGGGCAGAGTAAGATGAAAACTTTTATTTTGAACAGAAAGTTGATTTTTCTTTTAGAACTTGGTGTAAATCCTGGGGTGGCAGATAAGGCTGGTAAGCAAACCTAAATGTATTTCTTTAGTCCATCTTTAGCATGAAAGCTGAGAAGTGTAGTGAGGGCTTTACAATTTTTCTTGTCTGTCAAATAAAAGCTTTCTCTAACATTGTCAACCAAAGCACTTCACAGGCACTAATCAGAAAGCTTTATATCCCTATTGTGAGTATCTCCACTGCACTGGAGTTATATTCCAGCCTTCTTGTCAGTAGGATCAAGATTTCCTATAGAAAAATCAAGATTAAAAATAAATGGATTGCTTATGGTCAGTCTGTGGTAGAGTTGGGAATTAGCTAGAAATCACTATGCTCAATCTTCTGTGAAATTCATACAACATCCTTTTTTCTTGGGAACGCTTCTTATAAAACATGCATCAGTGCTTGAGGCCATGCGATAACATTGATGCATGCATGGATCCTCCAGTGATATGTACATTAATAGCATCTATCTGATGTTGAGAAGGAGCAAAGTGCATTTGGTTTATGATAGCACAGTGTGTTTTCTACGTATATCATTTACGAAGTGTAACTATGCAGCATTTGCAAAGTGATCAAGTGCTTGTTGTATGCTGTTTTCTCACTTTTTCCATCACTGTCTCAAAATATAGCATTTTCTGGGTAATCAGACCTCTCCTCCTGCATACAGTGAAAACTGAGGTCTAGTGTTTTTTTAGTTACAGATGCCCATTCATCAGCTTTCTTTGCCTTGCTGTCTGTGCAAGACTTCTTTTTTATTTTTATCTAATTTTTAGGGATGTTCCTGCACAGGTCAGAAGACTGGTGGATCGAATGATGAATGACAGCGTGAGTTTAATGTATCATGAATATCTTAAAAAAGATGAAGTAATTTGGCATTATTTTTAGTAACAGCATAACACACTACAGCAAATGCTAAACATAAAACTACGGGTACAGCAGTGCACGGTGTAACGTTCAGTACAGAATCATCCATAACTTTGTCTTAACTGAATCTGTACCAGTATGTGATAGGTCGGCTGTGGTTTAACCCAGCAGGCAGCCAGACACCACACGGCTGTTCGCTCACTCCACCCAGTTGAGTAGACTCAGGGAAAGAATTGAAAAGTGAAAGAACTCATGGGCTGAGAGAAGGAAAATTTAATAAGACATGAAAAAACACACAAAGGTGACGGGAGTAGACAGGAAAAATCAACAAGAAGAAGAATAAATGGAGAGAGAGTACAGTGTAATTCTCACTGCCAGCTGACCCATGGCCCAGCCAGTGACTGAGCAGAGGTAAGGTAAAGGTAAGGGACATCTGGTATGGGACATTCCTTTCATCAGTTTAGGTCAGCTGTCCTGGCTGTATCCCCCTCCATCTCCTTGTGCACCTACACCATCTTGCTGGCAGGGCAGCATGAGGAGTCTGAAAGGCCCTGGCTCTGAGCAACAACTAAAACATCCCTGTATTAACATTATTCTTATCCTAAATCTAAAGTACCATACCAACTACTAGGAGTAAAATAAACTCTATCCCAGTTGAAACTAGGGTATGTTTTTGTTTTCAAATCCAAACAATTGTAACCTTCCAATCATTTTTTACTCAGTAAAACTCAGTGAATTCAGTTCAGTTGCCTCCCCTCTCAACCTATTTCTCTCTGTAAGGTTTCTCTGCTCGGATCTTACTATGATACTCTTAATTGTTTTGTAAGTGAATATTTTTGCCAGCTGTGAAGATGCTGGATGTTGAGGACAAATTCTTTGTATGGCAAGTCATATAGAGTGAATATGGGAAGGACTTGTTTTCATTGAAAACAGTTCAGTCCCTTCTCTGAGTTAGTCATCAGCTGACTTCTGCTTTCCACACTTTTTGTTAGGAATTATTTGATTAAAGTGGGTATTAGGCTGAGGATTATTTACGTATTTTTCACCTCATTACTGCTTTGAATGTTTACCATTTGTAACTTGACATATGTGCTATGCAATCAGTGACCTTGGTTACATGGTACTATTTTGGTACTCTGTGCATTTGGAGAGCAGCCAAGAAGCCTTCAAGATAGCTATGTACATATCTACTATGAATAATCAGGTGAATACATATTGGCAGAAATATTTGCATACCTTCCTTTTTTTGTGCACTTTGTGTAGAAGTGCACAAGTGTTTACATAAGCGTTTACTTTTACAAGATCTTACTCCAGCTTTGTCTGAAATGAGAAGGGATACCAGCTTACAGAAAAGCAGTTGGATAGTTTTTATTCACATCAGTATTTGCCAAGGCTTTCAAGGACTCCTCTGCTGTATTCATCAGCTTGCAAACATCGCACAGCAAATGAATGCAAATGTCCTTTACATAATGAATTAACTAGAAAGAATGCTCATATTAGAGGTAATGCATCTTTGATTTAAGAATTCCTTTTTCTCCTCATAAAACACCTGTTTAGTGCAGGAGGAAAATTTTCTCCTCCATTTTTCCTTTGGATAAGTACTTTTTGAGATCAAACTACTGAACGGTGTGTTTACCAACTGGGATGTGTTACCTTCAGCCTTTGAAGTCAGACACTTTGAAACCACTGGAGGTTGATGCACTATTCCTGCTTTTCCTGGTGGTGTTCTGCACTGAAGTTGAGGTGTTAAGGTATTGAGTACAGTGTCAGCTATATGGTACTAATCATATCTGAAGCTTTTCTCAAAGCTAAGAAGGTTTATGTCTACTATATCTTGATTACCTTGCATTAGCTATTGCTTTGCCTTTCAGAGGAAAAATTACTGTAATTTTTTACCACAATTGTTAAATAGTTGATAATGCCCCTTTGTTCTTTGCAGTTTGTCTCAGTGCAGTACTGAAGTATGTTGCCCTCCAGGGTTTTCCAGCAGGATAGCTGCATTATTTATGACACGGTAAAACACATACCATCATTTCTGCAATGAAGATGTATTCCCAAAGCTGCAGGAGGAGTCAGTCAGTGTGTACACAAGACGTTGCAAAAAAATAAAATAAAAAAATGAAGCAGATGGATTTTTAAGCAATAGCTTTCAGAAACCCATGATTTTGCAAGATACTACTGACACTGTAAATCTTATTTAGATCATAGTTGTTTGTACATCTTCATAGTTGTGACTACAAATTATTTTTGTCATGAAGACGCCTAGAGGTAACGCCAGGTTGCCTGAGAATTTTATATTTATGTTTAGTCTGTTGCCTGGTCTTCATTTTATTTTACTTTCTTTCCTCATAACTTCTATTCCATCTCTTTCTGTCTACAGAGAATAAACATGCAGTCTGACTGGAAGCTTATAACGCTTTTCATAGGAGGAAATGACCTTTGTCAATTCTGTGAAGATCCTGTAAGTCACCCCCTGCACTCAGTGTGAACTTGGTCACTCTCTGCAGCAGCACTAAGACTGTTCACCATGATATGATAAACGAAGGAATATCTTTAGATTGTCTGTAAATTACATAACTGTGGCTGCTTTGTTTTGTTGTTAACTAAGATTGCCTTTCTGCTATCTATTCACCTGTAGATAAAAGATAATGTCAAGGTTTTGCCCTTTTCCTTCACCTTGTACACAGTCATGCTTAAAGCATCTCTCTTGCCAGCTTCAACATTATGGCAATAGTTCTACACCCAGCTCATGATGATGTGATTATATACAATACAACATAGTATAAAATATAAGTACATACATACTATATGCAACCTTCCGACTTCTCGCACAGAGAAGAGATGTTATTTTCTTATCTGCTTATAAACAGCAGAGCATGTACTTTTTTGCATGATTAATTTCAGCCACACAACAATGAAGCACAATAAAATCAGGACTAATTTAAGCATTACTGCCTTCTGCTCCTGATGTCAAACAATGTGATGTTTGCACGTAAGGATGGGTGACTGGAGGATGTCAGACTGGCATCCAAAGATCAGAATGATACTTGCTTTATGTCCCACAACGACAGATAATGCCAACTGTAGCATTCTTGGTGAGCTCTGTTTTAGGAGACAACAAAGGGAGCTGGCTAGTTTTGTAAAGTAGGTGAAGCTCAGAAAGAACTTCTGTATGAAATTAAATCAAGGAAAATTAAAGCTGAAAATGAGAAAGAAATAAATGTTCCTCCCAGTGAACTATATTTTATTATGGAATAGGGCCACAAGTGAAGAAATAGAAGTCAGATTGAGAAAATTGAATAAGATTATTCAACCAACTCAAACTGAATAAAGATGTTTTGCTGCTAAGTGGCAAATATAAAGTGGTTTGAGACTTATTAAGTTTCTCTGGTACAGTTTTTTTCTGTGCAGAAATCAGATGTGCCAGTTAATATTTGTAGGAGGTAAGGAGTACGGAGCAAGCATGTTGCTAATGTTGCTGCAGAAGTTATCTTACTGTTACAAGAGTTGGTCTCTTCTAATATTGGTCCATTGCATTTAAGAGTGGCCAAGACCAGCATGAGGTGGAGGATGTTGTGATGACTGATACTGCCTCCTGAATTTGCTTCCTCTCCGCTACCTCTTTTGTTGTGAATAAATAAGACAGCTGTGATGGGAAAGAAAAAAAAGCAGAGACAGAGGAAGTTTGCACAGGACTCTGTTACCAGTGACCCAAGAATTAGAATGTGAATGCTGCTCTGACAGATGCCAAATAGTCACTACTGTACCTGCTTGAATAAACTGATCTACAATAAAACTCTGTCCTCTTATTTCAACAGATACGCTTTTCTCCTGAAAACTACACCTATAATATTCAAGTAGCTTTGGACATGCTTCACAAAGAGGTAAAACAAAATTTTCTAGTATGTGTGAATGGAGGTTGTGTCCTGTTTGTGAAGCTGCCATTGGTTACTGATAGAGAATTCAGATCCTCGTGTATAGGAAAATCCTTCTGAGAGGCAGAAAGGGCTGCAGAAATATTTTACAGAACGAATAAGGATGTGCTGAGTTCTAGCTGATGTTCTACAGGCAAATCATGTAAAAAGAATAACAATCTGAGCAAACATTATATTCAATGACTATGAAGTACTTTGCTCATTCACTACATTGCAAACAAACTTAATTTTGTTGTTTTTAAAATCAATTCTGATCCTGTTGGTGAGGATGAAGTTGATGGTAGACTACTAAAAAAGTCAGTCAGTATTTGAGCAGTGCTGGGGCCCATTACACCTAGTTTGGACCTTCTGGATGCCATCATTTTCAAGTACCCAGTCCATTAGCATTCAAAACAAAAATAGCTAGTGCACATAGGAGCTGTAATTTGGTATTGTCTGAGAGGGGATTAATTATTAAGAAAGTATTTTGCACATTGCTGTTATAAATAATGTAAGCTGTCTGAATCAGCAGGCTATTCTCTGGGGCCTGCTGTGGCTATGTAAGGGAGGAGATGCGCCCTGCTCCAGGCACCAGCTACGGGTTTGCTTGTTCTCTTGGCAGGTTCCACGGGCGTTTGTGAATCTGGTGACAATCCTTTCTATAACAAGCCTACGAGAGTTGTACGCAGAGGAAAATGTTTCCTGTCCAAGGCTTCTTATGAGGTCTGAAAATTTCTATGGCTCTCACTGTGTTCACTGAAGGCTGCAAGGTCTTCTTGGGAAACTTCCTACAGGGAAAACGTTCTACTATTTTATCTGTGCATGCACATGTATCTAGACAGGAATTTCCACCTGGCATTTAGAAATACCTCTGTCTTTCTCTGCATCTGGGTCCCACTGTAACCACTTTTAGCAGAGCTGCCATTTTAATCGCTTATTCTGCAAAGGAGTTCAAGCCAGAGCTGAAAACTCAGCTGTGCGTTCTGTGGGCAAAGACAGAAGAGAAAAAAAGAATCATTGGATCATAAAGGTTGGAAAATACCTCTAAGATTATCTAGTCCAACTGTCCACCTACCACCAAGAATGAGAGGTTTTTTTGTTTGTTCTTAAATTGGTCACATTAATCTAGAGATTAACTTCTCTACAGTCTTAACTCTCCCTCTTTCTTATATTGTTTCTGATCTCTATAATGTCATCATAGAGATTGATAGATGTTATTAGTTACTATAGAGGTTATTAGTTTTCCTGTTAGTTAGCCTCTCAAGACATACCACTTGTTGCTGTTTGGCTGAGCAATCCTCCTGGGTCAGTGCTAGCCTAATACTGTGTGTCAGGTCTTTGCTTTAGCAAGCTCTCATGGTGACTGAGGAGAGGGCTGCCGTGTCCCCCTAGACTTACTCCTGGCAGGGCTTGCCTGATTTTGGAAAAGCAAGAAATATCTGTTTTTCTAGGCAGATGTGCAGAATAGCTTTGTCCTGTGAGTGCAGGCAGCCACTGCTCCTCCTGCTGCTTAGGTCAAGAAGCTTGTGCTGTGCAGCCTGGTCTAGTGGTTGGCAACCCTGCCCACAGCAGGGGGGTTGAAATTAAGTGATTTTTAAGGCCCTTTTCAACATAGGCCATTCTATGATTCTATAAGGCAGCACAGAGTACAAGAGATCCTTGGAGGCCAGAACCACAGAAGAACTGCAGGGTCTCCTGTACCCAGCTGCTTCCCTGAAACATCTGCCTGGAATTCATCCCACCAAATCACTGCTCTCACAAGGGAACCTGCTGCTGTTGACAGGGCTGTTTCAGAGACCTGGTAGGCCCCATGAAATAGGATGTTTTTCCAGGAGAAGCGTAAATGCAGCTCTCTCAGTATGATTTAGGGACTCTATGCTGGCAGCTGATAGAAAAAAAAAAAACCAACAGGTTTTAAATTTAAAGTGCTGGTGCTTGTAATATCCAGTTGCCATTTCTTTTTAACAAAGGCTATGTGCACTGTAAATCCCAAGATCCTAATCATTGGTCAAGGGCAGTTAGCAAAGGCAATAAGATTATATCAAAAATACATATAACCTCCCATCACTTGAAGAGCACATAAAATTTAACATATGTCTGACTGACTGCAAGCCAAGTTTACAGCAGACCCTGTGTGGAATGACAAATGTCATGTTGCATGGAAAAGGCTTTTTGACCTCGAAAGGTTGTCTGTCTTTCATGAGAGCAGTAAATAATCTAAAAAGAGATTGCATCTTCAATAATTTTATCTTGCTTGTGTTACTAACATACTTTTGAAAATGCTATTTGTTAATTTTATTTTTCATATAGATGTTCTGTAGAAGTAGATTCATGTTGTTTTATTTGTTGCTCTCTATTCAGGCAAGTTTGGAGGTAGGGACATATGTATATATATCCACTACGTTCCTACAGGAAGTATTACTCTAAGAGCTCTCTCAGGATTGACACTATGACCAAACTATAGGATATTTAAAGTGAGTCATTTGTTTTTATTTGAGTTTATCAAATCATACTGAGATATACCCAGAAAGGAGGAGCAGCAGAAGAAAAAAAATCATGTGCATCCAGGAAGGTTTTGAGTCTCTCCAAGAACAAAGACTCCGGCATCCCTCTGGGCATCTATTGGTGCTGTACCAGCCTCCACATGCCACAGTTTGAGTCTAAAGCACCTACTCTTATCCACTGTAAGGGTGGGAATTCAATTCAAGCAGCTCTACTCCTGCCTTGTTATTTCTAGAGGTGACCCTCAGTTCCTTTAGCAGGGTAACAGGTGCCACAGGGCCTCTGGTCAAGACATCTGGCTTCTATCTGCTACTCTTTCTTTCTCTCTGCTGGCTCTTTGTTTGCATGAAGCCTTTTCCCTATGTTCATAAATCCCTAATAAACACATTTTTGTTCAAGGGTTGGGGCTGTGAAGATACTTGCAGATGAGGCTATGTGCTGTGATTGAGCAGTCAGAAAATTCCCCCTCAGAGGAGATTTTTAACTGTGCAGCTTTTCACCTAGCAAAAGGGAAAAGGACCAGCTGGGTCCCAGTGTGATGTTCTCATCCTGCAGGATACTGTGCCCCTGTGTACTGAACTATGATGACAGTTCCAGTGAGTATAAGCAGTTGGTCTACTTCAACAAAAGGTATCAGGTAAGGCTCATGCATTTTCCTATTTGCCTATTGACTTATACAAATTTAATATAATCCTTCTGTTCTTCTCCACCCAAGAAATAGGGGTGGTTTTTTTGTTGTTGTTGTTTTGGTTGATTTTTTTTTTTTTTTTTTGCAAGTAATAAACAGATTTTTATTAATAATACCAGGGTCGGTGGAAAGGGACTTACCCAAGTGACAGAGCAGGGAATATCTGGAGCTGGAAAGCAGCTTGCACTCATTTTAATGACATGTGTAGTTGTGATTTAACTAAAAAGGGGGAGGGAGGAAGCAAGGGGGTGGAGTGCTAGTGAGGAAGACGGGAACTAGCTCAAGATCTTTACAATTCTGGTTTGCTAAAGTAATAATTAAAAAAAAATGAAGAAAAAAAAAAAAAACAGATGAAGAAAAATCTGTTAAAGAAACATAAAAAGCAGAGTATGTCAGAGTTCCGGAGCACTGGAACAGGCTGCCCAGGGAGGCTGTGGAGTCTCCTTCTCAGGGGGTATTCAAGACCTGCCTGGACACCTACTTGTGCGAGCTGGTGTAGGAAACCTGCTTTGGCAGGGGGTTGGATTCGGTGATCTCTGGAGGTCCCTTCCAACCCCTATGATTCTGTGATTCTGTGAGTGCCAGTTGTTTCTCGATCACTTACCTTGTTGGAGATGAGATTAAGTCTAAGAACATGATAAATCAGCAATGAACTTCAGGCAAGGGATAGCAGCCAAATAGAAAATGCTTCAGTGGCTCTAGAACATCTTTTTAGAGAAAATCTGATTATTGAGCAGGTCGCCTGCCTGTGCCACTCAGGTCATGACCCACATGCTGCCTTACTGCAACGAAACTTGGATTGAGACTCCCTAAATGACCTGTGTGTTTGCTGCCTGGTATATGCTGATCATTGTGGCTGCATCTGGGTTTCTGCTCAAGGGACTGGGAATCCCTGGATGAAGTTGTGCAGTAATGAGAGGCCAGTGAGCTCTCTCTAAAAGTAAAAGAAAGAACAATGACAATATTTTTTTCTTGGACTCTGTAAGGTGAGGACCCGTGAATTAGTGGAGAGTGGAAGATATGACACTAGGGAAGACTTTACAGTGGTCGTACAGCCTTTTCTGACTCATATCAGCATGCCCAAAACGCAGGTAAATAAAAACAAAGCCCTGACTAAATCCTGGTGCAGTCTGATTTTTTTTCGGAGTCATACTGGCTTCTTTTTGGTAGATGTGACAAAGCAGAATTCTGGCCTAATAATTATCATATTCAGTTAAGATAACATCCAAAATTGCACAAAATGCTTATGAAGTAACTTGGAGGTAACGGGATGACACTGTTTTAGGCACTGGGTCAACTCCTCTGCAACTACAAACAACTGTGCAGTAGATATTTAGTTCAAAGTATTAACTGGGGAGCATTCATCCTACATCCCCCACACACTGCAAAGTTCTGTCCAGTACTTTGGTAAAGCTAAGACTTCTATTATAAAAACCCACTTTCCATGAAAGGCTATGTGTGAGTCTCTGGGGAAATAAAGAATATGATCTATGACTCCATAGTGGCCTGTTCCTTAATACTTTGGAAATCACGTATTAAAAATGCTTAAAAGGCTTCTCAGTCTTGAGTTACCAGTGTTCTCTGAACCAGTTGGTTCTTCTGGTCTCAGAGGCCCTTGAAGCTCCTTTACACTGAAGTCAGCTGGGATTTTTCAAAAGGGATAGTGCATGGCTTACTGCACGTTTACTGCTCTCTGTGATGGTACCTGTCTTGTTCTCTAGGAAGGATTTTCTGACAATTCATACTTTGCCCCAGATTGTTTTCACTTCAGCCAGAAGTCTCATTCGCAGGCTGCACGTGCTCTGTGGAACAACATGGTAAGATTTTAAAGCTGTATTTGTCACTTCTTGTCCTCTTCAACCTGCTCTTGGCAGCAAAAAGAACCCTGAGGAGCAGCTATACAGCTAGCCCTCTCTTTTCTGAACTGTTAATTATGTTTATAAAAAGAAAGAGCATTCACATGAAGAAAAGTCACTTCAACTGTTAAACCAGTCATATCAAAACAGCAAATCCCAGGACACGTTAAGGCTATGAGTGTTAGGCTTCTCTTGGAAGATTCTGCACACCTGGCACTGGTCATCCAACTGCATGGGGGCACATGGGGGGGTTAGCCTTCTCAGTATGAAAAGCAGCAGTCAGTGGCACAGACAGAGCAAGTGCAGTGCATGGCGTTTGACTTGCTCTATTGCAGGGGTGGTTTCTAGTGATTGGCAGTGCAGAGTTACCCTCTTTTCTATGATGCTCATTTGCTTTTTGCCTGTGCCTTCTTCTCCCACCTTTCATTTTCTCACAGGTGGAACCTGTAGGGAAGAAGACGGATGACCAACAAATGGAAAACGAAATTGTCCTCAAATGTCCAAGTGAGGTAAATTGCAAGGGTATCTCTGTTTGTGCACTGGTGCTGGAGGTGGCTGGGACTCTGGGTGAGCTTTCACCAGCTCCCAGAAGTAAGCAGTGTCCCATCCCTTCATAGTTTGTGCCACTGCCACTAACAGCAGTATAAGCAGTCAACAGCTTAAAATGGAGATCTGAGGGCCAACTTCCTCAATCAGCCAAAACACTAGGGTAGAGTATTTTGCTTTCCTGTTATCCATGCTGAATGAAAGCTTCACCAGGAGAAATGGAACAGCACTGACACCAGTCAGCCCAGCTTGGCTGATTTGTTGAAACTGCCTCTGGCTGGCACAAGCCAGCCCTTTGATGGCAAGCCTCTTGCTAATCACATGCAGTAGGGTCCTGAGAGCACTCTGTAAATTCAGCTGTCTAAAAACAGTCCCCCTGTTACTGGATTTTTAAAATGCCATTTCTTTTTTTTATCCTTGGGGTTTGTTTGCATCAAGCTGCTAATCATCTACAGAGATCTAAGACTGGAATCTTGATGAGTGGAAGTTTCTTCTGATGCTTTGCATTGATTCAGATTGTCTCATTTTGCAGGCTGAGCCATTCCTGAAGACGTACAAAAACAGTAATTACACGTACCCTAACCAAACTCCAGTAAGTGTCAACATCAGCATTTCACAGCATCTGCTCCTGTGTAGTCATGAATCATGCTTTGCACTTCAGGTGAAATCAGTCTTTGGCCAAAGGGCACAGAACAGGAAAGTACTTGCTTGAGTTAGGCAAAACACATCAAGAAAAGCTGTAAGAACACATCCTCAAACAGCACAGTTATCAGCACAGGATGCTAATCCAAACAACACTCAATCTGTCTATTGAATTGGGCAACCAAGGCCTTTATGTTTACTTACAAGTTAAACATACTCTGGTTTATCCAGTTGGCCTCTACTAGGGAGATCCTAGTTACAACTGATTGCATTTCCTAGCCAAATATTACTCATCTTTCTTCTTTTTAGAATTACGGAAGCCAGCTGCTATGTGAGGACAGGTCTCCATCCTCCCCTTCTCCAACTTCAGGTAGTCTTTGTTTTCAGATAGAGCAGCATTCACTTTTTCAATTCATTTCATGTTGTCTTCTCCTTAGACCTTCTATGCCTTCTTAAAGCTTTTAAAATAAATATTTTCAAAATTTTAATTTTAAAATATTTAAAATAAAATTTGTGCTTTATCTAGAATTGCATTGTTTTATCATCTCGGTGATGGATACTGATTCCATGGTATTGTTATTTGTTCCTAGCTCTCCTGCCTTTCTAGTAATTATGTTACCTACTGAGAAAACTGGATATTGTGCAGATACTGCTGCTACAGCCATTCAAGATGAGCTAGAAAGTGCTCCTGTTAAATAACCTGAGTACTGCAAAAGCAATGTGGCTGAGCATCAGATTGCATGATGGCATGTTTTACATATGCCAGGATGAAAAACCATGGCTGTTCTCTATCCAGTTTCAATTACATCTCTTTCTTTTGCAGTGCATTCCCTAAAGCCAGCTGATGTGAAAATGATAGCAGCCCTTGGGGATTCTTTGACGGTAAGAAGACAGTGTTTTTAGTGTTCTCTTGGTAGAACTACAAACATTTGCCTTCACCAGTGGAAAGGAAATAGCTGTTTTACCTAGAAGTAAAGATTCATTCACTCACAGATGATAACAGCCCCAGCAGCTAGAGCAAGAAAGGTATCAGTTCTCCAGCACCGTGTTCCCCCCACGCATATTTTCACATAATTTTCAACACAGGCAAAAATATAGGCAAATCCTTTTAAGAGATGCTTAAAGGTTTGCTGAGTCAGAGACAGGGAAGATCCCACCCTGTTGAAACTAATAGGGCTTAACAAAAGCATTAGGTTTCAGTGTGTCACGGTTTTTCTCAACAGGATCAGGTTAGTGAACTTGTCCTTTTGCCTGGCTTATTTTTCTTTAATAGTGTGTGATTAAGGAATGTAGGATAATAGCATTTTATTAAATTTGTCGTTAATGAGATGTGGGTGTGAAAGGGTGCAAGTTTTTGACTTTGTCAGTTTCAGAAGATAGTCTTCTTATTTTGTCTAACTCATATCTAGTTTCTTTATCAAGTTGTAGTTCTTGTTGAGTATGGTTATCTTTGGTAGGCTGGAAAGAATATCCAAATTTATGTAACATCATTATCCCTAATGTTCTTCTACTGGCAAAAAGCTGAAACTTTACAACCAGCTCAAAGGAAACATTGGGCAGAAAGACATGACTGGAGTACAGGTTCTCTGAATGTGAACCTTAACAGCTAAGATATTGTGCATACAAACGATGCAGCCTTTACAACTCTCTGGCAGGCACGTTGCCAAAACTCCTACATGCAGGAGTCTACCAAAATAAATAGCAGTATTTCAGTGCAAATCCTGTAATGTCAACAAATGCAAGATGGTATCTAGATCCAGTTGTCATATCATAAGTATCTAGGACCCTGCATGTGTTTATGCTTCTAAGTATAGTCTATAGAAACTGGTAATAAAATCTGTTCTTGTAGAAAGAGCAGTTGTACGTTGCTATCTGAACTGCATTTGGCACATATTTTTTTCCTGAATACCAGTCGTCAATTAATTCAACAAAGCTCACATAGAGGAGAGAATCATAGAATCACTAAGGTTGGGAAAGACCACTAAGAGCATCTCATCCAACCATCAGTCATCCCCACCATGTCCACTAACTGTGTCCCTCAGTGCCACATCTACACATCTCTTGAATAACTCCAGGCATAGTGACTCCACTAGCATCCTGTGCTGGGCAGCCTGTTTTCCAGTGCCTCACCACTCTTTCTGAGAAGAAAATTTTCCTAATATCCAACTAAATGTCTTAGTTTGGCTTAATCTGAGGTAGCAGCAAATCATCTGCCTGGTACTGTCCTGTCCTAAGGTACTACCCGGTGTCCCGTTTTTGCATAAGGCTGTAGCATCACAGCTGGCAGAAACTGCTTTTGAATTCTTGTGTTTTGTTAGAGATGTCATTGTCACCTTGCCTCTTTCTTCACTGAAAATGTAGAGTGCTTTTCTTCTTTCTCTAATACTACTATAAATAACTCTGCTTAGCACAATAGTTTTCAAATTAGTGTACATGTATTACAAGACTTCCTTCTGAGATATGTTTGTTTTCTGTGATGAATTAATGTAGTGTTGCTTATAATTACCCTGAAAGTTTTACAACTTTGAGATCTTTTCATCATTCTTGAGTAATGCAATGCAAATGAGTTACACAGATCACCCAGACCCATGAGAAGAAGGCCTTTGTTTCATTGCTCTCTCATTTATTTTGTGCGTCGTACACAATATGATGTTTGTAAATAATTACAAAAACTATTGATGCATTTTTCAGGAGGGAGGCCAGATGCTTTCTAAAGCTTTTGAAGAGATGCATTCAAAAGTAAATAAAATGACTATGTATGAATGACTATTGTGTTAGTAACTGTGTTTTAATTTCATTGTGTTAACGAAAAATAATGTCCAGGCTGGTACGGGAATTGCGTCATACAGTCTCATGGATTTGGCTACTCAGTTCCGTGGGTTGTCATGGAGGTAAGTCTTCAGCCAAGGTGACAAGGTAATGTCTTTATTACGGGGAAAATGTTATCTTCCATGTTTTCTGGGGCTTTCAACTGTCAGAAAGTGAAAAAAGGTTAACTTTTCTGGCTAGTGTTTCTTCGGAAGCTGTATCAAGCCAGTGTCTGTCACAAAGCTGGCTTTACATAAAATGTTCTCAGCAACAGACCTTCAGCCTTTTAACTACTCACTTGCTTTTATCTTCAGCTCCTTGTGAGTTTGTAGCTTTATGGTGGGACAGAGTTGGAGAACCACAGCACTGGAGTAAAATCACTGATACAAGCAAGTTAAGCCTTGTTGCTTTGGGAAGATCTTCTCAGTGTTTGACGCTTCTGAACTATTTGTAGAATAATGGAAAACAGTGTAACTGCAGATCTTTTACCACATGCAACACAAAGTCATAGAAGATTAAACCAGAGGTCGGATGATGATGTAGCTCAGCTGACACTGAATGAAGTAATTTTGTGCTGTCCTAACCCCTCTACGTAAGCCGCCAGAGTGTGATCCAACAACTGAAAAGTTGGAGAAAACACACTCTTATGAAGGAAGCAGGAAAAGTGATGAAGGAGCTGCTGCTACAGCCCTCTGTCACTGAAGGGACTGGCTGCTTGGTGCTGCCTTAGAGTGGCTTCTTGAGGCTGGAGGTTGTCTTGAAATTTCCACTGAAGTCTGCAGCACTTTAGGGCTTGATGATTTAAATATGTAGCTGTCTCACACACTTTTCTGCTATTTCGTAATGACTAGCTGTGCCCCTGCACAGCTGCATGCACATAAATCCTTCTGACAGGTGACTCTCCCACTGAAACCTCAGCCATGTTCTCCTCAACAGCACTTCACTTCTGTCCTTTCCGTGTTGTATGACAGATTGATAGTTGTCAAATTAATCAGCCTTCACTTTTTCTCATGATGCGTAGTAGGTTTTCTCTTTCCTTATTGCTTGTATCCAGCTAAAAGATGAGCAACTTGAATTTCTCTTTCTCATTTTAGTATTGGAGGGGATGACTCATTAGAGAACGTTACAACTCTACCTAGTAAGTAAATGCTTCTGCACATCTAACTCAAAAGACTGGAGAGAGGGAATGTGCTGATTAGCGATAAGTTGAAATGTCTCTAAGCCACTTGAAAATAGTTTGCAAAATTTACCTTTCAAAGAAACAATATCCTAGGACAAATAAAAATATCTGTTCCATCAGTGAGGAGCAGCTACAAATTTCCTCCCTTTCCTTTCCCTCTCCCCTCTCAAACTGCTTGGTGAAGTCTGTTTGAATTTCTAAATAAGCCTACCATGAAAATGCTCAAGGTGCAATTAAATTTTGTTTTTATTAATATTCTTTTTATTTTTTTTATTAATATTCTACCTCATCTTTTTCCGAAAAGAGATGATTGCAGAAAGCAGACCTACTTAGTAAATCTGGCTATCTAGCATACATGTGACTTGCAGGGAATAATTTTGTTTTCACTGAAACTAGCTGCTTCTCATAACTCAGGCTATTGTTAATGCAAAGCCACTGGAGTTTTAGTTTGGATTAACAAACTGGAATAACAAACTTCTATATGAAGTGAGCCAATAAACCATCCTTCTGTGTCCTGCCCTTTGTTACAAGCAGAATGCAACAAGAATATAATCAGAATATCTTATTGATTATAAGAAATTAATTGATTCACTGGGTGCTATGACCTTTGACAAATCCTTCATTACAATGTGGTTAAATTGAGTCTTACAGGTTAAGGTGGCTTTCATAGTTTATTATAAGACTGTTTTCACTGTCATCTCAGAATTTCTGTCTACCTCCTGCTGGAAAGTACAGCTGAGGCATTAAGAACGTAGGGGGAATTCACTGGCACCATGTCTGAGGCTTTCTTCTTCTTTATCAGTAGTGTGAGGTGTTGCACAGCTGCAAAACAGGCCTAGCTGATCACTGGCTCCTGGTGAGCTAAAGCCCCTCTTAAGCTCAGTTCACTCTTGCTGCTGTTTGGTGGATGGAAAAAGCAGACTGGAGGCTGCAGCAGCTGTACTGTGGCAGTGCTGGTGTGTGCCAGTCCCTGTGTGCAGGGAACAGATGTGGTCATTTTCTCTTATTGCTGTCTTTTTCAGATATCTTTCGGGAGTTCAATGCTAAGATCGAGGGCTATTCAACTGGCACAGGGAGTGAGAATGACCCAAACGCATTCCTTAACCAGGCGGTTCCAGGAGCACAGGCTGAGTATGTAGCTTTTTGCTTTACCTTTGTAGGTGATGGATGCTTTGTCTAATTCACTTTCAACTGTTTCAAATGCTGTCACAACTTGCTCTGAATAGCAAGCAAAACCAGTCTAGTTAGAGCTGAAAATTAGCTCAAAACTTATTAAATGTATGAGCTTATTTCATACCTGAGCTTTCAAATGCAGCCAGCTGTCCTGGTTATGAGATCCACAAACAAGAAATTGGCAGACATTTTTTGGTGATTTATCTGTGTCTCTGTCTATACATTTCTGAGAGCGTTTTCAGAAAATGAACATGCAGTGAATTGGTAAAGAGTTACTAAGATAAAAAGTAGGTAAAATCTCCCAAAAGTGACCTCAGGCATCTGGGTAGACAGGCAAAAGTGGTCAACAGAGAAGGGGGAAATTGTCCACAGTCTGGACTCAAAGGAGAACTGCTGATGGTCAAACATAGGTTTTGGTACATTGCAGACCTCATGCACTTGCAGCCGGTGCAATAGGAATTGTTAGAATTCGGTTCTTTGATTTTAGTCACACCTGGGGGACAGCAGAAGTTGAGCTTTTTATACACTGCTTATCCTAGAAATCCCTGGCTTCTGATTGAAAGAGCCAGTGCTGCTTAATTAACAAAAGAGAAAGCTGCTGGAATTCGGTCATAGTTTGGGCACGGGTTCTGGCAAGATCTTGCCTGGGTTTGACGTTCTTAGCTGATATTACCCAGAACTGAGTAATTTAATCTTATGTTTGTTTGAAGAAAAATTTATCTTACTTCCTGAAGAGGTTTGGGAAGTGAAATTCAGTAGCAAAGTGAGGAGTTGGGAGTTTGCTGTATCTGAGCAAAGATTATTAAGATTTATCAAGACCTTGCAGGTAAAATCCAGAAGCCAAGCAAGGTGTTGGAATTTGCTGTATCTAAGCAATGATTATTAATATTTAACAGGTATTGTTTATTACTCCTGTAGATCTTTAGTAGCTTTTGACTCACGCAAGTTATCTCAATAAATGGCTGTATTTTCTGGCCTGCTAGGTGCTCTGACATATCCTACAGCCCTCATACTTGAAGGAATGGATTTTGTTACCTAGCAGTGACTGAATTATCTGTTTCTGTGTATCGGTGAAACACTTGGAAGAGCTAAGGCTCTGATTCAGCCATTCCAGACAATTTATCCACACGTTGCTATAGACAGCATATATTCAGAATAACTTTGGGTTTTGCTTGTTGTAGGGAAAAATGACAATAGTGGTTGCCTTGCATTTTGTATCAGTTAAACCCTAAACAGGTGTTGTGGTTTGTTTGTAATTTTGGAGCAGGGGAAGAACTTGAAACAGGATATACAACTTGTAAAGTCGCTAACTTTACTTAAAGAAGTTTGTGTCAGTAGTGACCAAGGCATTACTATTAGATAGTTGGTAGTAATACGAAATGAGGGGATGGATGTTAGTCTAAAGGAAAATGATCTATTTCATTTATACCAATTAGTCTTCTCCTCATACAAGCATCTGGGCTGGATAAGGAAGTGGAACTGTCTGTATTCTGCAGACATGTTTTGTAAAAAGCCAACAGGGAGATGAATAAGACAATTGTCACAGGCCACTGCTATTCCTCTATTTATTTTGGATTTATTCTGCCTCAGACAAAAAATATCCCTTCTTCTATGATCCAGGGGGAAAAAAAGTCCATAAAAGAAAGATAACACTGATATTTCAGAATTAATTATCGCCTGGTCCATACTTATAGTAGCCAGTCTAGGAATTATTTTCTAGAGATACTGGGCCATATCTGAAAGCGGGCAGTTCTGCACCTTACCAGGTTTGAAAAGCAGATGTAACAGTTCATTCCAGTGAAATCAGTAGCTGCCTTGAAAAGCTGTTTGGTGAATACAGCTGTGTAGGCAAAACTTTGTTGGGCCCACCCCCATTCATTGTCAATGTGCTTAAGTGCATGCTGGAGCTAAGGACATATCTGAAATGTGTTGCTGAAACAGAGCCTGGCTCACATCTCTGATTTCAGATGATGAGGTTAGGAACTTAAGACTGAGAGGAGAGAACAGGTGACAGGAGCTGTGAATATCTGTATTTCACATCAGCAGACTGCTTCTGTTGCTTAAGATCTAATTTTGGTAGAGACTACAGCTTGAGAATGGAAGCAGTAGTGCCACATCATTCAAGATGTTCATTCTTACTGACTACATTGGCTCAGGATGGATCAGTACTTCAGTGACTGCATGAGAAACTAAAGTTGTTGAAGTGGCAGTTCCATAAGGGATGTTTTCTTCTCGATCAGTACTGAAGTTGATGCCCTAGCTTAGGCATTCCCCAGTGAGAGCAGAAGGAAATTTTGACCACCAGTAGCTAGTGATAGCTTTGGGATATAAATAAGTAGGTTACGACTTTGGACAAGGATAATGATGAGCTGAGCTTTTATGTGTGTGATGTCTGTGTTCCAAGTAGATGCATGACAGGGCTCATTCCCCAGTAAATACTCATATGTAAGTGTTAGATCAGTATTCATTTGAAGGAGGGTGGTGAGAGTCCTGTTCCTACATTAAATACAGCATTGCAAAAGAGAGCTAAGCTCTGGTTACCATACAAAACAAGCATCATGCCTATTAATGTCAGCTGATGTGCTTCCAGAAATGATATGCAGTCTCTGAAGTGTTTCTGACAAGAACCTCGAGGGGAATGCAGCTCATCCCATGCTCCAGTGTTGCCTAGAAGGCCAATGTTTCCACATAAGTTCTCTTTTCTCTTTTGTATGCATATTTGAGTATCAGCATGTCAGGGCAGTCAAACAAGGTTGAAATGTTGAGCCTAGGTAACCCAGAAATAATGGCAATTTTATGTACACATTCATACAAATAAATATATGTATATATACAAAAGCATGTATATTTGTATATATATGTATATATAGAAGAGAGTGCTCTCGTGGCTGTTGGAAAACAGTGAGGCTGTCATCTTAACTTGCATGGGTGATCTTGGAAGTTACTTGGATTTTTAATTCACTTAGAAACGTAAAGTGCAAAAACTGTTTTACACAATTGCAAATTGAATATTGACTTGGGATGCAAGCTACAGAGACAGTGAAGATGTGCACAGTGAACTTTTAAATGCTTCAGCTTTGCGATGTGGTGTGTGCATAAACTTTGCTTAAGAGATCAGTTAAGCACTGCGACTTGGGATTCCCTTGTCATTTCAGTCCATAAAGAATAGGTTGATAGCACTTCAATTCTAAATAGGCTGTCTGCTAGCAAAGCATACTGCTGTGTCTGCATTCCATCTGCTTTAGCAGCTAAGAAGTGTAATAGAAGGTTAAAGTTATGGCCCCTTGTTAAATATTGAACTTGAGTAAAATCTGTGTTCAGGTTCAATTTGTTGTTGACATTTCATAATGATGTGAACATATAATTTGATCACTAAAAAAGGAGGATTATACTGCATCATCATTTATATCTCCTGATATTTGACAACTCACAGATTTAATGTGTCCAAGGAGTATTAATGTTGATCTCTCCACAGAAGTGCTTCTTTCACTCACTGATTGTTTTTCTTCATAGGCACTTACCAGCCCAAGCAAGAGCTCTTCTGAGACTAATGAAAAATGATTCTGTAAGTTGTCTGGGTCTCTAATCTTGCAGCATGAAAAGAAACTGGTGCTGCTTCACATGATAGATCCATCCGCAAAGATGCTACTGATGCATATCAGTCAAAGACGTTTTCTGCTTTGTTCACAGAGAATTGACTTCAATGCTGACTGGAAAATCATAACAGTGCATATTGGAAGCAATGATCTATGCAACTATTGCAAAGACCCTGTGAGTAACAGAAGTGGTTGTCAAAAACTATAGGGGCTTGGTGATGTCAGTGTAGAAATGCACAGATACTTAGAGCTTTCACAGTGGTGATAGTGAGTGTTCTAATAGAGCTGCTGTATGTGTTGATAAAGATCACTGCTGACAGTGCCCTGATATACAAACTGCTACTGGCAACCAAGTAAGATGGTTCCGTTCTCTCGTTATGTTGGTTATGTTTATGATGGTTGGTTGTGTTATGTTATGATGGTTATGTTTACCCTGGTTTACTCCAGGGTAAAAACACTTCTTGTCTTCTCTTACCATGATAGAAGAGCCAATTTGATAACTGCTCCACTGCTAGTAAAGCCTCATTATACATCCAAGAAAAAATAATATTGTTTTGAACTGCCGTCAATCCAATTCTGCAATGGCTGTCATCACCTCATAACTCACAGTGTAGGGCAATGCCAAGTATAGGTGAAGTATGTATAATGGAAGTTGCATTAAGGAACTTGCTGCTAATCAACAAGCTGTATTTTAAACCCAAAATTTCACCAAGTCTTCTTATGTTTTACATTAACTTATAACTGGAAAGAAGCAAGAACTTTCTCTTGATCACAGGAGTATGGCAGAAAAGGAAGTGAATTGTTCTCCCAACCCAAATGTCGTGTGTCCCCATTTAACAATAATCTATTATCTCCTTCTTCTATCAGGATCACTACTCAGCTGTAAATTTCATCAGTAGAATTCAAGAAACTCTTGATATTCTGCATGAACAGGCAAGTACTGTGAAATTGTCCTGGCATTCTAGCCTGAGCTGGTGTGTAATTTAATGTTACTAGCTCTACTGATTTTTTTCTGGTCTGGTACCAAATGTACTCGACTGATTTTCACAGAGGGTAATGCTTGTGTGTTATCTAAGACTAGTGAGATGCTATCTGAAATGAGAGACAGTGATACTGAAATATGGTAGCAGAAAGAATTCAACAGCTGAGTCAAAGTTTTGTGAGTGATTTTGTTGAGAAATATATATAGAGAAAGGGAAGGAGTGTTAAATGGCTGGACTTTGGGGATAAAATGAATGCACTGTGGGCTATGCATATAGTTCCTTCTAAGCTGAAATCTGACTTTCCTTTCAGGTACCAAAAGCTCTAGTGAGCATAGTTGGAGTAACGGACATCCTCAGTATGAGACAGTTGTTTGTGGATACTCAAGTTCAGTGTCCCACTTACATGTCAGAGTAAGGCTTGTTTGACTTTCTTTTGTACTTGAATTTACTGTCTGTGATGATAAAGTTCTCATTCCATGCTTCTTTAATTGTATAGAAATATGTCCTAGCACAACAATCCTATGGACAATACATCCAGTGCTGACATGATCCTGCCCAGTGTAGCTTCCTTATCTTGGCTTTGACCTAAAAGGCTCATAAGTACATTCATTTCATTGGCTGCAAGTGTTTCAAGCAGCTTCTTAGTCTTTGACTGTAGAATAAAAGTAACATCAGACCAGTGTTGGTACAGTGGTACAAAGATGTTCCTTGATCAAATTTGAGTCTGGAGGACTGAGCTGCCTGTACCAAGCACTGATAAGGTTATTTATTTAGATAGCTGAGGCATATAAGGACTTCTGATGTTACAGTTATATAAAATAAAGCACTTCGAGCTACTATTAAGAAGCAGAAGTTTTGGATTCCTGGGCTATGCATCACTTAAGAACAAATGTGTGAGGCTGATTAGGTTAACACTGGAGAGAACATGCCTATCCAGAGTTTACATCAGAGGTAGCAGAGCTTGCATTTGGTTGGGGCTGGAAAGTCCTAACTGCAATAGGATTTTATAGGGACCTGGGAAGGCTTAACAGGATTAGGGGTAAATTCAAGCTTGGTTGAAATGAAGTCTAAATTGTGTCATAATCAATATAAACTGTACTTACTTCAGTGTGCTTGGATTAAAGATACTGATACAGAACACCTTGAGATGGAGTTGAATTCCAAAAGTATTTAGATTTTCTAGCATTTTGAGGGAATGTGGTGTATTTGCGGAGAAGACAGATATCTCTTGTTTCAGAAGCTTTATTGAAGTGTATAATTACTTTCTTTGCTCACACTGATGCCTCAAAAAGATAACAGCTCAGAGGTAACGTATAACCAGTACATTTTGATGGTATCTTCTCTAGTCCCAGAGGGAATGGCATGCACCTGTTTCAGGATGCAGGGACTTTGGATGCCTGGATGTAATGAATGGAACAAATTGGCTTTAGCACAGTGTGCAGTACAATTCATATGAGATGGTAAATAAGACTGAGGTTTGAAATTGCATGCGATGGCAAAGACAGAAAGACATTTCACAGATTCAAAAATGTACAAATGTCTTTGTTACTACCATGTCATGAGGAGGTTGGGTGACGAAGAACCACTTCTGCAATCTCATGTTTCTAACTCTCCTTGTTCTTGTTTTCTCCTCTAACTTCTCCACAGTTATCTGTGTAGTTGTGTTCTCACAGGAGAAGAAAACTCAGAAAACTTAACAATGGTGAGGGAAGCCATTAAAGCTTACCAGGTATGTTTATCAAGAATGGTGCAGTTACTTTGCTTCCAGTGGAGACGAATTCTTTGCTACCAAGCAAATGGTCTGTTTATAGCAAATCATAGCAATACTTTACCTAGGAGAGCTGTATGAGTTATGAAGAAGGTAATTTGATGTTATTCAGAACACCATATGATGAAAATTAGAAGCAGTTCTTAAAAAAAAACCAACATTTTCTAATGCAGATGGATAGGTAGGAGTTCAGTCACCAAAATCCTGTTTCTCACAAACAAATGCAGTATTGTGTTCCATCCTTCTTAACCACTTTTTCAATGGTTACCTTTAAACAGTGTCTCTGGTTATTTCAATTATCAAGTAAAAGCTTCTTCCTGATTCTTAGTTGTGTTTTTTTTTCCTCAAAAATAAACTAAAAACAACAACAAAAAAAAGCAAAAAACAAGAAAAATTGTTATGCACAGATGTTGATAGAATATTGGTTCCTGTTTTTTGTTTTTTTGCAGCTTGGTATTCAAACACTGGTGGAGTCTGGCAGATATGATACTCATGACAATTTTACAGTGGTCATCCAGACTTTCCTCCAAAATCCCAAGACTCCTCTTGATCAGGTATGGTATAAATGGGGACTTCAAAGAACTAAGTGTGGGCATTCAGCCTTTAGAGACAGTATGCACAATGATTTCTGCTTGTCATGTGCTTTTCTTACTAGAACTTGTTGCCTTTTGGCCCAGTAGATTAGATTATCAGTTCTTTGTTTTACATATTGTGCTGTCAATATGAGTTGATGTTTTGGAAAACAAATCAAAAGCTGAGTTGAGTGGTTGGTTTGTGTGTGTTCTCAAGGTATGTAAATATTTTTCTTTCTCAAAATATAACACGATTAATAAAATACAGAGATACTAAGTTACAATTCTTAAAGCAACCTTGCTGTGTTACTCACATGAGACAACTTTTTGTGCCCTGTAACTTTACTCTCTGTCTGAATCTGTAGAATAAGTTTACATACAGACTAGAGATAGCAGTAGATCTTTCCTATTATTGGCAACTATATTTCAGCTCTTTGAGTAATCTCTGTAACCTCCCAGCAAACTATGAATCTGGGAAGTGACCCAAACCTTCTCTGAAACTGAAACTCCACTTGCTGATTTTCAGATACAACTGTACTTAGTCATCTCACCTGGAACAAAATACAGGTGGGGCAAAATATTGAATAAGGATTGCACTGGTATTGTTGAACCAGTGTGATCCTGAAAATGCCAGCTATAGCTAGTGACCATTCTGAAAAACTGATTTACTGCTACAGACAAAGCTCTAACATTTGGAAAACTAGTTGAAAACTTCACAGGGGAAGGAAGAACAGGCTTTAGTTTTTGATGAAGCTGGCTCCTGTGAAAACCCATCCTCAGGAGCTTTGGCACTAAGGTGAGAAACACAGAAGTAAGTGTAGAAGAAAAATACTTCTGAACATTTTTTTGTATAATCTCACAAGCATTAATTCAGATTTTAAGAAAGTTCAGGGTGTTGTTTTCTCTTATCTTACACAAAATATAGAAGTTTCTGAACTAAAAACTCTGCCTCTGAACTTGGGAAAATATCAAATATAGGTTCAAATTTTGGTTGTAGCTTGCTCAAACACATTGAATCAAAACCTGGCCAAGTTTTGAGGAAAGACTGCGATGACCAAAAAGATGTTATTTCATGAGTTTATAAATAAACTTTTTCTTTTCTCAATACTTACTCAGAAGCCAAGTTACTTAAATGTTCAAGCTTCACTTCCTTAAGATGCTCCAGTATCTGTATTAAAGTAAAGGTGTGTTCACAAAGGAGTTTGTATTGGTATAGTTGGTCAGTTTGGCAGCCTTCTCTTGGGCACTTCTTGCTTTTCCCTCCTCTCAAACTTGTAGAACTAACACAGTTGTGAGAAGGCAGATGAGTTCTTTCTGTTCCTATAGTACAGCATCCATAAAATACTCATTCACATGTAAGGATACTGCAGAGCATAATGGTGATTGGGTAGCCAAATGTGGTGATGTGCTAAGGAGGGGAACGCAGCTTTATCACAGAACTGAGAGAGACTAGGGATCAAACTCGAAACTGTGGTTTTGCTTCTTCCTTGTGGATCTGATATTGGATGTGCATAAGCATTTCTAGTTAAGCATTTTTGGTAGCTAGGGTGCCTGACAAAACATGCTGTTTATCACCAGCTACTAATGAGATTTTCTTCTTTGGAGTGGCAAGGACAAGTAGAATGCATCTCCTGTTATTGATTCTGATACAACCTCAGCAATCCACAGTTGGAGCTCGGTGAATACTTCTGCACTTCAGTGTCCCTTATGCTTTCATCTGTAGGATGGGCATCCTGATATCTCCTACTTTGCACCTGACTGCTTCCATCCAAGCCAGAAGGGCCATTCTCAACTTGCCAAGGTTCTCTGGAATAGTATGGTAAGGTGACAAGCTCTGCCCACAATACAATCTTTAGCTTGACCTTACTACCATTATAATTTTGTAATGAATGTTGCAGTGAGGATCTGGGTAAGTCTGTAACTTGCTAATGGGTCTCCAGTGCTTGTTTGTTCTTTCCCAGTCAGATACTCCCACATATCTGCAGGGAAGAGAGAGGTGCTGTCAATCAGGCATTCCTGATTTAACCTGAGCAGCTTGAAGTTTATTTCACTCATTGTCATGAAAGTCAGGACACTATTTAATAAGGATGGTGTCTCTATGGTCTTAAATGAAAGACTACCAAATAAAGAATTGTTAATGGTGCATGTCAATTCAAAATGGGTATCTTAAAAGTGTTTTAAATCCTTGTATTGTGAATGTATCACTCAGAAATAGTTTTAATTCAAATTAATTTACTACCTTTGGTAACAAAATCTAGCAACAATGAGTTGTTTTTCTGATTGCTTAGGCAATCCCATTTAGTTAGCGTCGCAGTGCAGAATTAGCATTGCAGTCAGAAGTCTCAGATTCTGGTTGCTATCTTCTATGTACTTCCAGGTAATGTCTTAGCAGCTAACAGGACTCTCTGCAATCATCAAGTAGTGCCTCTATTTAAATTTTGTTTAATCTTCTGCACACAAACAGTCTTTCGTTGGAGACGACATCATGCAGCTTAGCAATAAGAACAGAGGGATTCTTAGCGTCTCCTCTTGTATGCAAGAGAACAGAGTTTACAAGCTTGCCTTCTGGCAAAATTCCAAGGAACTTCATGTGCCTGCCAAAATCCTCCTGGAGTTTAAGCTGATCCAGCATAGCTTTCCACTTCCCATTTTAAACTTCTTTCTAGAGTTGCTGTTTTGTTACACAGTTGCCATGTTCCTTCTGAGTAGCATTTCAGCCTTGGGTAAACCGAGGTCAGTAAATGCAAGCACTTTTTTAAAAATATGAAAGTGGTGTTTAAATTCCTTTGATGAGAATTTTTATACAAATGTAAGATGAACTGAGGCAGTTACAATGGTGTGGGCTTTTTTGTTTTGTTTTGTTTTCCCTCCTAGTTGCAGCCTGTAGGCCAGAAAGCTGATTCATTTGACTTCTTGACTGACATTGTCCTCAGCTGCCCGACTCAGGTAAATATCCCTATGTCGTGAAAGCTGGGTATCAGGCAGCTGTATATGTCTGTGCACCCCGCAGAGGGCAGGGATTTTGTATGTCTGGGGGGAGTTTGCTGAAGACTTTCCTTCTCTGCCGACCTATGAATGAACAGACTTTCTTGCTATACCTTCTCTGGTATCCTTTTACTGTGCAGTGAGTACTGATAGACAGTGTGCTGATTTGTGTGTTTTAAGTTGTAGCAGAAAATATATATTTTTGAAGTACTTAGGCAGCTCAACAGCAAATGGAATATTCTGAATTAACTTTCCTGTTAGAATCAATGTGAGTTTCAGACACTGCAGTGGCTCTGAAAATCCCAGTATCTATTTTACTTTGAATTAGTGGAAAGCTGGTTTTGCTGACCTAGCCCCTAACAGGGATACTTTGGGCACTTTGGACACTTCTGCCTTCACAAAACAAGCTGTTGAACTTACGGTGTTGCTGTTGGGTATCAGCATGTGGAAATAACCCTTGCAGTCAGCAGTAAATGACCCACTTTCTTCAGCAGTTTCAATGAAGAGACCAAAGAACTGAACAGACTGGGGAACTGATTTGTACTATGAAGTCTGGAGACAGTCATTCAAGACATAACGATTTTGTCTATATTGCATCCACCCTGTTAGAAAGGGAAGATCTGGGGGTTGTTAATCAGCATGTTTCAAAAATCATTAGGTTTAGTTAAACTGGTTCTACTTCATTTTGCCCAGTAATTAAGTTAACCTAGGAACTTATTCAGTGCCATATAATGTGGATTTTTATAATTCTTTCTGTTAGTCCATCCCTACTCAAAGATGCTGCTGTTCAGACATAGCCACAGAGAAGTTTCATATCCTTTGCAAAGAATATATGGCCGTTGTTTTCAGAAATGGCAATCCTATTGTGATTTAAAACACTCAGAGATAGAGATGCCAGTATCTTTCCCTTCTCAGCTTTGAGGTAAAGAACAAGAAATAGTGGTACAAAGGAATTGAATAATCTGTTTCCAGGGAATCAATTGTATCCTGGACTGCATCAAAAGCAGTGTGACCAGCAGGACAAGGGCCTCTTTCCCTCTACTCTGCTCTCATGAGACCCACCTGTATTCAGCTCTGGTGCCTCCAATTCAGGAGAGGCATGGGCTTGTTGGAGTGAGCCCATAGGGGAGGCCATGAGGATGATCAGAGGGCTGGAGTACCTCTCCTATGGAGACAGGCTGAGGGAGTTGGGCTTCTTCAGCCTAGAGAAGAGAAGGCTCTGAGCAGACCTCATTGTGGCCTTTCATTACCTAGCGGGACCTACTGGGAGGATAGAGAGGGTCTCTTCATCAAGAAATGTAGTGATGGGACAAATGTGGTTTTCTGTTTGTGTTTTTTTGTTGCTTTTTTTTTTTTTTTTTTTTAACAAAAAGAGACTAGATTTAGATTAAGTATTAGGAAGAAACTCTTTATTCAGTGGGTGATGAGTCCCTTGCACAGGCTGCTCAGAGAAGCTGTGGATGCCCATGCCTGGAGGTCTTCAAGGCCAGTTTGGATGAAGCTCTGGGCGTCATGACCCAGTGGGTGGCAGCCCTGCCAACAGCAGAGAGTTGGAACTAGATGGTCTTTCTGGTCCCTTGCAACCAGGTCTTCCTATGATTCTATGATTTTGCCTTCTGTATGACTAAAGAGGATAGTAAATGAATTGAAATTGGACACTCACAAATTCCATTTATTGTTTTTACTGTTTCTGAGTATGGTTTTAGACTCTTACTATATCTGGAAGTGATCCCATGAAAACAACAGGTGAGACAGACTGCAAAGGCCCAAAAAGCCAAGGAAAACTATTTGCATCAAGGCAAATTAGAGTAGGATAAAACCCTGGAAATAAAAGATGAGAGGGTATTTTAATTGATTAAATATGCTTTCTGATTTTAGTGCTTCGTTAGACCTCTTTGTGGAAATAATCGCTCTGGAATTGCTCTTACTTGAGATAACTACATATCTCTGCAAAGATTTTTAGTCTATACAATGTGCCTGTCTTCCTTAATGCATGTTGCATTAGAAGAGGATGAAAATAACAATGCAATTTGTACAGTTTCTCTAGAAGGGAGGAGTGATTCATACAGTAGTCAGTTTTTATTACTCTCTGCTGACATGGGAAGATATGTCCAGGTTTCTCCAGACTTTGCAACAATGTCTTTTAAAGGGACTAACAGATAATAAAGTCTAAGTAATTTGCGGAAGGCTTAAGAAAGGAGAAAGTTGAACTGCTAACCAGGATCTGACACATACATCATTTTTACCATAAGAGACTAAAGAGGAAATATTGCTTCTGAATTTTAAGATATGGAAAACAGTTTCGAAATCCAGATCCTCATTTTGCTGGTTAGACAGCTACAACTTTGGTGATATCATGTCTTGACATAACTTGATATGATGTGTGCCACATAATTATTGCCTAATTTCTCTAACTTTAAATTCTTCCTTGTCACAGAATAACTCCTTCCTGAGTACAAATAAAAATAGCAACAACACAAATTCTTCTGTGCTTCCCACCAGTGAGCCAACACAGGTAACTGTTGCTTCTTTTGCTGCATTTTAGACAAGCTGTTTACACATCCTTCTGAGGTTATAAATGTGATAACCTATCACCAATTTTCAGACAGAAAAGTCTAACTTGCATTGCATTGTTTCTTGTGTAAAAAATGTTAAACGCTTCTTGTCCTGAAAGCCAGACAAAACGAATTGTATCAGGTGCAATTTCTACAGTAAGTCACTTGGAGTGCATTCTTAACTTGTATTGCAAGTACCTCACAACAGGGGGAAGAGAATTTAGGATGCTGAATCCCCAGATGATCTAAGGAAGGTTTATATATTCTTGAGCCTCTGTATTTCCATGTTCTCATGTAGATTTAACCTGCAGAGGGCAGTCATATTTATTTATTGCATATGCTGCCAGCTGCACAGGATGTGATGGAGATCTGTTCTCAAAGGGATTTACTTTTCATAATGAATGAGCAACTACCATAGCAAACTACAGATTAAGCAAACTTTGTGTTGGACTTGAAGAAATGGGGCAGAAACTTGCTTTTGACAAATGGCTGCAGGCATGCAAGGAATGCTCAGTTTTGATAATGTAGCTATGATTAGAGACAGCAGTCAAAGTCAGCCATGTACTTGGACATACTGGGGGGGTCCTTGTGCCTGTCTAAATTATGAAAATCTTCCCGTGCCTTGAGGGTTACAAACAGAAATGGCTAATATTGTTTCAGCAAGCCATAGTTTGCAATGTTGAAATGGGATTTTTAATCTGTAGAGCTGGTTATATACTTTTAATGGCAATCGTACTTACTGAATCTCAACTGCAATAAGTTCTGAAGTGATAAAGTGAAGGAAAGAAATAGCAGAAAGAGTGTATGAACATCTTCCTGTTTCACCTGAAAATAAGCCCAGCTTTCTTTTCTAGCTTTTGGAGGCAGCCTTTAACTAGACGGTTGGTAGTAGAGCCTATTACACTGTTATGTAGGAGAACAGACAAATTTGTCTCAATATTAAAATACTAAATGTACTTTTTGAAGACCACTGGCCTATGTTCATTTATTTACTGAAGGATAGGATTATGCACTTATAGTAATAATTCAGGCTGGAAGGGGATCCTCAGGGCATCCCTGTACGACCTGCTGCTCCAAGTAAGGTCAGGTCTGAGGTCAGAGTAAGCAGATATCATTACAACAATTACAGATTTTCAAGCATGAAGATGCCACCTCCTCAGTCACAGATGAAATCTCCAGACTGTGGAAAGGGCAAAAGGGCAAACAAGTATCTATTTATGGAACTCTGTCACAAATAATTTTTCTAGTTTATATGTCTTTGGCAAAATGGTGTATTTTGGCTAGAAAACTTCCCCAGAAATGATTTAATGTTTGGACAGCATTCCACAAAGGGGAGGAAGGACTCTGATCTTAAAGGTCTTTTCTAACTTTAATAGTGTTTTCTAACTTTAATGACTATGACTGTTGAGCTACACAGCACCAAACTAGTATCTATTTTAAATTTGATCTTGTTCTTCACCATACAATTAAACCATGTGTGTTTTCCATGTTTCTTCTAACGAAAAGGTGACACAGTTGTATGAACTGTCATTTCAGAATTGGGGCAGTGACCTGTCATGTTCTGAAAAGGCTCCATCCAGTCGTGTCCCAACATCAGGTGAGGATGGACTCATCAGCTAAAATCCTGAACAGGAAGGATATACATCACCTTGTGTTTTTAAGTCTTGAAACTGCAAGTTCTAGATAGAATGAAAATGGTAAAAACTGATGTATTTAACTGCAAAATAGAAAAATCCATCCTACCACAGACAGCAATTTCTACAATGCAGCAGGCGGATAAATGCAATCCCATTTACCATGTACATATTATCTTATATAGCAATGTGGCAGATTAAAGATGTCTAGGTAAGCAAGTTTGACCTACCTTGCCTTATCAGTAGCATAGTAGCAGTGCTGTGCATAACTGGAAGGCATTGTGGGCAGAATTGATCTATGACCCAAACCTTAAAAATGAATCCTGAACATATCTAATCTTTCCTTTTTTTTTTTTCTTAAGGTGACACTTGAATAGTTGCTTAAGGTTCGTTTATTCCCTTGTTTGTCGAGTACACTATTGCAAACAACTGGCAAGAAGTTATATATTTTGCCTGACAGGCATATAGAACTTGACACTCATTCTCCTTAAAAGTCTGTAAAAATAACATCAGGTTGAAACCAAAGACTTGGACCTTCATTCCAATAAATAGCATTTTATGTCAGTTATCAATTAGTATGTTTTTTTTTTTATTATTCCTACTCCTTTTTAGTACATGAGCTACAGCCTGCTGACATCAAAGTCATTGGAGCATTGGGAGATTCCCTGACTGTAAGTACTGCTATGTTTCCAGGTTTAAAATGAGAAGAGTAAGTGTTGATTTCTACCTCTATGTGGTTATGTCAGTCATCATCAGATAGAAAGCAAACTGTTTTGTCTGGCAAAGAAAAGCTCATCTACTACTCATGTCCCTTTGCAAAGAAGTAGCCTGAAGGGATATGAGTGACACTGGCACTGACAATTGAGTAATCTAGTAATGAATAATTCAGTCAGAACAGAAATTGGATCACATTCGCTATTGCACACAATTTGTTCAAGTGTTTTAGAAAGGGAAATGTCTGCCTGATAGTATTTTCTGAAATAAGAAAAATCAATTGCCATTTTACATACAATGGCAGGTCTCGATGAAATTTCCTAGAGAAATAACTGATTACAGACCAAAGTGTTTCTCACATAAGATAATTCTGTCTCTTCAGTATATCAGAAGTTTGCTCTCAGATATTGTTTCCTGGGTTAATTTTAATTTTTAGTTAGAACTATGATGTATCGTATGTACCAAGAAATGCAAACTGAAATGTCTCAGAAAAGCAGGGCCCAAAAAATAATAACAGGGAATATTGCTGATCTGTGCTGAAGTTTTCTGAGAATGAATTCTAGAATTGCATGGCACTACAGAATTGTTCTGGCATATATGAAGGCAGATATTGGCATCAATGTGAGTTTTCACTCCTGAGCTACACCTGTGCTCATTCTAGCAGCTTCAGTTCCTGCAGAGTTCAGAGGGAGTTGAATGGACTACAGCTCTCAAATGATCAGACTTATTGACAGGCAGGTGTGCATGTATGTCTTCACCTCCTCATTAGCTCTGAAAACAGATTTCACCTGACCTGAAGTTATCCTGTCTTCCCTCCTACTGAGCTTTGAGCTTTTCTTAGAGGACCTTAGTAATGACCCTGCAAACCTCCCTCCTATCCATTGCCAGCACTTAAAATTGCTTGATTTCCTCCTCTGATGGCACACATATCTTCTTTTTAAATTTTTTGTTTCTAGTACATGAAAATTCGCAGAGATTCCTAGTCAAAGGGGCCAGATTCTGTTCCTTGAGGTTTTTGTCCCAAAAAGCAGAGCAAGGCAGTTTTTCATATTGCCGTTATTCATGCAGATGTTCGTCATTGCCATTGCCATTACCATAGCAAGGTGTGAATGTATGATATGTAGTGCTGGTTGAAAGGCATGGAGAAAGAAGACAAAGAATGCTTCTCACACATACAAACACGTACGCACATAAATAAAATTTCGGTATAGCCAGCAGCAACTCATACTTTGTACTTCATCCCTGGTACAGAGGGACTGTAGCAATATCTGTCTTGGTTCCCTAACGCATTGATTTTCCTCCTGGTGTTTCCTTCAAGAGCCCTGAATGCAGTCAGTATTGATGGCTATGTTGATAATGTGATGTTGTGGCTTAAACCAGGAGGCAGCTAAATACCACAAAAGCCACTTGTTCATTTTCCCCTAGGGCTATAGGGGAGGGAATTGAAAATGGTACATGAGAATTTGTCTGTAAGGACAGTTTAATAAGAAATGAAGGAGGAGAAAAAGAAAATAGAAAACAAACAAACAAAACCAACCAAGTGCAATTACACACCAGAGCCCAGCTCATGCTCAGTCAGTCCCTGAGCAGCAGAAGTGCCAACCCAACCAAATCCCCCCCAAGTTCTATGGCACAGCACCATGTGGTGTGGAATATCCATTTGGCCAGTCTGAGCCAGCTGCCCTGGCTGTACCCCTCCCAGCTCCTTGTGCACTCCCAGCTCCTCAATGGCCATGCAGAACGAGGAACAGAAAAGGCCCCGACAGTGCAAGCACTTCTCTGCAGCAATGAAAGCATCAGTGTTTTATCAGTGCTATTTTCATCCTAATAAAATACAGAATCATACCAGCTATGATGAAGAGAAAGAACTCTTTATCAGCCAAAACCAGGACGCATAGCTTTTTGAATAGCACAAAATGAAGTGAAACCATTAAAAAAACTAAAAAGCTGCAGAATAACCTATTTTCGTTATTGCTGTCATGAAAGTGAGTCAAGCTGCTGACCTTGCTAGAAGTTTTTGAAAAATAAAATAATGAAAGCATTCTATCCCAGTCCTGTGAACACTCAAATCTATCATCACATTCTTTGTTCTGATGACTTTCCTGTATACTAAATCATATAAAGTTCACACTGCAGGAAGACTGTTCTCAGTCCAGATACAGTTGGAGATTAATGAAACATTGAGCAATTTGGTCACGTCACTGGCTAGAATGCATCTGTTCAACCTCTCAGCCATGGCACGTGGTGAAAGCAATAGATGTGCCAACACGTTTATCTGTATTGGCAAAAATACAAAATAAAAATCCTGCCTGCACCTCACAAAGTCTGCGTGTTAGATTTCTAGACTGGGTCCAACAGAGAAAAGTGGATTTTGCACCAAAGATTTGTTTTCTTGGCAACGCTTCTACTGATTTATTTACAGCTAAAACTTACTGGGGATTTTTCAGCTGTGTTTTTCCCTGTATTATTAAGCCTCTGAACATCAGCTTTCTTTGGGACATGCCAGAATGAAGCAGTTTCCATCAGAAAAATCCAGACAAATACAAAGCTGTAGATTGTAATCTAGTTCTCCTTGATTTACTGATACTATCATTAGAGTTGTAGTTCCAATGCCATATGTAGTTCCCAAGCTCTTACAGTCTGATGCCTGCTGGTTGGACTGTGTTTCCTCTACTCCAGGGTCTGCTGTTTAGATGAACTGCCTTCATACATGAGGATAAGGCTGTGAATTTGAAGCATGGGAGATGTAGGACTACCCAGAGGCTAGTGTGTGCTGTTGAATGAAGACAAGGAATGCTTATGCTATAAAGGACTTGGCTGGATTCAGAATGGTGTTACCAAAGTTCTTCAAAACTTTCACATTTTCTGTTCTACCTGAACTTGCAGCACCCTGTTTTAGTATTTTATAAGTTATTCTTCTCGTCTGTTTCAGACTGCGGCAGGAGCCTGCACAACTGACCCACAGGTGGACTGGAGGGGATGTTCATGGAGGTAAATATGCTCAATTTTCTTTCTGGTATTCTCATCCATAGACACAGTTGAAAATGTGGGTCACCTGGTTGTGTAGTTACATCCCAAAGAGGATGGGAATGAGATATATCAGGCAAAGGGCTGTGCTGCCACATGTCTAGTAGCTAAATTCTGCTCCTGTCAAACAAACTTCTCTCTGCAGAGAGTAAATATAGTTGCGGGATGCTGAGATTGAGTATTGCTGGGTAAGGACTTGAGAGAGAGAGTCAGAGTTGGAAGAGAAAGGGAGTGATTTTGTGGTGTTGGATTTTTGTTTGTTTTTCAAATGAGATCCAACTGCTACCAGTAGGGTCCTGTGCCTCAGTCTATTGCTGCAGTTGTGATAATCGAAAGCAGTGTTTAATGCTAGGTAATCCATGTGAGTGCCAGTTGGCATGAATGTGCTGAGTGCACCACATGCACATTCAGTGAAGATGTCCCAAATAGATTTGCAAATTACAAAGCAAGCAATGACAGCATGTGCTAGAGTGGATGTGAATTTCAATGTCCACATTAGAACGGAAGAAAACTGCCTGCTTCATGCAGGCAGAAGTATGAATGTTATATATGATAAGCATGTACATGTATACACTCCTTTCTTCATCTGTCTTTTCTCTACTCTGTGCTTCCCCCATGTCAGGGCCTGACAGAGGTAGTGTAAGGGAACACTCTGTATACACACAGGCATTATTTGAATGCTAGTGATACAAGTTGCAATGGTACTGTTAAGCTTGCTAATGCTCATTGATGGATAGCTCTGTAGTTTGTTTAGAAAACAGGAAGAATCTGTGCCCTTATACCAAATAGATAACGATGATAAACTGAACTGCTTTTACCAAGTTGATAAGGAAGTTCTGCTAGAATCAGCTAATTTTGTGAAAGCAAGCATTGTAGGATCAAGGTAAGAGTTAAATGAGCATGTGTGAAGATAGATTTCAGCCAGTAAACACAGTAGGGAGGAGTGACTTCATCCTAGAGGGTCTCAGAATCACCACCACAAAAAGAGCTTATGTAACCCTGTGTTAATGATTCTGGGGGAAGTACTGAACGTATATGTGCTGCTTGGGAAAGCCTCTGCACATGTAACTCAAGTAATGCAAACAAACTGAAGATATTTTGTACCAGGTAAGCACAATTAGGTGGAAGGATCCATTTGTGCATCCAGCACTGAGAATAAAGAACGCCTGCTTTCATCCCAGCTTGAGTCTTAGAGAGTTCCATGATCAACTGATTTATGATAACAGTAGAGGCAGAGGCTTTTTTCATTATTAACATTGCAAAATCCCAGAGAGGTGGATAATGAACATTTAATGTAGTCTCTCTTCTATGCAAAAATGCACACAAATGTATTTTCAGCAGGGTCACATGCCTTCTGACAGTGGGCATCCCAACACGTTCACATAAAAAAAATTGATTCTTCCTGTATGCTCCATTCCTAGTTTATGGGCATATATCCTAGCTGAAATCCTGCTTGATTTAATCTGAAATCTCCTTTCAGTACCTCTCCTGAATTCTTTCTTGTCTTGTGGCTTGATATTCCTAGTTCAGCCTGAGGTGTGTATACCTTCCGGGGCTGCAGCAGCAATGTATGTTGACAATAAGAGGGTTGCAGAACTATTGCTACTCAGTAATTCTGTGCTTTCCCTTTGTAGTATTGGAGGTGATGGCACCCTGGAGACCCGAACCACTTTACCCAGTGAGTGTCCTGAAGAACCAGTGTGAGTAATGGAAAAAGCACAATATTAGACAGAAAGCATCCAAGTGGATATCCAAAAACATCTGGAAATGATCACACTTCCCTTGCAAACAGTGGGCATCCCCATCTGTTGTGAATGGGAGTAGCTCACTTGGCTCACAGCTGAAACCCAGACTGACCTTCCTAGCTGCAAAGCTAATTCAGCCCCTCCACATTACAGGATCTGCATGCGGCCAGTGCATCCTTTTGACAGAAATTATGAAGAGTAAATGTGCTGTAGGTGGCAGGACTCCATGGCAGATCTGTTCTTTCTTCATTTCATTGTGCTTTCCAATCACCAACTGTAGTGCTCAATGACTGTGGGCAAATGAAGGATTATGAAACAATTAACAGTCTATTTAGAGAAGATCATTGGCAAGGTTGTGATTTCCTGTTAGTTTCTCTCAATGCTTTCAAGCTGCCACATTGCACTCAAAAAATCTAACAATACCACGCATCTCCTGTCTTAGCATTCTGTGTAACCAGTCCTTGTAGTTGCCATAGAAACCACTGAGTGGTCAGTCTGACCATAAATTAGAGGGGAATTGGTTTGCAGTGGTTCATCTATTTGTATGTGATCCACGCTGTGGAACAGTCTGACAATACCTGACACTGCTGGTAACAAAAACCGACATGCTTTGTCTTGTAGCATGAACAATGTGCTTAAGGAAAAATAGAAAATACATTTCATTATGCATGCAGCATTGTAAGTGAGACTTTATAAAGAGGTTTCAGACAGCACTACAGGCACGGTAATAGTAACAGTTTTCAAGCATCATGCTTTGCTGCTGAGGGTTTCACTGAAGCTTATAAACATGAATAGAATTCACTTTCCTTTTCTATGGGTAAGTGGTTATGGGACTGCGAGATAGAGAGTCCTCTTTGGAGCATCTGCTCCTGGTACATGAGGGGAAGAAACCACAATTACTCCAGCACTCGCTGTCAGTAATAGCAATTTTCTAGGACCTGGCTGTCATCAGGCCCACTAAGCCCTTGTCCCTGTCCGTCTCCACAGGGAGAAATACTCGTAGTACTGAAATCTCCAAGGTAGGTGTGTCTACTGCCAGTTGTACCATGGATGGTTATACTTTGTCTTCTCTTTTTAAGATATCTTGAAAAAATTCAACCCAAACCTCTTTGGCTTCTCCACTGGCAACAGTAAGGAAGCAGCTGGATTCAATGCTGCAGAGAGAGGTGCAACTTCACAGTAAGTGTGACTGAAGCCAAGAACGGGCAAAGGGGTAGGAAAGAACTGATGCACTGACAGATTTGAGCTGCATGTTAAGGCTGAGTTAATCATGATGATCTATATGTAATGTGCATGTTTCTGTGGTCTGATTTCTGATTATATTTTTTTTAAAGACGGTATTTTGTGATTTAATTTCATTCTTTTTCTAAACTAGGGACAGAAATAGAAGCATAAATAAGGCATTAGCTCAAATATTCTGTGCAGAAGAAATGAAGGAAGGAGGTTTCTATAAATACCTTTTTTTGCTCAGCCTTCAGTTTTCAGCTTCTTCATTCACTTTCAGTCTGTTTGTAATGAGAGAAAGCTGATGGCCCTCTCAGTTATTCCCTGATTTCTGGGAAATGTGCCTCCAACCAGCAAATAGAAACTCACTGTCACCTAATTGCACTAAAAGCTTTCCTCATTTGCAGCGTAAAGAAAACAAACCGAGTGAGCATGTAGGAAAAAAAGTCCATTTTCCTCTTGAAGGAAAACACCACAATCTTTTAAGAACAAAAACGTATGAGTTTGTATTGCACAAGCTGTGCTTTCTCTATGGATATTCATGGAATTTGTTTCCAGGACTTCATGACCTCTTTAACAGTCATCAAATTTTCTGCAAAAGTGTTTCAGGGTAGCTAGCAAAACCTGTGTAGCTACTGTTCTGTGAGTGACTTGAGCTCAGTGTGATTCTGGAAGTGCAAATAAACGTGGCCGTGTTTGTGTAGCTGCTGGCAAAATGCAGGACTCAAGCTGCTCAAGCGCAGTCTCATCTCAGCATATCAGGAGCTCAAGTTTCCAGCTGGAGTCTCAGCATGGTTTGTGCTTTGCTCTATGGATGTTGCATCCTGCACAGACCTGAGCTTTAACCCAGTGGTTCCACTGTATAAGCAATATCCTCCAGATAAGCTGTAGGAGTTGAAGGCCAGATCAGGAAAGCTGGTTAGGTGCCCAGCTTCTGTATAAACATTGCTAGATTTCAAAAGGAATTATGCAGCTAAATTTCTCTGTATATCTGGGCATTAGTGTTTTTTCTCCAAATAAAGTGCACTTAAGCCTACTCTGAGATGGGAAGGATCCATCCCAGTTGACTGCCACTTGGCAGCTGTCCTAGCTGAAACCCTTTTAGATCAGCTTGTTTGTGCAACTGCTGCTGCTCTGGTCACTACTCTTCCTTCTGAGGCATCACTTTCTCTGTGTGGATTTCTGCCACTCCTAGCGTTCCCTGAAATGAGGAGTATGAGAGAAAATGATGATAATGAGCTTTCAGAGCATGCATCTAACATCCTTCTGTCCTCTTTCTACAGCAATATGCCAGCCCAAGCAAGTGAACTGGTGGAGCTAATGAGGAGCAGCTCAGTAAGTGGATTGTTCCTAAAAAACAAAGCAGGGACTTCAGATTGCGCCTCAGTGCTCCCATGGTGCCAGTTCATGGGGCAACGGAATACAGTTCTTTACTGATAGGAGAAAAGTCAGTGTCCTCATCTCTGGTATGTTTTCTGAGATAAGCAACTAAGGAACAGTCACTGTCATCAAGAGATTAAAAGTTACTCATGCAAATTCACCCAGGTAGTGTGCAAACACGAAGGGCAGAAGCTGATGCATCTGGGAGTCGTGAGAATAGTAATGGGAAGGAGGAGGAGATCTGGAGGCTCCAAGCAAATCATAGGGCTGTGAGTGAGCAGCAGTATTCAAAGTGGAAAGGCCAAGAACAAAGTTGCTGGAACAGGGACCTAGTGACAAACATCAGCCACATTCTTTGATCTGAGTATGGAATGGGGAATGGCAATACTGGGAAAGGGAGCATGAAATCCTCCTGGGAGATTAGGCTCCCTGAAACAGGAATGAATCATTTGGCCTTGAGGCCAAAGTCCTCAAGGTAGAGTGAATCCCTGCCACATCTCAAGCTTTTAGGGAACTGGTCAGGGATCTAATATTGTGGACCAACCTGCTGTTCCTGCTCCACTGAGGGCTGCAGAGAGCTCTTAACACAGTGGCTAGTGCTGAAGTTTGGTGTGTGGGGGGAAACGTGGGAGAAAGCTGAGGCTGTCTTGCCCCAAGCATGGTCTGAATTTGTTGTGGTGGTGACTGTCAGTGTGATTTGTTGCTTCGTAGAGTGTCCAGTAAGGGAATAAGAGAGCCTGGTGCTCCTTGGCTCAGACTGAATGGGAAAGAAAGGTACTGAATAAGCAGGATTTGTCTAAGCATGCATCCCTGTGTGCCAGCACTCCTGATGGATGCTGCATACTCACCGCCCTGTCAGTTACTCTGTGCTCCCAAATGTTTGGCAGTGAAGGAAGCTGCCGTGGCTCTTCAGTGAAGTACTACACGGCTCTAGATATGTTTTATTCGTTGCTATTTATGCATCTTTAAAAAGAGGGGGAAAATCCCAGCCATACTATGGGCAAAGCTTTGGGAGCAAGGCGTTGCTTGAGGAGCATTCAGACCCGTGGGTGATTCCCAGGCCCTTCCTCTATTTGCGGGATCCTTTCGCAGCTGTTTGTTATGTAAATGCACCGCTCTAAAAATAGCTGCCTTTGATTCCTTTCTTTGTTAGGAACGCTACAAAATGTTTTGCTGAGCTCCAGCTCTCAGCAGCGCCTATTGTCAGCTCTGTGACGTGGTTGCTGCAGCTGCCCTTATATGAGCTCGGTGAAGTCACCGGCCTCCCGGACTCTGCTATTTTAATCCGTTCTCTTGTCCCTGGGGTGCCTCTCTCCATGCCTACCCGTGGGGGGATGCCTGCCCAGCTGGCAGGATCCCTAGCAGCGCACTTCCCCGGCTCTCACCAGCCACTCCAGCAACCCCAGCTCTGTCCCTGCAGTGCCCCAAACCCACTGTTTGATTCATCACACCTGCTGGCACGTCTCCGTGCTCAGCTGCCCTGATAGTTCTTGTTTGCTGAAGGGGATTTCCTTACAAAAGCCAAGGTGAGCTGCAGCTAGACTAGCAAACAGTTCTCATGTTCCTTCAGATGGATGCTTTTCTCTGATAGGACAAGGGGGGAATTGCTTTACACTAAAAGAGAGGAGATTTAGATTAGATGCTAGAAAGAAATTCTTTACTCAGAGGGTGGTGAGGCAGTGGCACAGCTGCCCAGAGAAGCTATGGTGCCCCATCCTTGGAGATGTCAAGGCCAGGTTGGATGGGGCCCTTGGCAGCCTGAGCTGGTGGGGGGCAGCCCTGCCAACGGCAGGGGTCAGAAATGGGTGGGCTTCAAGGTTCCCTCCAGCCTAAGGCATTCTATGATTTTGCTGCCTTAACTCACTGTGCCTCTTTTGGGCTGCTCTGCTGTGCAGCCTTGTACCCCCCTCATTAAATGTTACCCCTGCAAGTGTAAGCAGCAAACACAGAAATCTGTTTATTTTATGTGCCACCAGAATATTAACTTCAAGGAGGACTGGAAGCTGATCACTATCTTCATTGGAAGCAATGACCTGTGTCAGTACTGCTTGGATAAGGTTTGTATCTCTGAAGCAGGCATGCTTGTTTGGCGCTTGGCAGCAGCCCAGCCCTGGAAATTTAACCTTTCTCTCGCTCCATGTGCCAAAGCTCCTCTTTGTTTAAAAAGCACTTAGGACTACAATTCCTTTCATCTGTGTTGTATAAGAAAGAAGTACACAGATTTTAATTTTGAGGCACTGCAGGTCTGGAGCACAATTTAAGCAGCGACAATCTGCCCCACACTGAACAAAAGTATAAACCAAAGAGCTCTTCCAGCTTGACTGAACAAAGCACTTAAGAAGTGTGGTGTCTTATGTTTGTTGTTACAGGGACACAAGTGAACATTTATTCTGGAAAGTGTCTCCATGCAATAATTACTGGATATGTCTCTTTCTTGCTTCAGAATGACACCAAATGAAGTAACATCAGTTCATGGTGAAAAAAGGTGTCACATCTAGCTGTCAGTGTTTACCCCCTCTGAAAAGCACACACTGAAGTCTTGAGGTCTGGCTCATTGAAATAACTGAGGATTGTTCTCTCAGTTTTGGTCTATTTCCTTTAAAGACTGCTAAGTAGAGTCTTCGCCCCAGTGGCTAAACTTCTATAACCACACTCAGAGTTGTTTTGCCTGTGGGTTTTGTTTATTCATCAAGGAAAGATTCAGCCCAGACCTCTTGAATACCTCTAGATTTTCTGTGGAGATTAAGTGAATGTGTCAGTGCTTGTGTTCCTGTGGCAGTAAACCTCTTGTTCCAAATATATACCTGCCATCAGAAGCAGAAAGGAGAATAGGGACTCCATTGTGCGAATGAAACAGCCAAAACTTTTGGGTTTTCAAAAGAAGACCAATCTTACTTTATTTTAATTACATAGGAAACATATTCAGTGCAAAACTACGTGAAGCACCTCCAGGACACTCTGGATATTTTCTACACAGAGGTAAGCTTTAAAGATACCCTAGCAAACTATGTTCCTGGCAAGTACACTTGTGTTTTTCTCACCTCTGGTAGACTTTCAGCGATTATATTTCATGCAAGATTATCTTCCAAAGAGCTGAGATCATAATGCAGCACTGAGGAGCAGTCGAACAACTGTGTTAGATAATGCCCTGAGAAAATGTACTGTAGTTTCAGGACAACTGAGTTGAGTGGTGTTTTTGCTGTGGATCAAATATATCACAGCATTACTGCCAGTACTGATGGCTGAACCAAGTTTCATTTACCCTAGAGAAAATGGAAATGCCCCAGGGAGTGAAGCAGCATTTCAGCTAGTTTGTACTAGCTGCCAGGAATTTTTTGGCTGACATCCACTATATGTCTCCCTCTCTTTATACGTTACCCTTGCTATTGGTTGCAGTCAGTGCGGTTCTGCACTGACTCACTGACCTACGGATGGCATTTTTCTCTCTTTGTAGTGGTATCATGTTCTCTGACTCGGTATGTCTGCTTATTATAACCCCTGCAGCTCCCAAGAGTCTTTATCAACATGGTGGAGATACTTGAGATTTCTGGACTGCGTCAGGTGGCAGCGAGCTCTTCAGAATGCTTTCTGACAGAGTAAGTGAACACTGCAGATCTTCACCTTTAAAAGCCTTTCTTTTTTGTTACTGTTTGTTTGTTTGTTCTAATCAATCTAAACTGTTGCTACAGTAGGGATAGCCACACTGACCATTCTGAGTTCCTTTTATTGCTGCCTTTACATGAATACTCTAGTTCACATTGACTTTCTATTGCTTCTTCCAATACTTCAGCTAAAAGGCATGCACCTGTAGTCTGTGGTCAGTCATTGCCTTCCTTAGCTCTAAGGCAGTATATCAAAGCATAAATCACCATGCAGTTGCCTTACTACCGACCTTAGTGCCTGTTATGCCTAGCCATTTGCTGCTCAGCAGCTCAGGCTGATATCCCTGATGCCTCTCCATGCATTCAGTGCTGCATTACCTATTGCATGGGTGGGGCTTCAGAAAGCAAGACCAGGAACTGCATTTCCCACCAAATGGATGAGGTCAAAAGCGTAACTCCAACAAGACTGTAGGATGTGTTTTATGAAGTACCCATGCCTTCAGGGGAGTTAGTATGGATGTATTTCATATCCATGTAAAGTGGGCGTAAGGCGCTCTAATCTGGCAGAGAAAGTTATAAGAAAGACCATTGGTTGGAAGATGATGCTTAATGAATTAAAAAGAAATAGGGCATGGATTTTTAATAATAGAAGTGGTGAGCTACTGGAACACACTAGAAGAGATATTAGTGAATCAACTGTCTTGCTTGATGTTTTCATATTAATTCCTTCTTAGAGAATGCATTTCAGAGAAGCACAAGTTACCTCTTGATATGAGAGTAAGAGAAGGAAATGCAGTAGTCTGAGGAGTCAGATCACATGAACAATTTATTTTCTAAACTTCTGGATTTCTGAAACTCTCCTGTATGTCAGTATATAGGGTTGTTTTTATATAGGGTGTTTTTATTCAAAAACATGATATGCTGCTAACATGTGACACAAGCACGTTTGTGTCTGACGTTCAAGACTTGTGAATCCTGCAGCTCTTACTGGCTATGGCAGGTGTTTAGTGAAAATGAAGTCAATGAGGACTTTTTTTTCCTGTTGTATCCATGTCTAACTAAGCAAGGAAGCTCTCCTGCCTGTAAGCTTTGAGCAGCTATTCTGAGCTTCTTGTACCAGACACATTACTTAAATGCTACTCTAGGTTGGCTTTTAATTTTAGTATTTCTTTCATTGAAGGAATCCTTGTCCATGTTTCCTAAACCCCGAAGAAAATTCTTCCGATCTACAAGAAATTAAGAGAGTCAACAGAGATTTTCAGGTAACAATTTGATTCTGTAACTAGTCTTCTTCATTTGTGTTTCTTCTTCATCTCTTCCTTCAATCCCCTTTCTCTCACACAAAACCTCAGAACTGAGAGGAGAGACTGGGGAAACAGCTTGGCTACAGTTTAATTAAAATCCTGGCCTCCTAGCTGATTATCAGCAATGCAGTCTTTCTGCCTTAATGTTTTGAGTTTAATTGTTTGGGCATTTGGAAAGAAGTTGCTGGTGATGGCTGTTTTGTTGGCGTACATTCATTATAAATGCAATGGGTAGCTCACAGGAGTTGACATGCTACTGCAAGGATAACAAATTAACTTTCATCAGCAGTTTTGTCATTACTCTTAGCAAAGGAAATGAATTAAACTAACCTGATATTCTTTTTTTTTTTTTTTAATCATGGGCTGAGAGTTAGTACACAGCTTACTATGGGTCAGCTAATTATCTGAGAGTAACTTTTCATAGCCTCTAGCTTAAGATTCACTCAAGTTTAACAAAGGTTATAAATAGCCATTGGAGCAGAAGATTTTTCTGTCGTTAGTTCTGTGAATGCAGGGATCGCTATGGGATCACAGTATGTTCTCCAGTCCTCTTGTTCTTTCTATGGCAGTAGGTGTTGTCTGATGGATCTGACAGAGCTCAAAAAATCCATCTTGGAAAACACATTGACTTACCCATGTGGACAATTTTTATTAGGGAAGTGGGACTAGAGCTGTTCTGAGATATAACCAGGACCTTCAGAGTTTATACCCATAAGCTGGAAGGTATTAAGAAGATAGCTTTATTATCTGTATGATAATATGTATGTCTGTAGGCATAGTTTTCAAAAGTAGCAGATGTTTTTCAGTGCTTATATTTTATTTTACTTCCAGCACACCTTTCTGAAAAATCGAACATGTTCCACATGTTCGTCTTCCCAATCATCTGTCTCTTCTAAAAAATTTGGCCTTGTTCCTTTTTCTAATTCTCTGTATTTTTTTTCTTCTTATGAAGCACTGATTTCTGTAAGATACAAACCACATTTTTTTGGTCAAAGTTAAGCAACTTTGCTTTTCCAAATGTCTTTGCTTCTTCACATTTTTCTCACAAAAATCTCTTCCAAATTATCTACTTTGCCATTCTCTTGACCGTTCCATACTATTCAGCTGGATTTGTACTGTTATGCCAACCTACATTGAAAAAATGTAATACGCACGTTTTTACAATAGCCGTTACATGGTAGATGATCCTTGCAAGTTCTTTTCCTGTTTCCACCCATGCAACTCCCCACAGGCTGAAGCCTTACAGCTGGTCAGCAGTGGTCAGTATGAACAGCGTGAGGACTTTGCAGTTGTTGTGCAGCCATTTTTCCGAAACACCATCTTGCCTACGGACAGCGTGAGTCTCCTTTTTCTTTTGCATCTTGCATAGACCACTATCTTGATTTCTCTAAGTTGGCAGAATCCGTGAGGCAAGGACTGTGTTGTTGGTTTTTTTTTTGTTTGCACAGTTTAGAGGTCACAAAGTAGAGCCTGCAATAAAAGTGGCAGAGGAGAAGACAGGAAAAGCTGTGCTGCCTGTGGATCAAAACAGCTTTGGGAAACATTCACAGTGGGCATGCTGCACCTAGGCACCCTTGTGCTTCATCTGAACTACACATTGTCCCCTTTTGCTTCTGCTGTTGGAGGGCTTGCTTGGCCTTCACCATGATGTTCTTCTCCGCTTTAGGTTGTTGAATGGGTTCAGGCTTTCTCCACAGGGAGACCAGCATGCTTGACTCGCCTAAGAGTGGAAACAGGAAGCAGCTTTTGAAGCCAAAGGCTGATTCTCCCTTCTTTTATATGGCTCTAACATTATATATGTTCTGTAGTTAAGGATACAAATTCTTGGTATGGACCCTGGTCAGAAGCACTCAGTTTTGCATAATACTCATCTTTTTGTTATAGCATCCTTATTTTGTTTTGCCACTCCAAATAATGGTTACAGTTCTAGTAGTGATAAGGTGTATTTTCCTTAGTACTGATATTTGCCTCTCATGGATAAACCCACGGTTTTTGATATTTTCTGAAATCCAGTACAAATTTGAATATCTGAAAGAATCTCAGTTATGAAAGTTTGGTCAGCAAAGATTAAAGTAAATGTTTTTTGTTTTTTGGTTTTTTTTAATCTGTTCTGTTCAAGGTAAAGTACAGATCAATGGCTGGGTCCATATAAGAGCTGTGACTATTGGTACAATGATAAGTCTAGATTTGTTATGGAAATTGCTTCATGAAGTTGAACAGGAGATCTCAAGGTGCAATAATCTGTCAATAGTTACGAGCGCCTAACTTTGTCTGCAGTGTCAAAATGTGAACAGATTGCATTTAAGGAAAATCACAGAATCGTAAGGGTTGCAAGGGGCCTCTGAGATCATCTAGTCCAACTCCTTGCTAAAGTAGGTTCCCTACAGTACATTTCATGTTTCCTGTTCCTGAGCTCTGTCAGTCAAAGTAAATAAGTTTTTCCCCATGTTCATATGGAACTTCCTATGTTTCAATTTGTGCCCACTGATCCTTCTTCTGTCACTGAGCACTGCTGAAAAGAGCCTGACTCCATCCGCATGACTTCCACCTTTTGGATATTTATAAGCATTTGTAAGATCTCTTGACCTTCTCTTGTCCAGGCTGAATAGCCCCAGGGCTCTCAGCCTTTCCTCACATGGGAGATGCTCCAGGTCTCTCATCAGCTTCATGGTCCTCCACTGGACTCTCTAGAAGTTCCCCATCTTTCTTGAACTGGGGACGCAGAGCTGAATACAGAAATCCAGATGTGGCCTCACCAGGGTAGAATAGAGGGGAAGGATCACCTTGCTCAGCCTACTGGCCACACTGTTTGGAATGCACCCCAGGATACAATTGGCCTTCTTGGCCACAAGGACACACTGCTGGCTTATGGACAACCTGATGTCCTCCAGGACACCCAGTTCCTACTCTGCAGATACAAAAAAGTGTGAAGTGGGTATGACAAATACAGTGCACTTTTAGATACAATATGTCAACTCTTAAAATGTGAAATGTATTTAGAAATTTATTTTGCTTTTTATTGCAGAATGGCAAGCCAGATCTGAGCTTCTTTGCTGCAGACTGCTTTCATTTCAGTGAAAAAGGCCATGCTGAGATGGCTATAGCTCTCTGGAATAATATGGTAAGAGACTACAAAGTAGATCCCAATGTGCTTGTTGTAGGAGTCCCAACAAAAGATCATGAGAAAGGATGTTTGTGTGAAACAAAAACAGTAAACAAGAAATGAACCTGTTATGCTAACAGGAAGAGGACTACTGAACTCTGAGATCCTTCTTTGTCTGCATTGCTTGGGAACACAACTGACAGCAGTTTTGTTGCCTTAAACAGTATAACCCTTTGCTTATCATCTTTGCTTATGAGAAAGTCTGAGTGTTTCAACATACTCTGAAGAAAAATTCCTTTCTGCTTTGGTAATTAATATGCACTAAGGCAAAAATCAGCCCAGTTAAATATACAGTCCCATATGTTTCCTGAAAAAGCCTGTTGAATGAGCCTACCTTTCCTCATTGACATCTCCTAGACTCATTATGAAAAGACGTGATCAATTTCTTTCTTTCTTTTTTTTTTTTTACTACCATTAAAAGTGTTGTATCATCCACTCAAATATCTGAGGCAATTCTGTCAGAGCCACTGAAGCTAATGGAGGTCTGAAGTTACACCTATGATTCCTCTGCTTGCAGTCATGTTCCTTCTGTCATTTTGAGGGAAACAATTTTGAATAGTGCTGGCACAGTGTATAAGAAGCATATGCTAGACTTGATAACTCCAAGGTAACAGTCACTTTTGGAATGATGTTATTTCCCATAGTCGAAAAAAGACTATGGTGCTTTCATGCCACAGCAACATTTCCTCTTCTTGTCTCATTAACACCAGTTCGCAAATACATTGTGCCAGCAGAAATGCTGTATCCTGGTTTGTGCAAGAAACGGACATAAATAGAGGAGAAACTATTTTCAGTTTTACTTAAACTTTGAGCAAGATAAGAAACTTACAACATACTCCATAAGGAACTTCAGCACAAGGACTAGGACATCCCGGACAGAAACCTATGCAGTTGCTCTCTGTAACACATGAGCTGTAAGTCCAGGGTTATGGAAAACAGTGCGTGTGCTTGTGTTATTTATTTGTGCACCCAACAAATCTGCCTATTTTTCAGCTTCACTATGTGGGTCTCCAGATGGTGGCAGCCTAGCAGGCTTCTTTGTGTAGTGGCTCTAACAAGGCTCGAAGTGGTTCAGGACCCCCTGACAAATGTAAATAACATTCAAATAGTGCATGGCTGCAGATCCCAAGAAGAAAAAGAGAAAATATCTGGGCATATGGTAGCCTTAAAATGGGTTTGTTGACATGCGATATTCTTATTAGCCATTACTCATTCCTGAATCATGATCAGTCCTTTTTCTTTGCCACTGGAGCTTTATTCTGTCCAGACTGTCACTCATTTCCCACATATAAGAATATTGACACATCTTTCTACTGCGTACTGGGAATCAGATTCTTAATAATGCAAACTCTTCACTTCCATAGAACTCTGTCGGTTCATGTTGATCAGACTAGTTCCTAGTTAAATCTATTTCTTGTAATACATCCCTTCTTTCCACTCACTGTCCATGTATGGAGAGGTTGTGCAAGCTTACTGTAAGGCCGTATTGTTTTGCTGTTCCCTGAAGAGCCCAGCAAGAAGTAGGCTTATTGCCAAATGACATGTATTCTCATCAGTCCACACAAAGGGCTAGACTGTGCCTGGCCACTGTGTGGCTATGCAAGGATGGAGACAGCTTAAGGAGTCTCTTCCTCACCCTGATGTTCTCTGCCCTTCCTGCCTCGTGCAAAGCGAAGTGTGCTCCTACCCTATGAAGTCAGAAAACTCTTCAATCTTAACAGTCTCCTACTGGTCCCAGATCCACCCTATCAGCCTTCTGGCCCACAGACAGTGTGTTTAGCTTGCATTATGCCTCTGTGTTTGCTACATGCTACCAGAGGATCTGCATGTGTGTTCCAGAAATTGTCCTGTACACTTATGGACTTGGAGATGCTGTCATCTTTGGAGCTCAGAAGAGAATGCTCCTGAGGTACGCATCGCATAGAGTCAAAGTGAAAAGGACAGGCTATAGAATTCTGCATCTTACTGTCCTTTGCCTGAGCATTATGCCAGACCCCTTGCCAAGTGTTCTGGCACAGAAACTGTTATGGTTTCCTACAACTAACCAGTCAGGCTGCAGACAGACTGGTACAACAAATGAGCCACATAGCTTTCAAATAATTACATCAGAACTTGAACTTTTCCCTTCAAATGCAATAAAAGAAGCAAATTCCATCTCCATAACATTAGCAAGAAGGCAGGCCAAACAATTAGGACTCATAGGTGTCCAACAGGACCTTGTTTGACAAACAGTAAAACATGACCCTCTGATTTACTTCTCACCTTCTCTGCACTTCTTACATTTATTTCCTCCTCATATCTTTAACACATGAAGCATCAGCTTCTTTATCTTGTGTTGGTTCATCTCTCCCCTTTGATTTTTTTCTGTGTCTATTTTTGTTTTGTATAAGAAACCAGAGAAAGTATTCCCATACTGGAATTTTGTTATCAAGATTTTTTCTCCATCTTGTGTTGGTTTTGTCAAGATATTGTTTCTCTCCACCATGCCAGTGACACTTTAGTCACATGGGACAGTAGATGTATGTATAGATGGCAGCAGCAGCAACAGCAGTCCTCTGTGCTGTATGCCCAGAAGTGCTGGGTGACAGTTCTGCAGTTTTCTATGGGCCAGTCCTTAGGTCATTACTTCTGGCATGTCGATACACAGTTGTAAACGCTTCAGTCAACATGACTGATCAAGCTTCTACTTGTTAGCTTAACTATGGTAACGGATGGCATGTGCACTCCTTGCCAACCACGGATGCTGTGCTGCTAGCCTGGACATATTTTATTTTGCATCTGAAACGGACTCAGAGAGAGCCTATGGTCAGCTCAGCTGACAACTGATAATCTAAAAGGCTTTATTTAATTCACTTCTTGCAGTCTTGTGAACTTAGCCTTAGCTAAAACTCCCCGGGCATTTCTTGTCTGAGTGTAGACTGCAAAGGTTAGTATTGTCCCCTCCTGCCTGTGCAACTCCACATCATTTCTGAACGCATTTCTGTCACCATGACACCTAAGCTTCTTTCTTTCAGTACTGTGCTTAGTAATGTGACTAACATCTCTCGTGATTTTTTTTTCTTTGTGGTTTATACTGTCATTTGAGATGTCCATGTGGGAGAACTGGGTGTATGGTGCACTACTTTGTTGTAGCAGAATATTTGAAGTATGTGGTAGTCAGAGCTATTTTCTCCTGCACTCCGTGCAAAAGGAGGAAAGGCTTCTCCTGTTGTTTGCTTCTTGAGTTTCTGCAGATGCTGTGTCAGATTCTCAATGTCTTCAGTTCACGAGTGTTAAAATGTTTGGAAACTTTCCTATGATGCACCTTCTCCCACGTTTCTTCAGTGCTGCAGGCATCAAAAGGCTGGGTAAAAACTTGTAGGCACACAGGAACCTGAGGAGAAAAAAGATCCTCACTGTTTACTATTGCTTTTCCCTTCCTCAGATGGAACCAGTTGGTGAAAAGCAGACTTACAACAACTTTACCTATGACAGATCAAAACTCAAGTGTCCAAACCTTGTAAGTAAAGGCCATACTCTTCTTTAACCACATTTTTTTTCCTCTGTTCTTATTGTTCCTTGTTTTTGTTTGTTTGTTTGTTTTTTTCTCAAGAATATCTTTGTAAAGGTTTTAAATAGCAAAAATATGCTGCTGTTTATTACACTCTGGAAATTCTACAGAAGGTTTAATGCCATAGATCTATCCTTACTGCAATGGAAAGTCTCTACTTTGACCTGGTTTTAATGAATGCAGACATTTCCATGTGGTTGTTTGCAGCAAACAGATTTGGAATTGATGCCATCACTTATGTTTCTAAGGTGACTTCTCTTTTTAATTCTAGGAACTTCAGGCAATGGGGAAGAAATCAGTTTGGGCTAAGGCAGAACAGTTGATTGCCTGTCTAGAAATTGACTCCCCTCTCTGGGAGGGGGGGTGCTATGCTGTCTGAACACTGCTGCAAGGTGTCTCTGGTCAGTAAAACCTTTCGTCTCTCTTTGTAGGAGAAACCCTTTCTTTCCACACTGAGAAACAGTGGATTCAGGAATTCAGCTCTCAACTTGGAGAAGACGGAACCTTCAGTCCCCTACTGGGCTGTCATTGTGGCTGCAGTAGCTGGAGTCCTGGTGGGCTCTTTGCTCCTTTGGGCTGTGTCAAGAAGAAGAGCCAGGAGACACCAGCGTGACATCGATGCAGAAAAGAACATGAAAACAACATCTCTTTAAAACCAATGGAGCAAACATCTGTCTCTGCAGAATTAGAAAACAGTTGGACATTCGTCAAACTTTGTTTTTAGCCAGGAATTTTTGGGCCCACTGGTATTGATCAGAAAGGCATTGTAGAAAGGCTAGCTTTTGCAGATCAGTGAGGTGGACAATGGAGTTCAAAAAGTTAAAGCTTTTCCATGCTGGGATATGCTTCTCAGTTTCTTGAATATCACACAGAATTTATTCATGCACCTTTGCACCTTATTTGTCCCTTTTTCCTATAAAACTCTGTGTATAAAATGTTAGATGCTCATGATTGTGACCTGGTGCTCCCCAGTGGTAAGGTGTGATAAAGAAGAAAAGTAGCAATTTCACATGTTAGATTCCAATAAGACCACAGAGCTGAGCTGATGGTGCTATGGTCATATTGGAACTTTCAGGAAAGTACAAAGGAAAGTGCAATGCCAAGGAAACATCCTCTAGCATCTTCTGAGCAGCCGTGTAACAGAAGGGTCTGGCTCTTGTGGCACCTGTGGCATGTTCAGTTCTCTCAGATTGGAATCACTGTGGTTGTTCTCTCAGTAAGAATTTGCAAAACTTTTTCAAACTTCTCAGGAGTTCAGAGTTGATCTTTTCCAGTAGTTAGACATCCCTTGTGTGATACTTGCATACTACATATATTCACAGTAGTCCTGTTTGTCAGTACCTTTATTTCACATGCCAAATACTTTTATTTTTGATTTTATTGAAACTGAAGTGTAGTTTGTAATGGTGTGTCTTTTTTTTTTTTTTTTAAGGTTTCTACATTTCCATTCCAGAAATGCAAACAAGCTGAAAATTAAAACTGTTTCAGAGAAAAAAAGTTTCTTTTTTTGGGTTTCTTAAATCTAGTCATTACACAGACATAGAAGGTATTCAGACTTCGTTTCACTCATTCTTCTGGCCAAGATAAAAAGAGATGGGTAAAATACGGCGTGTGTAGTCAGGAGCTGCAGCTCCACTCATCCCTCCTTTGATCTGCTCTCAAAGGTTGGACTGTTAGTGGTAGGACTGTTGTTTGCATAAATCCTATCCACAGGTGTGTCTGAGCACAGCAGCTCTATATGCAGCCCCAAAGAGAGATGTACTTGAAATGCAAAACAGAAGCACCTGTGTCTTATTTCAGTGCGGCTCAGGCATAAGCTCAAACTGCTCATCTCTGCTGCTCTTCCTGTCCCTGTCTTCAGTGTGCATCTTAACCATCTACCTGATGTCTGAACTGCTGATATTTATTTAGTTCGACTACTGGAAGCAAAAGCAGCCTTATAATGCAAGACATCTACCGTATTCCAGCACGTTCCACAGCATCATTACCTCAGACATATTATAAGGTGTGAGGGATCTGAGCAAATATCCCAGTGGGTCATGAAGGTGACAATCTCTTCTCATTCCTATATGTTACTCTCATAAGTCCTCTTCCATTCTGTATAGCCACAAATCATGCAGCCCCTGCCTTCATAAGGAAGAGAAAGGTGCCGTTCTCTGTGAAACCTTTCATCAGTACTGGGTATGTTAAAGGAAACTCAAAATGGAATTTCAGTGCTGATGTATTTTTCAAATGATGTGTGTGTGCATGAAGTGGGGTGAGGTTTTTAGAACATGAGCTAGAGCTGCACCGTTCTCTCATTAGGCTCTCCCAGCCTGGAGTTGGATGCAAATCTGATTTGATTTTCATGCTGGTGCACCTTGCAAGAATAACTAGAAGATCCCTTCCTTTTGTAGAAGTCTGAATTTTGCTCTGAGCTTCTGAAAGCCAAGACATCAGAGGTGCAGCCAGTTAAGAAGTGAAACAAAAAGAAGGCCCTTACCTCCTCCAGTGTTTTGAAGGATGCTGGTGGAAATTGTTATTGCCTGGGAGCTTGGGTGACTCCAGACTGTACTGCAGATACTTGGTTCCCTGAAGCATTCGGCTTTGTGAGAAATGCTGCCTTTACTGAAGCTTTTGGGAACTGAGCCTGTTGAGCTTAAACTGTATTGGCTCTGTGCTGCTTCAGCAACAGGAGCCTTTTCCTCTAGTTTCTCTGGGTACAGCTCTACTGCACTATTACAGCAGGAGCACATAGGAGATGGAGCTGGAAACTGTGTGCTCTTTATTTAGCCTGCAGAAATGTCTTCTGGCATCGTGTTGGTATGGACTGAAGAATGTGATGAACTGTATGGACATTTAAAAATAAGATTAGAAAAAAAAAAGGAAGAATCATGCAGTTTTCAGCTGTTTCACAAGCAAAATAATTTCCTTGAAAATACTGATGCCAAGTGCCCTTTCTGTGTTCATTAAATAGAGGTAGGATTAATTATTAGGTCTGGATCTTTGTCTGACTGGATTCAGTTTAGCATTAAATCAGAATCTGTACATCCTGTCTGTCAGTTGTCTGTTTTCCCTCTTTCCTTAATAAGACACCCTTGGTTTCATTGCCCTGTGGCATGTTTCCTCTCTGCACTGCTGGGTGCAGATTGCTTACTGATGCACAAAGGAAGGGAGGCATAGGAGGAACTTCAAGTCTGTGTGAAAAAAAGCATAAAAAGCATGGGTGTTCTAGCCCAGGATCTTACTTCAGACAGTGGTGATCTCACCTGCTGCTGAAAAGCACCTCGTATGTCTTCTGAAAACTGGCTTAGCTCTTCCACTGAGGGAGAGCTGAAGCTTGGTGCCCATGGACAGTCATTGGCCAAGGGAGTGCCCAGTGTGGGTTACTGCTAGGAGAAGTGCTGTGCTGTTGCCTGGCCCTGGAAACTGATCCGGTCTTCAAGGGAAGTGACAGAGCCTAATAACTGTTGGCAGTTTGTCTACAGCTGAGGCAGCAGCCGAATTGAACTTCTGTCCTTTTTGTCTATTGATGGAAAAGCCCTGGATTCTTACAGCTCTGTAGTTATTCATGTTCCCTGTATCTGGGACTTCGGGAACAGAAAGAATGGCCATCCAAGATGTGGCTCACAAATTACTTACAAGGAAACAGGTCTCCTCAGAATCACAGATCTCTAAGCATGATTTCTGAGAACTATCACATTAAAACTATTTCTATCCCCAGTACAGAGTTTGCTCATCCAGAGACCTGAATATTATTTCTAGCAGCATTACACTGTATCCAAAAAAGAGGGTGGTGGAAGAAGGGAAAGAAACTGGAATGGTTAACATCACACATCTTCCATGTAATCATCAGCAACTGGCGCAGATACTACACTACCTTTCACTTGTTGAATTCCTTTCTGAGAGCAGTCATTTTCTCTTACATAGTTTGAAACTCAATGCTATCAACTCATAGCTGAAAGGTGCAATAAATAAAAAAAAAAGCTTTACACTTTGGTGAACCTCCCAGCACAAAGAAATTTTTATTGCTCTGTTTTTGCCCACCAGAGAGAACCCAAAAGAAGACAGAAAGCGCATGGCTTGGGCAACTTGAGCACGTGAATCCAAAGAAATATAGGAGAGCTTATTTAAGAGTTGGGACTCCCTGCTGGCTGGAGGCTAGAGGAAGTTGCCTTATGGCTTTCCATTTCTGTGTAACTACTTTGTGGCTGTCAATCATAACATGATCGTAACTGGATTAATGTATGTGGGTTTTACTGAGAAAATTTCATTAAAGAGCTTTGTAGTGTGCTTTTTTTTTGTTTCCTAGTTATAGAGTTTGTAGATGTTGGGTATGGAAATGTGCTCATATCCTCTGTTGGACAGAGTATGGGGTCCATGAATGTGCTTCAGTGGTAGAGTACTTTGTGCTCTCCAGTCTCTCTGCTTCCTCACTAGAAGGTTTTAAGAGTCCCTTTGGACTGACAGTGCTGTGTGCATGTGGCTCAGTGAGAGGCAGGAGAGGACTTCTGCCACTGATCCACGAGCTGACCCTGCGGTGAGATATTTCAGATGGAGAAACCAGCCACTTCCAAACACCTAACAGTGCTCTCATTGCTGAAAAGAGATTATGGACATGAAGGAGAAAAGTGGTCTGTTGCCTTGAAAGCATCCGTGTTTTAACTGTCACAGGTTCTTTAAAATTCCTTCTCTCTTAAAAACAAGCCGTGAAGGGAACAAAACCCCTTTTGCTACCATTTGTGTTTGTTAGGTGACTGGGAGCACCACCTGAGGGCCACAATGTGTTGTTTAGGTCACAGTAGGAGACAATCCCCAAAACAAAAGAGCAGCCAAGGCTGCTCAGCAGCTCAACAGCAGCAGGGAAGTTGGGCCTTGGGCATTTCACAGCGGGTGAATGAGACAAAGTGCTTTCAGTGCTGTCACATCAGCTCAGGTTTGTAGCCAGAGCCTTCCATTGCAGTCACAGGCACCAGCCAGCTCAGCAACTCTGCACCTGTCAGGGATTTACACACACTTGACAGGCTGCCCATAGGTGTCTTCTGAAACGCCTTACAGATCAAAGTAAAACACAGGAGCTAGAACCAAGTGGAGAGGATGCAGTTGGGTTGGACAATGTGTACCTTGAAAATTCCCAAGCTGGCTTGGCTCTGCTCAGCTCTTTCCTTTCATCAGCAGTGGCCAACTTCATTCAAAGTTCATCTGTATGTAAATACAGCCTCCAGGGCCTGGAGTACAGTAGCTCCTTGATTTCCCAAAGCAAAATTGTGTGACTACACAAATAATATAGTAACCCCGAATACATCTTCCAGATCTTCTGGGAATCAGGCCCTGATACACCTGGGCAGTGAATCCCAATGGTGAGGTGCTCACTGTAAGCAGCAAGATAACACCTCTGGGGATATGTAATAGCAGAACTTCCCGTGTCTAAATGCTTTCTAAGTCCCCAGAGTTGCCAATGAATTCTGAAGAAATCACGTGGCTTTTATTGACTGTGCTTAACAAGATTGAACATCTGTATGCCATCCCTTTCAAAGTCATCTGTGCTACCTTTTTGTGAGTCTGGGTTGAAAATGACACAAATGCTTCTCAGCCCACAGCATAACGTCCATCCACCACACGCTTGTTTTGTGGCACAAGCTGACATTTTCCTGCTGTTGCTGCTGCACAAGTCCAACAACCTCTTCACCTCTCCCCTACCTGAGGCATCCTTCAGTACTGCTGCCAGAAACCTATGGTGTACAGTAGGCAAATGAACCAGCCTGGCAATTAGGACATTCTCCTGGCTGTTACTTATTCTACAGTGAAATACTTGATGCCTTTATTGAAACATCGTCTAAAGTGTCTTACAAATATTTATTAGGGTAATTTGAGTGTCCCAACATTCCTGTGAGGCAGCCTTATTACCCCCCACACGTTCCCTAAGGACGACGAAATGTGTGTGCAGAGAGGTGAAGTGATGTTACCCCAGGCGAGGTGATGAGTCAGTGGCTGAGCAGGAAATTAAACTCAGAAGCCCTGGCTCCACAGACACAGCCCAGTTGTGTAACCACTGCACGACTTATCACTCAATCACCAACACAGCAGACTGGTCGCTGTGCCAGTTTTATGCCTGGTTTTTCCCTCTTGAATGCAAACTCAGCAAAACAGCAGCAGCCTGTACAAGTGGGGAGGAGCAGTGGGTGCAGCAAGCTCTGCAGCGTGCAGGACACCGGCAACAGGGCCTGCCCTGGTGCTCCAGAGCCACGTGAGGACAGCAAACACTCAGAGGGGCCCAGGCTGCGCTTATTACGGGGTGCAATGCTATGGGCTCTGCATCACCTTGTTCTGGAGTGATCCTGACGTGTTGCTTGGAGCAGGAAGGGCTGGGGCTTTTGGGCATCTCATCTCAGATCTGTTTGCATGGTGGAGGTATATCCTTTGGGACAGAATTTTTATGAAAAAGAGAAGTCCTACTGGGAAGAAATGGTGAAATGAACTGGTTTTTTTTCTTGCATTGTTGGTCTTCGTTGGTTTGACTTCAAGTTTTTTCCTTGCTGGAAGAGAAATGATGGGAAAAAATTGACCCAAAGTGAAATTTTCCCTTTTAGAATGTTATTGCAAGGCTATTTAGCTCCTTAAAAGACTGTTTAGTTTCAGAACATTCAGAAGCATAGGATGTCTGCCTTTTGATTTATTTTCCAGCTACAACCATACTGTAAAAAATAACACTGATTTGGAACCTTTTGATATTTTTTTAATATTGCCATTCTGATTTTTGAAGCAGGAACTAACTCCAAGGCATCGGAATGTTCAGAGAGGAAGAAGAGTTTTTTCTTCTGAAGGTTGCAGTAAATCCAGACTTTCTACGAGTGCCTGCAAGGCAGCCTCCTGCACAGCCACCTCCTGCAGTGATCCACCTGAGCTGCTGGTGCCACACAGCCCTGCCAGCTCTGAGAGTGACTACAGACTGAAACCACCCTCATGTGGTGTCACCCACACTGCTCGGCAGTGCCAGCACGTGGCTCTGGCACCACTGCATCCTCAGCCAGCTGCAGCACGAAGCTGTGCAGCAAGGGCTGCAGCCCTTGTGCAACCAAGATCGACACGGTAAAGCATTCCTCCCTGACACCAACAGAAAAGGGAAAAGAAGTGTCCTTCCACAAGTAAAGCTGCCTCTCAGTATCTTCACCAGCCTGCCCTCAGCTCATAGCCTCCAACAAACTGCTTGCTCCAACCATGAGAAGGGCCATCTGCTCATTCTTCAGCGTGCAGACAGCAGCCTACAGTCAAGAGCTGCCCTTTGCTTCCTCCCACCAGGCCGTTCTTAGCAGAAACCTGTAGCTCACTCAAATATTTTGTTCTTTGAACCACCGTGACTTTATACAAAAGCAGTTGGGAGCTGGAATGAATCTGCTTGATTGGAAACAGGGTGGCCTCTGCAAACTGTTGAATCCTGAGATAATGTTATTTAATTATGTTATTTAGCAGTGTGCTCTCATTTGGTCATCCTTGGAGCTGTGCCAGCTGACTGCTCACTATGACAGTCTGGTTATAAGTCAGTCTGCCCTCAGCATCAACTGCCTTGGGGCTCTTCCATCTCACTGAACCGGGCAAGCAGGCATGAGGTGCTTCTGATCTGCTCCCTGCATGAAACTGAGGGAATCCAGGAATGTATCAGAAAGGCTTCTCTGTTTCTCTCTCTCTCTCTCCTTTTTTTTTTTTTTTTTTTCCATTGGAACCTGTCCAGATGGAGCACAAACAAGGAGAGGATAAATGCAAAGTGCTCTGCCGCCCTGAAAGCATGCGCTGACGTCAGCGCTCGTGGACTGGCACTTTAATCATCACATGGGGAATGTTTCTCTCTCCCTGTAGCCTCACTTTGAGTTTCTCTGTGCACGAACATTAGCATTTATGGCAAGGAAGATTTATTTTCTTTGCTGGTTAAAAGAGCAGTACATCTGTAATGCTGTACGAGCTGCTAGATGGGGAGCCCTGGAGAGCCAAAATGCTGCAGGCTCAGGCTTGGCACAGCAAGGGCAGCAGAATCGCAGAATGCCTTAGGCTGGAAGGAACCTTGAAGATCACCCAGCTCCAACCCCGTGCCGTGAGCAGGGCTGTCCCCCACCAGCTCAGGCTGCCCAGGGCCCCATCCAACCTGGCCTTAACACCTCAGGGATGGGGCACCCACAGCTTCTCTGAACAGACAAGCCCTCTCCTGTATGTACTTCCTATATGCTGAAAGCTAAGCTGAAAGCAAGAGGCTTATCCGGTCACCATTCACAGCAAAATTATTGGCTTCTCTAAGCCAAACTGTGCAAAATACTCTGGGGGAAAAAAAAAAAAGGCCAACCTGACGTGGTGGCCATTGCACTGTGTGAGTTAGAACAGATTTCAGGGAGCAATCAAAGGATAGGTTTCAGTCTATGTGGTGCAGAGAGATTGCTTCATTCCAAGCATTCAGAAATGTGCTGGAGAGGGGAAAGATGACAGAGATTGATGTTGCAGGCAGGCTGCTGTCGATGCAAATGCAGTCAGCTGGTCCCATTGGCTGCTTTCATTAGAGCGCCTGCTGCACAATGAAGTGGTTTCCTAATTACAGCCTTTGCTTTGCCCTGCTACTGTACAGCTCTGCATCATCAGGCACTGCTGCTTCCTCGCGCTGTTGCAGCACAAGGCAGCAAGGCCTGCCTCAGTGCTAGGCCCTGCTTGCTGGGTAATTAAAGTGGGATTGGGGGGAATTTATGTCACTCCTGTGCATGGTGGGTCCTGGTTCATACCAGGCCTCGGGTGGCAGCGAGCTTGAGGGCATCTAAAACACATGCGCACAGATATCTAGACATCCATCCATCCCAGTTAGTGATGCACTTCACAGGTATTTGAAAACTTGTGTGGTGGTGCATAAGGGACACAGATGGCGATAGGGAACAAGAGCAGAGATAGCCATTAAAGATTTAGCGAGGTTCTGCTCTCGGCATCTTCCCTGGCTCCATCTCTCACACCAAACACGTGCAAGAACTGGAAATACACCTTCCTCCCAGTCACACAGCCACTAGACTTGACACTTATCTTTTAAAACCAGATATTCCCCCTCAATTGCCTCTCCTTCCAGAAAACCACATTTTCTCCAGTTGAGCAGCCAGCAGCTATCAGCTAAAGTCAGACCACTGCACATCATGGGTTGTCTGAGTGATTCGGGCTTTTTAATAACTACTTTGATGTGCTTTTTTTCTATTTGCTTTTTGGATTTGGAGGGCTTGGTTAATGTTTTTTAAACTTTCCAGGGTGGAGACTTTTTTTTTGCTTTTAAATGAAAGTAGCAATTTTCACATAATTACAGAGCTGTGTAAACCAGCACCAAATGTTGTGAAATCCACGATACAATCTTCACAGTGTTCCTGATATTCCAATTGGACTTGCTGATAATGGAACCCAATTTTGTTTGCCTGGTCTCTCTAAACCTGCCAATTGCCAAACTTGCTTAAGTACTAAGTTGGTCAGAATGATCTGTCTGCTCCTCATCTCATATATTTGGCACAGTCTGTGCTTGCCAGAAGAGCTGTGGCATTCTGATCTGGCTCTTCCCACAGTTCTACTAGGTCCAGATGCAGCACAGCAGCCTTCAGCTGTTATTAGTTCCTGGGATTAAATAAACCACACTTAGAGACTGCACACCTTGTCACTATAAACAGTGGGTAGGAACAGAAGACCAGATTCAGCTGGGATGCTCAAGCAGTTTGGACTACAGGCTGCTAAAATGTTTCCAGCAGCCAAAGCAGCCCCTGCTGCTCACTGAGCCCTGGCACTTGGGCAGTGTGCAGGCGGTATGGTACCCAGAGTATGGAGATGGGTGGGAACTTAGTCTGTGTTCCTGTTGCACTGAGTAACCTCAGAAGCATTTGATGAGTGCATGGCAGTGAGCTGTTCCTATACAAACAGTTATTTAAAATGCTGTGTCCTGAAATACCCGCCTCATGGACCAGGAAGTGTCCATGTGTCACTGCTCTGTCCCACCAAGGGAGCTGCCTGGCAGGTGCCAGCTGTGGTGCCCTGGGCTCATGTGGCTCACAGAGCTCACTAGAAAGCAATGGAGAAATGGCTGTCAGCGTTTCTGACCCTTGCTGACTCCTACCAGAGAGTTGATCCTCTGGGATGATCTCATGCGATCATAGCTAAGTCTGCTGTGCCCACTTGATTGGCATTTACATGCTGGCAACTTTTATCTGCAGAGCGGTGGAAGCTCTCAGGCTGGAGCTGCAGGCTGCCTGGTGACTCACCCTGCTGGAGCTGGATCCTGAGCTCTCCTAACCCGTTCCCAGAAATGGATGTCTGAAGCCTCGCATCCACCCTGCTGTCTGCCTATTTGTGTTTCGTGCCTTAGGACAGAAATCTTTCTTCCTTTATTCCTTCCTTGACGTTTTCTGGTTAGAAGATTGATCACAGGAATGAGTGGAACCAAGGAGAAGAAATTGCTCACGCCGTTCATGCAGCTGTCTGCAAACTCCCTGCACCTGTTTGTCCTCCCTATTTTGGGTCTTACAAAATCCCGGAAATTCTTCCTCAAAGCTTTTTCTTTCTCAACGTGTGGCCAGGACAGCTGCCTGTCATCCAGACTAAGGGTGATGCTCAGCCCAGACCCAAGGAGCTGAGGAGAGGCTCATGGTGACCTACAGCTCTTCACAGAGAGTGGTGGGCAGCGCTGAGCTCTGCTCTGTGTGACAGCAACAGGGCCCGAGGGAATGGCATGGAGCTGTCAGGGAGAGGCAGCTGGGGGTTAGGGGCAGGGCTGCACCAGAGGGCAGCGGGCATGGGACGGGCTGCCCAGGGCACAGCCCTGAGCTGACAGACTTCAAGGATAGTTTGGACACTACTCTCAGACACGGGGTTTGGATGTTGGGTAGTGCTGTGTGGAGCCAGGCATTGGGTTCCATGATCCCTATGGATCCTTTCCAACTCAGGATATTCTGTGATTCTATGACTCTACAAGGCTGCCCAGCTCTGCTCTGTGCTCTTCTGTATGGCATGGTGACCTACATACCTGCCCTTCTCTGTAAGTTGTGTTGTCCCGGCTTATCTGGCCCTCCCTTTGCTAAGGGTGATAATACAGAAGAGACCTTTCATTATCTGGCAGCCTCCACCCAGCAGTCCTAGGTTACGTGTGCTGCTCTCTTCCATTCCTGTCTGTTTGTCTCTGACTAAGAACTAAATAACCTAAAGGATTTTCATCCAGGCATCTTTGTGGAGTCTTAAATCTTAATCCGTTCACAATCTTAACTAATTGGATTGCTTTGTGGAAGAAAGCTGTCTGTGGTTTGACTTTCTGCAGAACACCTAACAAAAAAAAAATTAAAAAAAAAGCAAAAAGATAGAATCTAATGGCTGTTACGAAAAAAAAGTAAACTGCATCACAGCTTGCCCTGTTGCACAAGAGGTGCAGACAGTGCTGAAATGTGCAGAGGAGGTTTTGCACACATAAGCAAATCTGCAGGCTGCGTGGTGCTTAATAGTGCTCTGCCCTTGCAGGTCACTTATGGAGAGAATAAGCAGCAGCATTCCTGCAACTGGACATGCCACCTCATTCCTACTTCTGTTACCGGTGCCACACAGAATGTGAAGTGCTTTTTCTTTCAAGAATGCCTCCCAAGTGATGCTGTGCTTTTGCAGACATTGCTGATGAATTGACAAATGCAATTAATAACATCAAAAGCCAGGGAAAGTCAACCTGAGAAGTTAAATAATTCACTTTAGGTCTGGGACCAAAACCAAGTAGACAATACGTGCATCTGCCAAGGCACTATACCTATCTATTCCTGCACAAAAAGCTATTGTGCTTGTGCTGCCTGCTGCTGCTGTTTTCTAGGCTATAGCACATCTGCTATGGCCACACCACTTATGTCCAGATGACCAAAAAGCTGGTCTTCACTCTAGGAATAGCATTCTTGCAAGCACTCAGACACTTCTCTTCATGCCATTACATCCACAATGCTGCTGGCAGCTCCTTGAAGAAGGTCTGCAGTTCACATGTGTTTTCTATTTGGTGGTGCAGACTTCCCTCCAGCTGAAGGAGACTGCAGGAGCCCAGCTGTGACCAATTATGGTCAGGGCTGCCTGAGGTTAGGGCTGAGCGGCGGTGCAGGAGGTCATTTGCTCATGCTGCCTTGCAGAGACTGTGTTTTTGTACTCAGCTGTGGCTTTTGCCAGTTCTGAAGATTTTTAGTCTGTTTCAATGTTACTCTGTGTTTGCTCTGATTGTATTCCACCAGGTTTTGACTCCCATTAGATGCAGTTTCCGTGAGGCCTGTGACCTAGCCCAGGAGGTCAATCTGACATTGCTTCCCACTGCTTCTCTGACAGTACCACTGGTCAGGGCTGAGTCTAGGTGCAAACCAAACCTTGCTGAGTGCTGGAGACCTGCTGGAATCCACAGGAGTAAGGTGAGGGCTGCAGCCATTTTATTTTTCTGAGCCCTTTTTTGAGGTCTATAACAACACCAATCTTTTAATACATCTGGATTTAACGCATGTAGTGCCCATGTGACGAATGGTGTCTATAAATACTGTGTAAGCGCACAATAGGATATTTAGCATACTGTTTCCAACAGGCTTCCAGCTAGGCTCTCTGCCTGGCGTGTGCAGCAACTTCCCTGGGTCTCTGGGGAGTTCTGGTGCTGTGCCCTCCACGTGAGGGCCACCCTCCAGGGAGAAGGGAGGTGCTTGGGGCATTGAGGGGTTTCTGTGGAAGCTCCAGGGTCCGCAGCAGCACCAGGAATTTCTCCCCCTATCCTTCTCTCCATCAATTTCTCTGAGATGTTTGTGGTATTATTTGTATTATTAATACTTTTCTTAGGGAAAAAAAAAAAAAAACCAACAACAAAACAACCAGCCCTTCTAGGAATCTGATTACATGTTTCTGTATTTAAAATGAGAGGCTTTTTTATGTGCACGTAGAAAAAATACTGGTTTACACTATTAAAATTTGCAAGCGCTTAGTGTAATCTGGTGATTAATGCAGCCTTTTACTGGGTTGCTTATAAACCATAAATTCCCCCCACAGAATGGCTGCTGTGGCTCTTTGCCAATTAACCTCCACATGCTTCACTCTTGCTCTGGATCTGGGTGTTCCCTCGCTCATTTATTTGTTGTTAACAAAACACTTGCTGTTTGAAACACAGCATTTAGTACCCGTGCTTCTGGTCCCCCAGCACATGCAATATTGATGTCCTGTGGATTGTATAAGAAGCCTGACTCATTAGTACAGAGGTATTAAATAAACATCTTGAAAGAACGCAAACAAATTTGGACATAACAGCTACAGTATTTTAGTGCTAGCAGAGGCACAGCAAATGTGAGCTTAGTGAACTGAAAAGGAGAAAAGATCCGTTTCTTGCTTACACAAGTGTTGGTGGCAGGGATGTGATGGAAAGAGCAGGGGCCCACTCTGGTTTGCCTTTGGCTCACCTCATGCTTTGTCTTCATGTCTTAGAGTGCAACGTGTGGTATTTTTATCCTGAGTTGGAAGAGCTCCACAATGTTCATCGAGTCCTACTCCTGAAAAGAGTAACCTTCCTCTTTCCATCACATTGTTGGTCCTGAGCTCCTCTGCTGATGGCAGTGGTTGAGGCCCAAAATATTTCAACATAAAAAGCTTATCACAGGCACGGGGTAATATCAAATAGGCTGGATATCTGTTCTGAAGATTATGCTACATTTATTATTTATAACTAATGAATGAATGACACTTCAGAAATACGAAAGCAGATCTGCTCTTTTTGTTCAGGGTCTCTCAGTTCGTGAGTCGGTATCAGAGACTGCAATGTGGAAAGGTCACTTTGCAGTCTGTAAGCAGCTTTAAAGCCTTCACGGGCCTTAAAACAATGGGCTTAGCCAGTGGAAAAAAAATCTTCTGGAACAAGGTAGCTGCCAGCAGAAAGCTGGAAAATGGCTCTGTGATGAGCCTGCTACGTCTGCTCCTGGTGTGGGTAGAGGAGGGAGAGCTGAACAGCATTTGTCTGGTTTGTCACTGCTTCAACTAGTAATTCTTACTTTTATCTGTTCCAAGCTTGCTTCCAAATGACCAACTGTACAACTTGATGCTGTCTAATGGGACATGAAACAGCCAAACTAGTGAGTAGTCCTAGTTCTTACAAGCCTGCTGTCCCCTGGCAGTCTCTCTTGTCTCTTGCCTTTCTTTGTTGCTGTGGCCCATGTATCCCATCACTCAGCCCCTGGCCTCTGTGGTCTGGTTCTCACTAGTCCCACATCAGCCAAAATATGTCTCAGAGTTAGCACATTTCTTTAAATCCAGCTTTGTCCATCCACACTACTGGTACCTGCCATGAGTGAAGAGGGAGTCTGGACATCTCCCATCACACAAACAGGACATCAGGCATGTCAAGATGCCTCTCCTCTTCTCCATACTGAAATACCAAGCCTGTGGCTTTCATAAAAATAGTGCCTGAAAACACGGTCCCCCAGACCAATTGCTCTGTGAAGGATTTGGACTTTTGCTGCTTTTGCTGACAGCTGTGGCAGTGAAAAAGTTTGACTGACCTTCCTGCAGGAACCCCTCCTGGCCCATTTGTGTTGAAACAAGTTGGATTTTTAAGGGAAGCTCTGGTCTGGCTGAGGCAGGAGAAGCAGTGTGTGTGAGCCCCTGGGCTGGGGCAGGGAGGACCTGGGTAGGGATGATCTGCCAGCCATGGGGCCAGGCCAGGGGCACGTTGGTCTCCCTGAAGCAGCACAGTTCAATCCAGGGGTAAGCAGCTGCACCTGGCTAACTTGACATAACCACTTCTGCTTGTTCATCTCCTCCTAGTTTACTTTCCTCTTGAGTGCTTACGATGCTTCCCTCTGTGCTGCATTGCATATAGGAAAAAACCTATGGATGAAAAGCCACCTTACAATCTCCCTCCTGACTTCCTACCCTTCCTTTAAATGTCTTGCTAGCTGGTGCCAGCTGTCAGCATTGGACTGTGACTAATGCTCATTTTCTTGCACAATATTATGCTTAGCTTCTCGTTACCTAGTTCCAGCCTTTCTGGCGTCGTCTTCTCTTCTTATTTTCTCGTTTATGTCATGCATCCATTGCAAATAATCACCCTTAGAAGTCAGTATTGCCAGTCTCATTTCTTCAGGAAATGAGGTTTGGGTGATCATGCTCTGTACATCTTCAAATAACTGTTGAATACAATGGTTGATTGAATTTGGCTGATGGAGAGCAGACCCATGAGTAATTGAATTGCTAAGAGTTTTGTGCAAGTAGGCAGTGAGCTGGGGCAGACAGGACCTCTTAGGTCAAGGGACAGAAATGAAGGTAGCAAACATAGTAGTATCTTGTGAGATACCAAAAAATTAATAAGGGAGATGTATTTATCAATGCCAAAAGTAGATTTGTACCTTCAGATGATCACAAGATACGAGCCCTGGAATCTTGTGTTGCAGTGCTCTTTGAACTAACTTTTTCTAATGTGTTTGATGAGTGGTTGAGTCAGTAGTTTCAAATCTCTGAATTGGGCTTTTAGTTTTATTATGTGCCATGAAATAATAATAATAATAATAGCAATAAAGGCTAACTGTACTAAGGAGCATTTCCTATCCAGAAAGCTATTTTGGGAACAGCACCTTTCTGTAATCCTGTTGGGTTTTTCACTTCTCTGTAGATTTTGCTACCACAGCATTATGGATATCACATTTGGTTTTAATGCTCTGTTTTTGTTTCATTTCAAATGGTGGCATAACATGGCCCAGAAGAACAATTGGTCTTTCTTCATTGTTCCGACTGGAGATTAAAGGCAATTCAGGTGCTTTGTCATTGTTCAGTTGGGATGGAGCCATTTTCCACTGTCCCGGTTGGAGGACCTCAGGAGACATCCCCTCCACAGGCTGCCCTGACCGCTGCAGCACTTGGAATGCCTGGAACGCAAAATCTTACCCCACCGTTTTGTTTCCTGCACACAGCAGATGCTCAGCCCTTGCCTACCCCTTTCCAGGGACAACCTTACAAGAAGCTGCATAATGTGTACGCATATGTAATCCTGCAAGAAGCCAGTTGCCTTGCCAATGTTTGATCACACATTTAAACCTGGTTCAAGGCTTCTGTCTCCTGACTGCACGCAGAGCAAAGGAGGTTAGTGCATCATTAAGGCTTTGTGCAGTGAGGCATGCTGCCCAATACAGGACAAAGGGGAGGATTTAACCATAGGCTAATTCTAATTTTTCAGCAGAAAGGTACTTTTCCAATGTAATAGAATCCTAATTAAAAAACAATGTCTTGTGCAGTAGTTTAGCTGTTGTGTTTCTCGCAGCAGTGCCATGTTACAGAGACAAACTATCAAGTGCTTAGCTTACAGCTTGTCTCTAACACCTGGAATGCTTCAGTAGAGACAGGTTTAAAAATTAATTCCTACTTCCCAGAGACAACGTACCCTGAATCTCTTATAGAGTATACTGTTCATTGGGTAACAGGAGGAGCTGGCAATAGAGACAAAAGCAGTGGGAATCAGGGATCAGTAAGATCAAACAACATTATTCCTCATGCCATGGTAGGACTTGGACAATGACCCTACATATTTTTAAACTGATGTGGCTTAATCCTCAGCATCACACAGTTGTTCACTCACTCCCCAGCTCTCAATGCGATGGATGAGAGAATAAAAACAAAACAAAGCAAAAAAAAAAACCCGAAGTAGAACTCATGAATCTACTAAAACAGAAAACAAAAAAAGGATTATAGCAATCATCATCATTATGTTATTGCCTGCCTGTCCAGCTTCCCTCAGTTTTATAGTTTTTTACACTATTTCATATAGTTTGGAACATCTCTTTGGCCAGTTCGGGTTAACTGTGCTGTTTCTGCCTCCTCCCAGATCCTTGGGCTCCGCCAGCCCTCTTGCTAACAGGACAGTACAAGAGGCTGTAGCACAGATATGTCCTTGGCTCTGTACAGCACTGCTCAGCAATTACTAAAACATCGATATGTTATCAGCATTGTTTTTGTCCCAAAGCCAAAACACAGCATCACATCAGATGCTGTGAAGGAGAGGAAAAAAAACCCTTTATCCCATATGAAACCAGGACTTAAACAGATAAGGTTGAGTTGAGGGAGTAGAACGTTCTGATGTCATCAACCCTACAGTTGTTGCTGCTGGTGTTGAGTTTCTTGCCACTCCTGTTACTGGAGCAGATGCTGCTGGCTCTGCTGCTCATGATGTAGTTACTGCTGGCACCTCAATAACAGACAGGTGTTCCCCAAGCTGAGATGAAGGTTGCTGATGAGCTGGGGGCTGTGGATGGGAGCAGGCAAGTCTGTACTGCAATCAAACTGCCACTGTTTTTGCAGAAGATGATCAGTCATGTTTTAAGTGTAGGCCAAGTGCAGGTACTGATAGAGACTGGTATATGAGGGTTGATTTGCAATCAGAAATATATGGTACCTAGAAATTACTCCAAAAGTTTCCTATACATGTGTTTCTTTTAAATACTGCATATTTTCTCGTCTCTGTTTAGCCCTGTAGTTTTCTAAAAAGGCTATACGCTTAATTAAATTAAATGCTATAGTGAAGTGAGTAATTAAACATTCTGCTAGGCTCCTTAGTGACCACAACCCAAATAATAAGCATGAGCTGTGCTGCCAGAGGAGGAGCAGTGGCACCGTGTTCTGTCCACTTTCTCATGATATCTTACTGGGACCTGTGTGTTACAACAGGAGCATCAGTAAGAGAGGGATGTGTGTGCATGTGCATTTGGAATCCTAAAATCATTAAGGCTGGAAAAGGCCAGTAAGATCATCTTGTCCAACTGTTGACGCACCCCCACCGAACCCCCTAACCACGTCCCTCAGTTCATGAACAACTTCTGTGGTGCTACCATCTCCCTGGGCATCCTGTTCCAAAGCATCACTACTCTTTATGAGAAGAATTTTTCCTAATATCCAACCTGAATAGAGGCGGACAAATGACATATTTCAATGTGCAGTGTATAAATACATCAGATGCGTTTGTAGGAAAGACCCCCAGAATATCAACTGCATCTTTCTCCAACTAATACATGATTTCAGCCAGAGCAATATTAGTGATGAACCATGTTATTTAGTGTCAGCTTGAACTACAGTACAGGTACATGCAGTGCGAGGAAAGGTTATCTGGTGAAATGGATGAGCAGATAAATAGCAGTTGATGGCAGAGCACTGCATGTTCTCATAACAGCACTGCTTTGCAAACTGCAGTACAGGGCGTAATCTCATCATAAAAGTTTATTTGATCAAATGTTTCTTTGCTTCTGTGAACAGTCTGATCTCAATGGATCAAAGAAAGGAGCAAAAATGTGAACGCATATAAGGATGAGACTTACCTACAAGGATAGTCTCATCCTTGTAGGTAACTGCTGATACATGCCAGGGTGTGAATTTAGGCTGCTAGTGATCTGCCTGTGTTTCATCATTGTTTGAAGCCTATTTTTCACCGTGATTTTTATAGCTGACCAGGATCTTGATTTCAGTGAGTCAGAAATTGGTCTTTGGTAAAGGTGTCAGTTCAGATGGCTTTGAAAAATGTATTTCCTTATGAACCATAGATGAGTATCAAATGTCTTCAGTAGTACAGTGTGAAAATTGAAATACTAATCATAGTCCTGGGCAGCTAAATTACTTTTACAGATGTGTATGGTGCTGTTGGGCACATTTTCCCAGTGCTGCTGCAAAAGAAAGGAACTGTTGAGCTGGGTTTAATAGAGGAAATTACTTGGGACTGGCCTGGCTTCTGAAAGATGCATAATTGCTGGGGAAAAGCTATGTTTGGCAAGCTTTCTCTTAGCTTTTGGCCAGATCCTTGGAGTACAAGCCATCTTAGGCCCGTTGCCATTATCTACTACCTGAGTTCCTTACCCTGTACTTCATGATCATTTTAGTAGTTTTCGTCCATTCACCTGCTACGGAAACACAGACTAGTCTGAAGCACAGCATTTATCAGCCAAGTCTGTGAGTCTTTCCTCCATATGACATTTGAACTAATTCATTGTTTCAGCATATAGAGCAATTTTAAAATATGAAATGGCAAGTTGCATGTGAAGAACAAGTAAAAACAAGGGTCAGACATATTTGAGGAGATGAGAGAGTTGTTCTCTTGATTACGAACAGCAAAAAATATCATAGCATCATAGAATCATAGAATCACCAAGGTTGGAAAAGACCTAAACGATCATCCAGTCCAACCGTTCACCTATTACCAATAGCTCCCACTAAACCATGTCCCTCAACACAACATCCTTGTGTGACTCCACAGTTTCTGGACTTCCAGGTGAGTGCTGGAATCTGCGGTTGTGATAGGGTGATCGGCTTGTAAATATTGAACATGTTTCAGTCCTAGTCCTGTCTCTGATAAAGTAGCTTTCTCTTGTCCTTTCCTCTGCTGTTAGTACTGATAACCACACAAACAAGCACTGGTGATAACATTCAGTGTTTACTAAGTGCTTCACATGTATCCAGTGTTGGGAAAACTGTAGCTCATAACATTTTCCAATATTTCTGTAAGAAAAACTGTCATTAGAATTGTCTTTTTATATATATATATAGGAATAATGGAGAATATAAGTGACCTAACCATAGCAAATTAGTGGCAGAGTTAGGATGGCATTGACTTCTGCATGTCCTCTGAAGAATTTTGAGAATTACAGTCCTTATTCACTCAGCTAAATAGACTTGAGCTGTCTTGTGCAGCACTATTATGGGCTGTGCTGAAAGACATAATGGGAATTCAAACTTCTGACATTGGTCTTCTTCCTTCAGAATTCTTTGACACCAACCATGAAGTACTAAAAAATTTTTAAGGCTGTTGAGTTTTCATGTCTTACTTAACTCACTTGTGTGAAGGAGTTATGAGGCTTTACACATCAGTGTTGATAAAGCAGAGCACTGCTTGATGTGCAGTGGGAGATCTGCTCAGTGGTGTGGCCAAATCCCCAGTACCTGTGCAGTGTGTGTGCTAAACTGAGCAGTACTAAAAGCATGGGCAGGAGAGGGTGATCTCCCCAGATCCTGGCAAACCTGCTTCCGTACACCAAGCTTCATTGATGGGAGGGTTCAACACCAACCGTCCTGGAACTCATCCTTGGCTCTGCTCATCAACCTCGGGCTCTTAGTGATCTTTTGCATTTCTATCTAATTCCTTCCAAGTGCAGAGGTGATGGAGTTTTGACCAGGGTGTGCTGAGGAATGGCATACCCCAATGTATGAATGGTATCATATGCAAGATCATGGTTTCCATATCGTAAACTTCTTTGGGAGCTAACTTTTTCATGGGTGCCAAACTCAAAGCAAATGCTGGATTGGATTTTTTGTATTGCCCAATTACTTGTGTTGATGTTTTCTGTGAATCGTGAACTTTCAAAGTTTGATTGCTGCTCCAAGGTCATTTGTGTTTGCATCAAGGCCTATGCTATGACTCGCTTTTTACTTCATTTCCAATGAGAACAGGCCATCCTTGGAGTTTGATTTCCTCTGCAGAATTTTCTATGAGCTAGATGTTGGTGATGTATTTTGTCAGAACAATAAATTAAAAAAGAAGGACTATGTCATTCTTCTTCGACTACGCTTCCTCCAGAGATGACAGTCGGGTAAATTACAGGCATTCAGCAAATTTCTATATGCAGTCAGCTGATTTGTGGTGCCAGTTGGATGGGACAACAGGAGCATCCCCAGTATCTTCAGCCAGTGATACTGCGTGGAGGCTTTACCGCTGCCTTAAATCAGCATGAGTGATGTGGTTTTGAGAGATATTTGAA